ACTATATATGTATACTTGGCCGCGTCGCTTGACAAGGTCGCGTGACGACGACGACGCCCCGACAAATTGTGCGACATAGAATACTAAATATTAATCAGCCGAGGGATCGCGAACCTGATCAGTCTGATAGCGAACGGCGCGAAGGAACGACGCGTCGTTGACCTACACAAAGTATGTAGAGTACATACACAGTAATCTATCCGTGCATGTTATCTGAACATTACATTAGTGTCGTATACTATATCCCGCGTATCCGGCATGTAACGCTCATTACATTGACATCGCTGTCGCCGTGCTGATGCTAACGACGAAAGTTTGCTCACGCAAGGTTAACGCCGATCGCTCCAAGTTTCGCAGATCGGAAAACTCGATAAATTTTCGCGCGATGAATTTCTGACCGAGTTTCCCTCTCTCGCGTGCGAATCTCTCCGGCTATCCGTAGCGAAATTGATAATTCGACCCTATTGTAACGCCGTTTAATCCTATTAGAACTCAACCACTCGACCATAATACCCTTCGAGGTCACGTAAACGGTAGCGATCGACTGCCTCCTCGTCCTCGAAATCGATCCAGGATCTGGAGAGAATGGACGTATATATGCACGTATATATTGGCGAAAATTTTGGATTATCTCGAAGCAGCTGGAAAGTACGTTTCAATATGCAATGTTGCTTTTCGTGAGCCTCGATCGCGACAACTTTTCACGTCACCTTTTATCCGTGGAGATTCGTGACTTTAGCTATTCGAAACTGCATCGCATGTTCGCGCACAGTAAGCTCGACGAATATTGTGCATACACTATACATATATACTTTACTAAACTTTGTACGATAAAAACGTGAAAATATTTTGCCCGCTGAAAATTTATATTTTGTAGAAAAGTCATGCAGAGCGCTTGATCGTTTTTCCAGAGCTCGCACAGAATGTCTATTTTCTGGAAAAAGCTGGGAAAATTCTTATATATTTTTTTTCTAATCTAGAAAATCAGGATATTGGAACTTTGGAAATCTTTTAGAAAAATTCTCTACTTGATAATTTTGTTCTTACATCGTTTTTATACTATATATCGTGTCTCTCTTTATTACAATTTTTATATAGTAAGAAAGTTGAAAATGTTATCTTATCGTTATTCTCTCTTTGTTCTTTTTAATATATTTATAAAATATATAAGCAGCTCTTTAATTTGTTCTTCGCATGAGTTAAATATCGCATTGGAAACCACGCACATTAGAAAATTTTTTTAAACAAAAATATCTGAAATTCTCAAGGAATTTTTTACAAGATTTAATTTTAGACACTTTGTTGTAAAACATTTACTACGGCGAAAACGAGCGATGGAAAAATAGGTTCGTGCGGATCTATACGTGTGCGCATATACATACATATGTGAATCAATTTGCAAATCTATATTTATGTGGAGCATCGTCGGTATGCCATTTCGAGAAGTCGCTGACGTCGCGTTGTCATCGTGGAAAAGTGATCTAGCGGCCGGTTGCGAAGCGCGCGTCAATCATAATCCGCGAACGAGAAAATCGAGAAGAGTTAAATGCAGACAGACAGGATGGGGGCTTTTCGCAACAAACGCGACGACGGAAGTCGACAGCGGCAATTTCGTCCGCGATCTTGGCGTCGTAAATGACGCACTTTCTTCGTCGCTAACAGATATATTTATGAATCGCGATTATTCTGAAATAAAAGACATTTACGAGCAACAATATTAAGAATACATTTAACACGTAATATTTCAAACTTTATATCTCTCATATTTAAATCCGAGATTTGTCGTATGTAACATATTAGGACGTAAATATATAGGGTGTTTCTCGAGGGATATTCTATCAGATTGTTTTTGACGTCTCGCGTACAGTCTTGTCTCTACGAATAGACGAGATGATTCAGAGACGCCTTTAAAGCGTCTCGTCTAACGAGAGCAAAAGAACGCGATGCCGCACAATCAAGACGATGTGCAACGTGCGTCTGCTACGCACGTGGTACTCGAATCTATGAATAAACACGCTGCGAATCTGCATTATTCGGCACCGATCACCTGGATTTTGAACGCGAAATACCAGTACGATATCGATAATCCGTAGCGCGAGACTGATTTGTCACTTATTTGCGAACGAAATATGTTTACGTTGACAATTCAGTACACCTACATATCATTTGCTACGGTTCTGTGAAATTTTAAACGGCAGTTCGACTGATTTAATTTTCAGTCACTCGTAATTTCAAACTTCTTGACCTCTAATAAAAAAAAATATTAATTTAATACCTGTGATTTTTAAAGAAGAAACGCGACCTCTGAAATGGTCTACGTACAAATAATTTCTCATTAGTTCTCAACAAGGTCTTTGATGTCCGAGACCTTTCTTCGTTAAAGTGCTAAGTATTCTTGCCGGCGAACAATAAGAACTTTGATCTCCTCTACTGCAGAAATTCGCGAAACACCAGCGCGTCTTAAAAGACTTGGACTTATTACCGCTGCTATTCGACTCTAGTAGACCGATTGCTAATGGTAAAACAAAGTTTAAGCAGAGATATATAACACGGAATTTCTTCCGTTTTTCTTACTCAAATAATCTCTCGTTCTTGTTGATTCTATTATTTGCATTTTTTTATTATTTATTCTCAAATTATTTTTATACTCTATTTTTTTATATAATCGATCAGCGTTTTCTATTAAGAAGGAAAGCAAGAATTATGACATACTTTAGAGAAAATATTTCGCTGATTGTCTCTAAAATTCTCTCTCTTTCGGAAAACATTCTTCGGATGATCGATCGTACACTTAATCGTTCCGCTAATTGAACTTTTAATTGATCGCGCAGTAATTATTTCGTCTTCTTTTGCGTCACGATGATAATTGTCTCGATGCTCCTTCAATCATTTTCGCGGCTATTGACGGGATAATATAAATTCGAGATCGATGTTCGACGACTATATATTTCTCAGGAAAATTCGACGCGCTCTTCTTTTACTTGGCGAAGAAAAATGGCAGAGAGGAAAAGACTACGGAGGAGAGAGAACGTATATATCGATAATTTATTCCTTCGGTTGCAGTAGCGATTTTTTCAACGTGTCAGCGGCACTTTTACGCTCATATTTTATACGTCCGCCTGCATCGATGTCCCAGTCACACTTAAATGCGACGAGGTAATGACAATAATGTATGTCGCGTATGCCGCGAGAATCGATATACAAGTGACAGATACATGTAACATAAATAATCCTCTCTTTCCTTCCCTCGCGATCGCGAACATAGCTGACTCGGCGAGATACTTCCGTTGTCTGGACTGGACACTTATATACTTACATAGATAGAGAGAGAGAGAGAGAATTTTTTCTTAGAATTTAAACTGAAAATCATGCTAGGTAATCGTGGGACAATATATGGTATTGGAAAAATTTTATAAGGGTTGTTCTGATTAATATTTTTATTACAAATAACAAATGTTAACATCTACCGCAATAAAATATCAAATATGTCCGGTTATTTTACTGTCTACATATTAATATTTTTTATTGTGGTAAATATTAATCAAAGAAATTCTTGTACAATTTTTGTAGTACCATATATTGTCCCACGATTATTTTACGAATTTTAATTGTAATAATGTGACATTGCACAGAGAGAATTTTCTCTTAGAATTTACCCCGAAGATCATGATAATTTTATGAGTTTCTCTGATTAAAAAAAACATTTACAATAAAAATATTAATATCTACTCACAATAGGTAAAAAAATATGTTAGCTTAATTATTCTACGTACATACATATATTAATATTTTTTATTGTGGTAAATATTAGTCAGAGAAAAAATCTTATAAAAATCTTCCAAATAATTTTCAGGATAAATTCTAAGAGAAAATTCTCTCCGTGTACGTAAAGTACATACAATAATCGTACGAGAAATTTTCTGGCGTGCTTAGAAGCAATAAGCTTAGCGTACGAAGAGAAGAGGATGTTAATTATTCATAATTATTCAAGATGAAGTATAAGCTTACTGAGGATGTTTTCTCGAAACGAGTGAAGAGGCTTATAATGGGATAGTTTTAATTTTGGATTTCGCTCGGGAGGAATAGGAGACTTCGGTCGATATCTGGCAGCAACGTTGCTGCTATTCGGAGGAGAGGTTTCACATTTATCCTTATGCTCTTACTATACGGCCATTGCGAACAATAACCGCGGGGAGATTCGAATTTGTCGTCAAGTATGCGGCATCGTGCTAGAGAGCGTAATCTCGGCATACTTTATTAACTGGAGCACCGTAATTTGTGTTCGACAGAGGGAAACGAAAGAGAGAGAGAGAAAGAGAGTGAATCATCTCTTTCTTACTTCGAAATTGATTTAATTATTATTCATATTATAGTATAGCATGCTATATTAGTTATTCCTTATCGTGTTGTTTACATTATTCATAATATTGCAGCATATTCATGTGCATACACAAGTGCATGAGATGAATTATTTTGATAATTACGAAACTTTTCGAAAATGGTTGATAACGTTGTTCACCATCGCACGATATGGTTATTGTTGACGACTGAACTTGCAATTGTGTGTCTCAGTTAAATTCTCCTTTAATATTTATCTCTCACTTTCGACGCGCGCGTCCAACCCACTAACCGACTTTAAAGTTGATAGCGACGAGTGCTTCTTCAGCAGCTCTCGTAACCAAAAACTTTTGCCCGCATCGGGATGAATATAACAATACGAGTATCAGAGTGCATATCTGCGTATACGCGAAAAAAACGAATTATCTTTTAAACGAGGGAATGTTCGAAAAAATTTTTTAATCCGCGCGCAGAGAAAAATACCTCTTATATCCGACAATTATTTTTAATTTGAAGACCGGGAATAAAAATGCATATATGAATCGCATATTTTCTCGTAATATAATTTCGCATAAAACTCGTATATAATATATGTATATCTTTCATTTTTCCTCTCGATTCGTTCTCTTTTCCTTCGAAAACACACAAGTCCGATTACTTACATAATATCTGTGATTCAGTGACATCTCTTTACGTTTCTTCGCCGGCTTTTTTCTTTCCTCTCGCCTCAGGAACTCGCGCGACTCGACGTGATGCTCTCGAAGATGCTGGCAGAGTCGGCGCTCGCGATTTCCATGCTTTTCTTCTCTCTTCGAACGTACTTCGAAGCCACTATCGATACTCGCGAGAGGAAGTATCCACGAAGTGATCTCTTCGCGGGAAGATATATACGACGAGTGCTATATTGCGGCGCGAAACGTGCTCCTTGTTACTTCTCCTTCCTACAGTGGGCAGTGTTTATCCTTTTTCTTTCTTTCCACGGGCGATATCAGTCTTACATATTTATTGTCGGGGTTTCGCACTTATCTCTAGCGCCGTCATTATTGTCGCTTTTGCTCGCGCCCGCGCGATTGTTTCCTATGCGTCTGGCTCGTACGTTTTCTCCAACTCTATATCTCGTGCCTCCTCCGGCTCGCTTGCACCACCTACGTCGCGCAGATTTTATTTCCGAAAGACCGTCTTCGCGAAAGGGATTTGTGTCGCGGGATATTACGTCGCGAACGTCTCGAAGTCGGCATGGAGTCGGGAAAGAGTTCTCGTTTATTTTTTTCCTCTATTAAAAAAAATATATACGAATTGTTTTAGCCGCATTTATTTATTCTCCGATTGTTTCTTCAAGAAACTCCTTTCAGCGATTCGCTCGCTGAAAAGTATTACGAGCAATAACAATTTTAATGCAGACTCTTGCGGGAAGGGAAAGGTATATTACATTTCGAGAAAAATGTCTCCTTCGCAAATAAATTACATTATTCGGATGAAGAGAAAGAAAATACTCGGTCGACGATGCTTCCTACTGAAGTGTGTCAAACGTGAGGTAGAAATACGAAAGTCGAGCTTCAAGTTAGAATTTTTTTTATATATCTATAGGTACTTATAGTCTGTTCATTCTCAGTCATCAATTTATTCTATTACAGATTAATTCTTTTTTTTTTTAATGAGAAATAAAATAAAAATAATTTTTAATTCGTTGAGATTTTCAAACTTTGTTAATGCGTTTTCGCACATAATCGCGGATTTTTCACACCTCGCTCGCCCGTTTGCAGATCTTATCGTATCCGACCGGCTAATAGTGCGCAAAGTATAAATAGTACGCGTTCAAAACGTCACCGTTATGGACCGGAGCTTTTAGCTCCGCCTGTAAAAACGTCGCAGTCCATTAGCGATGCCGACGATGCAATGTCACTTCGCGCGATGCAAAAATCCGAACGCTCCTCCGTGCGCGCATGCAGCCGAGGAATGCATCGTCCGGCTGTGTTATTATCCGCGCTGTCCGTAACGGAACGGAAATAAAATCGGACTCGGTAAAAGAGTGCGCCTTCCAGCCGCGTTGGAAGATATTAAAAACAAATTTGACATTTGAGAGACGCGCGCAAAACGCGGCACGATCTCTTGAAATATTGCATTTCGATTTTTTTACGAAATTAAAAAATTATATATTTTTAGTCTGCATGCGGAAGAATATTATCTCATTATTAATTTTTGCAAAATATGTATATACGCGCCATATATATATATATATAGACATCATTAATATCGATGCTAATTATATCGCCGCGGGAGCTGAGAATATCCATTCGATAATTGCCGATAATTTTCAAGAGGAATATTTTTTCGCTAACGATGAAATATCGCCGATCAGAGGGATCGGCAACACGTCAGAGATAATCGGCGACTCGTCGACTATTGTTCGTTCCGAGACTCCAAAGTGCGGCCGCTGCCAATATCGCGTACATCCGCGATATCGGGTCATCAAGTCCAGCCCTGTCCCGGACAGCAGCCGGCCGATAACTTACGCGACGCATCGGCGCGGCACAGCTATTAATATATACGCGGATAGAATTTACCCGTAATTATTCCGTCGGATTAACCGGCGATTTGATTCACGGCTCGATCCCCTCCATTTCCCATGGAAAACATTTATGGAGCTCTTGATCTTATTAAAACAACATACGGACGCGATGTGTAGACCCGCGGATAGATACAGACGTTGATGGATCGTCAAAGAATCGGTTCCGTCCAAGAAATTTGTCTCGTCGGGAATGTGGAATTTTATCCTTTCAGATTTGACGACGGTATGACAGCAAGTATGTATTTCGAAACTGTCTGTTCTCAGAAAAAAATCTCTGACGCGTCGCGATAATTGCGGAATAATAATTCAGCTCGTTAATCAATGTTACATGATTACGTAAGTGTGCACAGAGCGGTCATTACGAATGATTTCAAGTTGTACGCAGTTATCATGCGGCCGGTTATCATTCCCCTTCCGATCAGCTGTTGCGAACAATCAGCGAACAACAATATGACATATTGGTCATACATTGTTTATGTTCTCTCGCTGAATCGGAGCGCGAGTTACATTTTCAAACCAAGTTGTATATATTGTTCCGAGAATAAACGGAGATCGGTCAATTTTATCGCGAACGATTTATTTCCGATCCTATATACCGTATAGGAGCGTAAATCGGCGCGGCGTGTCTATCTACGCGACCTATCTATAGCGATCGATCGATCGGACATCAGTTACGTCGAAACACGTGACTCCGACAGAAACGTTGTATTTTTCGCAACGCTCGCGGCGAAATCCCGTCGGTCGTTAATTTAAAAACGTACATCACACGTTCTCTTTCTCTCTGTATGACCCAGTACCTCTTTAAATATATGATATCTACACAAATCTTTTTTTTTTTTTCATACGTGTGCATAGCCATATACACAAATTGTACTGCTTTTAATTCCTACATCATATTACTACAAAATGTATAAATTATTCTTTTATTACGAAAAAATATTGGTTACTTTTATTATAAATTATTATTAGAGATTATATCGTGTTGTATATATATTATAATTATTGTGTCCAATTATGTATATATTTATTTCGTCTTGACGATAAATATCGCGGTCGCGCCGCGGCAATTAGAAGGAAGAAAAATGCAAGAATGCGTAAGAGGAGGAAAAAAAGGAAGGGGCGAATGAACGGGAGAGAGACAGACGGGAGTAATATGTCCCGGCTCGTTTGTGGGATTTGTGACACGACCGTGGAGTGGTTATAAAAAAGGGACTCGGAGAGAGGAGAGACAGGAATCTCTCTTTACGCTCTTCTTTATGCTCGATGGCAGGTTCCTCTACACAAAGTGTCTCCTTCTCGCGCGAGAATAAATTATGAGATGTACCGGCTGACTGGTTCTGGCTAACTTGAAGTTTTCGATCTCTCTGTACCGGGACGAGAGGAAGAGGATCTCGCGATCGCGACCTTTTCATTCACATCGCGAAAGCTAGATACCTATTAGATAGAGAGAAGTATCCGTCCTTTTTCTTCGTCCACGCGAATGAAAGCGTCACGCTTTTTCCGCGTGACTTGGCAATCGATCAAGAATTAAATGACAACTTATAGACATGGATAAATGGCCAATCGTTGCGATCGCGCCATGATTGAGATCTTGTTAAAAAATTATTCATGGAATCTCGTGGATAAAATAAAATATGCAAACCGATGTTGCGTGAAAGTGGGAGAAAATCCGCGATGACGTTCGATGATGTCCGAGAATCTGACACGATCGTTTTGCGTCTAAATTTTCTCCCGCCGTATATTGTTTATTTGACGTTCTTATAATCATCTATTTATTATAAGAGCGCATATATATATATATTTTTTTTTCCGGGTGACCGCGCGATATACTGTTATACTCATATTTGCGTATCGTAACGGCATTTCGTTGCGCGAGACGTCGCCTCGGTTGTATTTGACGTCAATGTAATAGCCGTGAATGATATTCGTTAGCGTGTTTGTTTAATATCGGGAAACGTTACTACTCGACCGACGTCCGCATTCAATTACACTCGATCGGAAACCCATTGCAACACACGGCGCGTGTTGAGTTTTTCGCGAGGAGAGCAAAGATCGCGCGTGCTGTATGCGTGTGTGTATGTGTATATATATCATTAAAGCTCGTCGAATCCGTATCTTTGTGAATGGTCTTTAATTACAAGTTTATTGATGTCATCCGTTCAATCGCAATCTCAAACGGAAGCCCGATTATGAAAGGAGAATTTTTGTTTCGTTTTCTTCGCTTTTACAGAATTTCCAATTTTTTCACTGAAAAAAATTGCAATATAAAAATATCAGATATCTTTCATGTATAATTACATTCAACAATATTTATTAGCCACTTTGTCTTAATCTTTCCGAGCGAATATCGCGATCGGCTTTAATTAGCGGCGATCAGCTGATCGGTTGACAGTCGATCAGCTGATTCCTGTCACAAATCGCTATCGCGAAACGAGTATTTTTCCGGAAAATTAGCTTGTCGTTTCAATTCGGTATTCGTTGGAATCGTTTCCCTCTCTCGTCGCAGCTCGAGAAAGAAATCAAAACGACGACTACCGGTACGGAAACTGAACTTTTTCCATAAGCTCGGGCGAGGAAAGTGGAAAGTACTTTGAAACGGAGGTGGTATACGCCCCGCTATACAAGCGCAGTCTGCAGCATCGTGAATCGGAAATTTATCGCTCTCACGCACGCACATACATTTATACACACACACATACACACACGAGTTCTTCGTTTACTCTTCATCCATCCTCTTTACGATTTACGAACCCGTCGCATGTTCGCGTGTTCGAATTATCTCTCTCTCTCGTGTGTGGTCTGAAATGTGTCTTCAAATTTTAATAACAAATTTTCTTTAAAAGAAAATTACACAGAGCTCGATCAAAGTTTTCTCACGTAAAAATCCTTGGGAATAGTCCATGCATAAAAAATCAATCGCGTAAGCCGAATCATAATTTCTAAAAATTATAAATATATTAAAATATTAAAAAGAAAAAAATATAAATATTATAATAAATATAAAATATAAAATAATTTATTGAAATATATGCACATTCATACAGATGAATCTTATTCGCGTCACTGCTTAGTTAAATAGGGGGTTAAGTAGGTTAAATAAGAAATTTCACTCGCAACTTGTCCGAGAAAAAAAATTTGCATCCCTCGAGAGATTTCTCCATACCACTTTCGATTCTTGATTAATGTTAATCGGCAAACGAATGAGTACACGCGATACGATCGAGATACGATATATATATACGTGTATTAATTCCGTCTGTTTTTATTACCTTGATTATAATGAGTTACACGCACGGAACTAATAAAATTGCAATCTTTAAAGAGAGTGAGAGGGAGAGAGAAATCTATTTAATGCCATGATGGGGTAGGCGGGACACAAAAGCAGATGTGTATTAAAACACCCACGCGCAATCACGTGCATGTGTATCTACTCTGTAAATGTCTCCATTGTAAATAGATCCTGTCTTGCGCGCGAATTACCGTAACTCATCGTCCGCGAACGTGTCGGGAGTCGGATTAAGCTACGCATTAAATCAATTGTCTCGCTGCAGCAACGATTAATTTAAATTATCGCGCGTGGAAACCCGAATTAGAACGCATCGAGAAGACTAATATATCTCCCTAACGTTAAATTATATATATATATATATATATATGCAATAAATACGGTGCAATCATCAGAACGTAATTTGTTTCGCTGGCATCGATATGTCATCGAACCATGAAGCGAAATTTCCATTCCAGTGAAAATCGATGTCCAATACTTATTGCTTCAATCGATATTAAATTCGATCGTTCAATTTCCCTTTTTTCAATTTATTTTAAATTGTAATATGTGCCTCTATAAAAATTGGAATTTTAATTTGATGGATTATTATATAAATTATAAATCCGCGGAATTTTATCAATTTTGAAATAATATTCTAAAATTCCAAATGGTTAAATATTCCATCGCGGAAAGTTATTTCTCCGCTTATATCCGAGATTATACGAAAGTTATTTTAAAGTTACAAGATATATACGCAAAGTATACGTTTAAAGTTATAAGATATATTCAGAAAATAAATGACGAACAACGATTAACGTTCATTATGAGTGCGTTTTATCGTCAGCTGATGTTCGCGGAGCGGAAAATCGAGCGATCGCTATTGATAACAAAAAGATAGAGAGAAAGATAAAGAGAGGGAGAGAGAAAGAGAGAAGGGAGGAGAGCGGCTGCTGCTCTCTCTGCAGATTAAATTGTTCGATCGATCGCGGAACGTAAAATGAAATGGTCCACCCAGAGGAAGAAGAAAGATAAAGAAAAAGAAAGAGAGAGAGAGAGAGAGAGAGAGCTTCTCTCTAAAGCCTTCATAATGCTTCAAGTTTGTACGGACCAATAACCTTCCAGAACGCTATTAAATCGTATGATAAACCCCGAGCATCGCCGGAGGCTTACACGACCGGGATATATTAAAAAGGTCGCGCCAGAGTACAATAAGTAAACCCCTTGTGCCAGTGAATTTTTGCTGGCGCGATGCGACGCGTCCATGATGCAGCTGTTACCGGACCAATGTGTGACACTGCATGTGCAACACGCTCTTCCTTTCGAAGTAACATGAAGCTCCACGATCGCGCCATTTAAACGACTCCCTATGTTCTATCGAAAATAATCCATGCCGATATTTATTAATCTTTCGCAGCTCGATAAACCATTTTTATATCACTCCTAATATATATTGCTTTCTTATTTAATTAATTAATATCAATTTAATATTAATTATTTTCTTTGTTTACTCGTCAAGAGAATCATATCAGCTTTTAATACGAGTCGCTTAATCATATTCTTCTCTATTAGCGTTTTGAATCTTTTTACGAGAATGTGATTTTTGCTCGCGCTTTTTAAACGGCAGAATAAACCAAATTCTTCGGATTTTAAGAGGGATTGCAACAGCGCGCGTTCTTCGGGGCTCGCGTCTTAAAAACCCGACACACTGGAACATCGATATCGTCGCGTACATCAGGCAAAACGAGCCATTCATCATACCCCGATATCGTTTAGTCACGGTGTTTTCTCGAGATCGACCGACTAAGCCGCGACTCCATGCCTACATTCGCGAAAAGAACGTCACCTACGTCGCGATCACAACAATTCCCATCTCCCGTCTAGGCCCGGCTTTGGGAGACAGACGGGACCGGGAAGATTACGTGGGCGCGAGTATAATCGCGAGTATACACCACGCAGGGTGCTGCAGCTGCATCGACTGGTCAATGCGTCCGCAGTGGTGGGTGATTAATCACCTTGCTCCGCTTTCGACGCCGAGGAGATGCGCCTTCTCTCCCGCCGAGGGTTATTCCGCATCACGCGACGCAAGATACCCTTCTCGGCGAAAAATCCTCGAGGACCAGAGAATCTATCCTATATCGCCTCTCGATGCCAGACGGGATTCGCCTTCTTCACTCTCTTCCTCGTCGTCGTTTTCTTCTCTACCTTCGCTCAACAGCGGTCGGTCCTCGTAAAAACCCGGTTCTCGGCCTTGCGCCGCGTTTCGCCGTCTCTTCTTCTTCGGGTTCTACTCTCGACGAGGCGGCGGACCGGCGGATTATGCAAAGCCGTCTTACTCGGCGCTCGTCCTCGACGCTCGCTCGCCCATCTCCATCCATTATCGGCCGGGGATCAAACGTCGTCCGGAGGACTCGAGTTTGTTAGCCTCGCGAGTCACCTCGTTCCTACCTTCGTATACGCAATTGTGTTCGCGTGTAATCGCCGAAGCCGTCCGCAGCGACGCGAGTGCACCGTATTGTGATGCAATGGACCGTTTTGCTCCCTCCCTTTCTACACCTGGGGGGTTCGCGTGCGCAGGAAGTTTCAGGGAGATAAATATTTTATCGAAAGAATTTTCTTGTCGCACAAATGTATAAGCTTTTTTTTTCAATTTCGATTGGGAGATGAAATATTTATTACGTAATTCTGGAATATATATATATATATTGTGTGTAGAGACGCGAAAAGAGATTTTTAAAGATCCGATTTGAGAGAGCCGGATGTACATAGGCGATGACTTTAAATCCTGTCCTTAAGACGCGAGAAAGATTTCGAGAATATTTTCTCTCCGAGAGGCACTATATATAGATTAGTGTGTTAGTGTGACGTAAGTAATTCTTATCGTAATGAGATTTGACAGTTACTCTTTTATGCAAATTTTATATTTTTTACACGATATTTCTTCTTAATTATGTTCGTTCCTACGAGAGGAGAAGAGAGCTAAAGGAGGACAATCAATCAATCATTAAGCATTCGCTTAATGGTTAATCGATCAGCTGTTAGCCATTTAATCCCGATTTCTCCGGATAGAAATTTCACGTGCAATTGATTTCGCAATTTCATTTACTTCTCGTATTCTCCCTCGCGAATGTAAATGGCCGATTAACCGGATTCCCGGGTCGTGTAATCTAAGAAATTCCCTCGAAGCGTTAATTGCCGCGCATATATCGAGAGTATAATTTCGCGTTTCTTCGAGGCGCATTCTCAAAACACTCTTCCTCCTTTCGTAGGATTTAATCGAGCGCGGAGATTCCTTAATGTCCTCGTGACTCAAATTCAGGAACGCAGGGAGAGAATAAGTGGTTGGATTTTGCGAGCTGTCAGACGACGTTAAAATCATCAAAAAAAAAAAAAAAATGGCAGAGTGCAAGCTCGCGTCGCATCGACTTCGGCAATTATCATGATGTGTGCGGCGATCGATTATTCGACGCTGCCGCTTCCGGAGACGTTTTCATTTCCTCCACCCGGGCATAATTTCGCGACGACGTGTCCCGCCGATGACAGGCGAAAATCACGTCGAATCACCAAAGGGACGTAAAGCGGGAAAAGTGTCTGGATTTTTTTTTTAAATTAATTAATCGCGATTTACGACGAGATTCTAAGATGCTACCGCAGCATCCATGTTCAACCAGAAGAGGATACCCGCGTTTCCTCGTCGCGCACCTCCTATGTGTATCTACATATATATCACTTACGTCGCACTCGCGTCGGCCTCGCACGCCTTTACTCCAACCTTCCGCGGCCGAAGCGAAGGGGAGAAAAATCGTCCGCAGCGAACGTTATTAACCCTCCCTCGGGACGCGACGCGGCGAAACGCCGCGGTAAGAGTAGGCGGAGGTGGTGGCGAACGAGGGTCGCGATGGGAGCGCGACCCGGAGTCCACCCTCTCGCGCTTCCTCGACCTGCTGCTGCTGCTGTCGTGCCACGTCCGGGACATACATACCCGGCGATGAATCGCGGCCAACTGAGAGAGGGAGAGAACACCAGCCCCCTAGAAGCTACCCCCGTCGGTTGGTTGTGGCAGCAGCCCCCTGCGCGCAACCCCGACAACCCCCGTCGTAGTCGCGCACTCGGATCCGCATGTTTTGTACGTGTGGGGTCGAGAGCGGGTGAAGGGAGGGGGTGATGATGCGAAGGGTGGGTGCAGAAGAGGGATCGGTTAGACTGCCTCTCGGGGCTACAATGACCGCGACTGCTGGAGTTTACTGGGTTAGGTCTGGGTTAGTTTGGATGGATCGGGATTCTTAGAACGCAGACGGAGGAAAGGGGATGAATGGGGGGAGGGTAGGTTGAGAAAGGGGAAGGGCGAGAAGGTATTTGTCGGCTTGTCCGGAAAGTTCCGGCGTATTTTTCAATCGACGTAATGCGCCGCTTTTTAAGTGCCTTCCGCGTCTTTACAGGATTAGGATCCAATGATGGGGTTTTTTCAATTGAGCAAATGTGGGGTAATTTACGTGGCGTAAGATTAAAGAAAAATCTTGTAGGTATGTGGTATACAGAGAGAATATTCTTTTAGAACTTTACCCTAAAAATCATGGTGAAATCAGCAATAAAAATATCTACAGGATTAGGATCCAATAATGGGGTTTTTTTTTCAATTGAGCAAATGTGGGGTAATTTACGTGGCGTAAGATTAAACAAAAATCTTGTAGGTATGTGGTATACAGAGAGAATTTTCTTTTAGAACTTTACCCTGAAAATCGTGGTGAAATCAGCAATAAAAAATATCTACAGGATTAGGATCCAATGATGGGGTTTTTTCAATTGAGCAAATGTGGGGTAATTTACGTGGCGTAAGATTAAACAAAAATCCTGTAGGTATGTGGTATACAGAGAGAATTTTCTTTTAGAACTTTACCCTGAAAATCATGGTAAAATCAGCAATAAAAAATATCTACAGGATTAAGATTTAATGATAGGGTTTTTAATTGAGCAAATGTGGGGTAATTTACGTGGCGTAAGATTAAACAAAAATCCTGTAGGTATATGGTATACAGAGAGAATTTTCTTTTAAAACTTTACCCTGAAAATCATGGTGAAATCAGCAATAAAAAATATCTACACAATAAGATATAAAATATATATTTGATTAAAATTTAATATGTACATACTAATATTTTTTATCATATAGTAAATATTAATCAGAGAAATTTTCTTTGTGTAGGGGAGGAATAATAATATTAATATTTCCTTCGTGAAAGGGGCAGAAGGAAATTCTCACCAAAAAGAAAAAAATATATGCCATGATTTTTTTCATTAATATAATATTTAACTATTATTTTCGCAGTTTGATTTGAGTGTAATTGTTAAAGTGTACGATTACTCTTGCAATTTGTGCATACCTACCAAAACAAGGAAGGAATAAAAGAAGCTAGAAAATCGCAGCTAAAAGAAAGAGACTTAATGTGTCGCGCCAGCGTGTACAACAGGCTTAATCCGGATCGATTCGAGGAGATTATGAGCGATCGGATCACCTTATCTCGCAGAGGCGCGTCTGGTATAAATAGTTTGTTAATTAATTCGAGCGGCGAGCAAGATATAACGAGAGATACACGAACGCGACGCGTTTCGAATTTTCGCTGTCGAACGTTTTCCCGCGAAACGTAACGACACGCAGAAGGACACGTTTCGTAAAAGCGAAGACATGATTTTATCCTTGAATTACCGTCGTAAAACGCGAGGACGCGCGACGATGATATCGTAAACGTAACAACTTCATACGCTGATCCTAATTAATGTCGCGATAAAATACGCCTACAGCGGAGGATCACGTGGACACACACACACACACACACACACTTAGAACAGGACAGTTCTCCCTCGGAAGGACGAGTTGAATGGAGGATAAATTGCTTGACAATAAAGTCTCTCTCGTAACCCCGTATAGAGTTTAGGCACCGCATTTGAAATTAGGGTGGATACCGTTGAGCAGAAATATATCCCGAGGGTCCGAAAACACAATGACGTCGTGATGCTCCTAGTTGTTTGCGTCACAAACTCCGAGGGGATATAGGGCTGCATTAAAAAAAAAAAAAGAGTACACGTTGCCGTCTCTTTTTTATTGACCCGAGTCGACCGCGCACGATTCTCTTTTCGCTGGAGAGATATATATTTCCGTGTAAAATCCAAAACCAAAATTAATCGAGAACCTCGTCCCGCGATGTTCGATTTGGACATCAATCTGTCATGATATTCGTGCTTTGCACGCGTCATTGGGTCGTCATATCACAAGAGAGCATACACACTCTCTCTCTAATAACGTCATACTTCAATTTAAGTATCTCAAATATGTGTGTCCTCGATTAAAAATCTGCTTTCTCTGTAAATTTTGTCCGTTCATAGTTTCACATTTCAAAAATTTAATACAGAAAATTATATTTTTTGCAGTTGAAACTGTACGTAATTATAAATGAGAGGAAATTTATTACGAATGATTTTAATTCGAGATATATTTGTGATTTCTTGAAAGTTATGCAACAGTTATTTTTTTAAATAATATTTTTTCTTCAATTATGAATGAAATTACTGACTTTACGAATAATTACAAACGAAATATCACACACATTTTCTGTATTTAAAACCTAATTTATTAAATACGAAATGCCAAATTTACAGATACACCATTTGATATTAATACCTCAATATTTAATTATATTGACATAATTCTACAATAAAATCCGATAAGATAAATCTTTAATTATTAATTTATTACGCTTTCAATCGATTAAAGATAGGATTTGCACTCGAAACAAAACCGCGAATAGTTTTTTCCTCTGTTTTCTCTCCCTTTTAGAGAAATATATATAAGATATCAGTTTTATAAACTTTTACTGATAATAGTGGATGGTTAGTCGCTGGTAACAGCTGAAACTTTTAATAAAGCGATCGCAAATTTCTCCTTCTCCCTTCTCGACGATAGAATGAAAAAGAGAGAGAGAGAGAGAAAAGTGATCCTTTCGATCCTTCATTTATTTGCTATTATACCACATCAAAGTTATTCTCTCGAATTGAATGCTTCTTCAAATACCAGCCATTAGTCGCATTATTACTTAAATGGATTAATCGAATTAAATGGAAAACATTTGTTACAAACGTTATTATATATCATCGTATTTATAGAACGCGCATTTAACATTAAATATTTTACATCGCAGTAATTAACCATAATTAATTTTGAATGTTTTTTTATTACAATCTCTAACCAGATAAAAAGAATTTATTAATAAGATGGTACAACAAATTTTGCACATAATAATGCAAAAATAATAAATGTTCTACTTATATCAGTCTATGTTAAACTTTGCCAAAAATGTATACGTAAAAATGTAAACTTTAGAGGATTTATCTGATAATTAAATCTAATATTTTCACGTGAACGAAAATTTCTCCCCCCGTGGCTGATGGATGCATTTTAAAATATTCTCGTCGGACGAACCGGATGCTGAATAATTGCGAAATTCATCTCATCTTCCCTAGCCGCAGATTCCTCGCTCTTGTTTTAATTATAACTCTCACGGAGTTATTATACCGTGCGCAAATCTATCTGACATATATAATATTTCGCGGCGCGTCCGAAATTACGTTTGATTTATGGCGCGAGTAATGTTGTGCGGCGCTTTATACAGTAATACTTCATCGATAAACATTTCTCTCTTTCTCTCTCTCCCTCGCGGCAGCCTGAAATTGGATCAGCGGCTCGGCGACAAAGCAGGTGCAACACGGTCGCTCACAATGAAAGTAATTAATGACCGCGACGCGGACGTGCATAATAACGTTGAAATGCGTCGACGGAAAAACGAAACGCGATCTTTAGCGATTCTTGAAAAATTATATTTATTAAGCGATCGACATATACGTGTAGATATTGATTCTTGAGCAAACGTCGATCATCGTTAATTTGATAAAATAAGGACGATAATTAATTTCAAGCGAGTCCGTATAATTAGCAAATGTCTCTCATTATTAATGATTCATCTTATTTTATTTATACACGCGCGCGATTATAAGTCTTTAGAAAATAATTTAATATTCTTATCTTGTTCGCATAATATTTTCATAATTTGAGATATTTTTTTTTCTTTTATTTATTGTCTCCAGAAAAAAATGCAATCAAAAAGATAGACATTGTAGCAATTTTGTCGGTGTGAAAATTCTTGTCTAGCATCGAACGAATTAACGAAACACTGCATTTCGACGATCGTTTAATCAATGCCTATAACTATAATCGGATAACAGAGGAATTACCTCCGCTCGGTATCGTTGCCTGATAATTGACACGCGTCGCATTGCCTGCTAAATCGAAATAATGCATTCGACGATGATGCGTGATCGCATTATGATTAGCGCGCATGCATTTGCATATTGACGGATAAGCTGAAATTTCAGCGATAATTTTATATTAAACATCATATGTGTGTGCATTTTTAAAAAATAAGAAATTATAGTTTAGCCACAAAAAAGAAACAACAAAACTTTTAATCGCAGCTGCTTCAGCCAGACAGTTTTTCTTTAATGAAACTGTCGAGAAACACTATCGCGTTTATATCGCGGTTTTCCGAGCATTGTACATTTTCCTAATTGAGTTTTAAATTAAAATCCCAAGTCAAAGTAAAATCCGCCCAAGAAAGGTTAGCTTGAAAAATATAATATTTTTCTCTTCCTCCGAAAAATTAATTTATTCGCCTTTAATTCGCCAGAAGGTCCATCACCCTTTCGATCATTATATTAATATCTCTCACTCGACATTGTTGAGGGAAAATTCGATTCCGAATCTCCGGAAGAATCTTCCGAGTAGAAACAATTGTGAGATTGTGCAATTTTTTTGGTACGAACCCAAACGGCACCACATTTGCCGCGGTGCATCCGCACCTAACGGCACTGCATACGTGCGATGCAGACGATGCGGTATGCGGCATGCGGCGCGTCGCAGGACCGTACACGATCGTTGGTGCAAATTGCAGCACGAGGGAGAGGGTGTAGGAAGTTACAAACCCGGATAGGAAGAGAGTTGATAATCCGCTCGTTCATTAATCTCCCCGGGATCATTCGAGCGCGAACGAGATATATGTTCGGCTCGATGTTTTGCAGAATCCACGCGCGTAAAGGCTACTTATTGTTAGATCATCGAGCGCAGTTCGTGCTCCTTGCCAATTGATGCCGAATTGTTTGCATTACACTCAGGATGTAATGTTAAATAGGAATTAATATTTCTTCTAGCTACTATAATTAATCATACTTTACGAAACGTGAAAAATATAATAATTACACAAAGAGAATTTTCTCTTGTTAGACTTTATCCTGAAAATCATGGTAATCGTGGGACAATATATGATATTGGAAGAATTTTATAAGAGTACATAATAAAATTAATGGGGGAACATATTTTAATATCTTATTTTGAATAGATATATTAATATTTTTATTGTAAATTTTAATCAGAAAAACTCTTATAAAATTACCATGATTTTCAGGGTAAATTCTAAGAGAAAATTCTCTCTGTGTATAATGTCACATTATTACAACGAAAATTTTGTAATGATGTGTGCATAATATATTATTATTAGATATCGATTATTTTGTGCAAGATACAATGAAATAATTTGTCGGCAGATTTTCATTACAGAAATGATTTCCGAGCAGGGAAAGAGCCGAAGGTATTAGAATCGAAATATAATCAGAGCGATAAATACATTTTGACAGAGAGGCAACCCGAAATTAGAGCGCATAAAACTGTCCGCGGTCGTTCGCTGCACGATGAAAAATCGTGTCATTCGGACGTGCTCGCTAAAAGGACGCGTTATAATTTAACGGATAAATTATTCATACGTTAGGGCTTACAGGGCGCGCGTACCCTGCCATTATGTGGATATACAAGCGAAGCACGGTGGTGTGGACGAATTATGAATATTCAGAAGAGTTCACACGTCGTAAATTTAAACTTGTGTCTCTGTTTTACGAACGAACAACGCGGACGTGTAACCAGCTCTTCACCGCGACGCTTATATCATATTTTTTTCTAAATTCCTAACAAAATTATTCTGCGGCGACGTCGTCGCGAGAAATCGATAATCGATCAATTCCGACCGCTTTATTAAGTGCGATTATTAACCGCGCGAATCGGAAGCTCTCTCGCGACAATCTCGATAGTTCTCGGATGACGATAGTATAGTCGCGCGATGCAATTTTAACGTTCTGGAAGAGGGAGGAGAAAGGGGGATTTGAGGTTTAAGTTGCATCCGACTTTACCGCGCGATCGCAATATATATATGTATATTATATATACATGCATGTATGAATTTCGCTTTTGCCGCGAGATGCATCGCCAAAGGACTCACTCTCTCTCGGTTGCCTCTCAACTGCAATTTTCGTCTGTCGTTGCACAGAAGCCGAATTAGAAGAGGCGCCGTTTACGTACGTGCGTAAGCTCGTACAGGATCAACCGCAGAATTCGTATAGTTGCGAAACGAAAGAGAACTCTCTAATGCACCCTTTCGTTAGCAGCTGACAAGGCAAGAGAAAATTTCAAATCAAAGGAATATCAAATAAATATTAGGAATAGGAGTATCAAATGACAAGGGGATTTTTTATAAAATAAATCCAAACCGTTCCCTGCGAATGTACGCGGAGAAAATTTTCTTTTAGAATTTACCCTGAAAATTATGATAATCGTATAGGATTGGAAGAATTTTAAGAGAATAAGAGCTTCTCTAATATTTATCAATAAAAAATATTAATATGTACATAGTAAAATTAATCGAATATATTTTACATCTTATTGTGGTAGATACTAATATTTTTTATTATGGTATATAAAATTGTACTTAAACATGACGTATATGACTTTGCAGGTGCTCAAAGGACAGTTCACGTGCTGCATAATTCGGAGCAGCCAGCCTCGGTGTTCGCTATTTTAGAATCGGGCAGCAAAGTCGTGCCACTGATAGCAGATGGGTTGTTCGATCTGCTGATGTTAAAAATGACGAACATCTACACCAGTAAAAAACAGACGAAGATTGAGTCGAAGGGGCCGCGTTTCGAGCTCGGTGACTTTTGCATCAAATTGGGCAGCGTGACGATGAGTCAGAATTTCAAAGGCATCCTAGTGGAGGTAAGAACGACACTTTGTATTTCTCTCTTTAAAAAAACGAAAGAAAAGGGATTCCCTCAAAAATCTGCCCGTCAGTCGCGAATTTCCAGGTTCTTCCTCCAAGCGATATTCTTTTGTGACGAATCGTTATTATTTTTAACTCGAAGATTAATTTTTCTCGCAAACACTCCTATGCACATTCAAAACCCATTTTTCTCCCCAAAAATACAAGAACGAACTTATTCGATGTCTTTCGGAGCTTCCGTTCTTTGATCGCGAACGAACGAAGAGATCACTTTGCGGAAATCTAGATCCAACAACAGAACGCGATCTCGGTTCGTTTTCGAATTCCTGGGTGCGACGAATTCTTCATAGAGGGATAGGACGCGTTAGCCCCTGCTACTTCCGGTGTTCCTTGCCAATCACGCGACGAGCGTGCACTATCGATTGATAGCTCACGAGACCCCACCTTACATACATGCAAACCGCATACGTACGCCGGTTATAGTTATGCTTTAGGGGCGGCACGTGAGGGCCACGCACCCCTAGCATCCTCATCACATGGCGATTACGTGTCTCGCGTGTCAAACCCGCCGCGTCAAGATATTTCGTGCCGTCACCGAGCCACGAATAATCGCGTAATTAAGTTCGAATACCGACGATAAATCCTCGCTTCATCAATGCATCGTAAAATTCCCCTTTCTCTTTGCGTATTAATTCCTTCATTTCGATAAAACTGATTTTTTTTATTCTTTCTCTCTTGAGGGAGAAACAGACCCCAACTGCAAGATTTTAAAATAAATTTTCGCGTGAGAAACACTTGAGATATTTTTTTTTCATAATTAAGATGTCAGCACGCGCGAAACGATAATATTTTATAATTAATGGATCGTGTGTTATATATCGCATAACGACACGCATATATCAAAGCAGTCACGTGAATATATTTACACGCCCCATACCGTGCAACGTGCTCACGCACGTGCGCATGCACACGCAACCACGTGCATATTGAACGCTGCATTCGGATGCACTGTCGCGCACCTGTAAACATACAAGGTACATATTATACGTCATTACAATTGGTCATTTGCCGACGTATTCGGTTATATTGTACATCTGCGTACGTTCAAAATGCGAAACCGCAATCTTGCTTGTACAGCGTGTCTTTTGAAGTTGCATTTTTCTCTTCGTTTTATTCATTAAATGTTAATATTTGTCGTGGCAATTTTATAACTCGTTTAATTGATTCGCATTTGAATGAGAGATTTGTTTGTTCATTTGAATAGCGCGTGTCGTATTTTATAATTTTATTGCATAAGTTACTTAAACATATTTCTTTTGAATATTCTTGCTTTTACTCTCTCAAATAGAATCAATATTGTCATTAAAAAATAATGAATAGTCGCCGATGGTCTCAGTTGAAATATAGTATTACAAATCAGTGAAATCTTACTGAAAGAATCAGTTGGTGGCTGTTTCAATCAGTGATATTTTAAAATACGTCGTATGTTATAATGTGATATATGAGATAATAATATATTTTGTTAAAAAGGAGATAAGTAATTCGTATATAATTCTGAATTTTTTTTATACTAGTTATGTATTTCATATTTTAGATATGTATATGTGAAAGTTTTCCCCAAAAACTTAGTAGTTCAAAATAAATAGAAAAACTTTAAACGGTTTGTAGGAGGAGAGAATTTTCTTTTGGAATTTACTCTGAAAATATCATGGTAATCGTGGATCAATAAAAATATTAATATACACTAGTAAAATTAATCGACATATTTTATATCTTATTATGGTAGATATTAATATTTTTCATTGTGATAAATATTAATCAGAGAAACTTATAAAATTCTTCCAATATTATATTGCCCCACGATTACCATGATTTTCAGGATAAATTCTAAGAAAAAATGTTTTCTGCGTAATATACCTTACGATTATTCAGTGAAATCCTAGTGCGATTAATCAGACACATAAGACGAGGGAGCAAAGTTTGAGTGTTTTCATCCTCGGTGAAATCTTGCATCATTGCTTTAAATCTCTCATTCAATTTGACAGAATACATACGAGAGAAAATATATCAAGGAATAAGTACGACAAACACATCATATTCAGACATCACTTTCATAGCAAATTTGCAAGAACCGTGGAAGAGATTCCGAGTTATTTCCTCTTTTCTTTCTACGTCACGGCGTTTCTCGATGGCGCAGCTTCCGATATATCTTCCGCAGCTTCCAACAGATTCATTCAGCCGTGCCACATACATATACACAGACACACGTGTATACGTATAATACATATACACTCACGTGTGTACACACATCCGATACCCGGCTTTAAATGCTTCAGCAGCCATTCGTATCGGTAACTGCGCCGTTTCTACAGCGGTCGCGACGTCAAATACGTCACGATAACCCCCGACTACCCCATTAATTTCAATGGAGAAAGCCCCGCGAGGATCGCGTTAAATCTCGCAGCCCCTCGTCGACCTTCCCAACACACACATGCACACTTTTCTCCCCGGCTTCCTGCCCCCGAAGAGCGGCGAATGCTTCCTTCCTTCCGCTCTTTCATTCGCCACCGCGACTCCCGCACTTAACTGCAATCACTTATCAGAGTTGCAACTTGCAACGTACGGTGCAACTTAGCACCGATGACCCAGAAAGACGCGCATTTTTCATTGCATTTTACATTTTTTCCAGAATAAAACGGGGAAACGACTACGTTACGTTTCGCTGCTCCGTAACACGCATATTGACGGTCTGATTCACGTTTGCGATTCCGCAACCGCGATTTTTCGCGTGTGCGAGATTCACTGCCGACACCGCTGAATGTACCAGCACCATCCCGGATGGTCCTATCTGCTCAGTTATGCGACAACACGGCCGAATTATTCGGAATTCTGCACCGCAAATTTTAGTTTAATTAATGTTCCTCGTATAGATAATTTTGGAGAAATTCGAAACTTTTAAGAAATTTAAATATATTTAGATGATAAAGGAAGATTATACCAATATCTTTTTATAAATATATACTTTCGTGAAAAATTGCAGACGCATACTTAATCATTTACGTAAATATTTATATTTTATTATTAGTAAAGAGCAGCTCTTTCTTATGTAAAATATTCATAAAAAATGACGAAAAATGCGCGAGAAAAATTTATCGTCCAGACGCAATTCGCGAAATTGGAATTCGGGATATAAAATTACTGAGCAAATTTATGCAAGTCAAGAAATGACAGAATCCTCTTATCCTTTCGGTAGATGTCTTCGTTTCCATTTTTTCTAGTTTCATTTTGTTTTGTTGCTCGACCAAAGTAACAATTTTACAGCCGGGAGAAAATTAACTTTCAGCCAGGCTATCTTAACATAATTTTAAAATTAGAGAGTAGAAGAAGAAATAAAGAGAGAGAGGGAGGAATTAAAAAAACAGGAGAGACTGACGCATTTCGACATCGATATCTCGTCGAATGCAATCTTGACACATCCATAAGCATCATCTTTCATCATCGGATTCTTTAAATGGCCGATGATATCCATCGATATGCGCAAAAACAAATTTTTGACATTTTGAAAGAGACATTTCCATCCGAAGACTCCTCGTCATATCGCGCTATATTTATTCAGAGATAACGAGAGTTTTCGCTAGATACTTATTACAAGTTTGTAGCGTCGTTTATTCCAGATTGCACGATTACCTATTCTGAGATTCGTCGCGCGAGAGAATTCCCGATTATGCATTTCGCTTATCTTCCTCGCGACTTCCCTTCTCCAGGGCATCATCAACATACACCGTAAGCCGGATTACGCGAGAAACGTATATAAAGTCCTTGTCGCGGGTATATTCCGTCTTCCGGATCGTATAAAGCCTAGCCGAGTAATACCGTCGTCATCCTCTGATAAATATTAGCGAGTCTCACATGTCGATTCAATGTCGCAGACGCTATTGCGGTCATGTTACTAACTTACCCAAGATATTCGATAATTCTGCGATGTATCATAAGTTCATTTGTGAATCTTCCTTCCTAGGTTGAGTACAGACCCTGCGTCGTGCCAGCAAATTCGTGGGAACTCATGCGCGAATTTCTGCAAGGATTCCTTGGCTCAGCCGTGTCGAATCAAGCGCCCCAATATCTCCAGGTAATTTACACTTATTATACTGTAAAAATACGTAATCATAGATGTAATAAATTCTGTACAAATTTCAAGTGATTATAAGAAAAACATATACCTATGTATTTATATTTATGAATGAAACACGTAGACTTGTTATTAAATTCGGAAATCTTTTGCAGAACCGAATGACCGAAGTTTATCAGCCGATGGATACGATACATCAATATCTAGAACAATTTGGACAATACAGAAAAGCCACAGGAGTGATTTAAAGGACAACGTTAGACGTATTATTTATTCTATTGCGATACATTCATGATGAGATCAGTATTAAAGATTATCAATTTTTTTAATGTGTAAAACTTACTAATTATTTTGTTATATAGACTGGAAATGAATTTAGTATTCTATTACTATTATCTGAAATATTTATATGCAATAGTTTTATTAAACAATTCGTAAAATTAAATTTCTTGTATGTAGACTATGTATACTAATATTTAAAACTATTTAGAGTTTTCGTAAAATTTTTATAAAAATATTAATTTTAAATTTTATTTTTGAGTAGTTTTTTACAGAATTTTTGATGCAACAAATATGCATAATGCGGCAGAATACGCCATCTGCAAAGAAACATGAGAAAACTCAATAGTATCAATCTAATCAATTGTGTGCAATTGATAATAAACTGTCTCATGATGAATTATCATAATTATTTATTACTTGCAACATTGGCTCTCTCGTTCATTATCCAAAGTTGATTGTGAAACTGCGTTAATGAAACGTGCGTTCCTTCCTATCGATGTAAATGCGATAGTTTTGGTCACTGAAGCATAAATAGTAAATAATTTCCGCATTTTATAATTGTTTTATGTAACATATTTAATATCTTTATGTTTTTGAAATATAAATGCGCGCGAACGTACATATACATGAATAATATAAATTGCATATTATTTTGTGTTAACAATAAATTAAAAGTTATAACCAGTTTAAAAAATTATATACTGGAAAAAAAAAACATAAATCAAACATAATATATATATATATATATATATATATATATATATATATTTTTTTAAATTGCTGATATTAAATGCATTACAAAATTTAAATTTTTAAATAGCAAATTTGACGATCAAATTAACTAATAATTACAAAATATAAATATAATATTAAATATAAAATATAAACAAGTCTAAAATTGACGCATAAAATATCATTAAGAAATCTTTAAGACAGCTTTAAGAAATCTTATGATATGATATCTCTCAAAAAGACATCTTAAAGATATCTTAAAGATATCTTATGCCCCAATTTTGAACATTGTATTGTCTGGACACATTATTATTTCAATCAAAATTTAAATAGTTTTTAAATTATAAAAATTATGTTACATTATTTTAACATAATTTCAATCAAATTTTTAACAAATGTATTTATTATTAAAATAAATAAAAAAAAGTCAAAATATTAATTTAAAAAAAACTTATAATTTAAAAAGCCTGCTTTTTCCAAGTTAATATCGTAAAAAAACTTGTATTGGATATTTTTTATTCCGATATATATGCATATGTATAACTCTCACAAATAATATTTGTACATCTTAATGTATATCAAAAAGAAACCAAATCACACAAAGTTTACAAGACAAAATCAACTTTGGATTACAAACGCACATACTTGAATATAAAATCAATTGATACAATAAATTTTAATTATATCTATTCATAAAAAAGCGCTATTTTTTTGTATTATTCATTTTTTAAACTAATATGAAAACTTGTGAAATATCTGTTGTGTAAAAAATGTATGATTCATACATCAACAAAAAATATTGTATCTTATGTGCATTATATACTAATATATAACGAGAGTAAGAAAAAGAGAGAGAGAGAGAGAGAGAGAGAGAGAGAGGAATTACGTTTAAATGATAAAAATAGGCGTTATACAATTTCAATATTTGCCTCACATTAACAGTTTTTTTATTGCACTTTACTTATGTGTGACAATCATAAACGGCTGCGTCGTCCTACGTCATCAAAAATATACATACATTATGCGGAATAAAGATACGAGTTTATATATGTACATATTTAAATATCGGAAGACAAGTAATTTACATATACGACTTTAAACTCACACGCGATAATCACATTCGTTCAACGTGCTCATGATCGAGATTTGATATATCTTTCTATATTTCTCTTTCTCTCTTTTTTTTTATTTCAATGCTACGGGTTATCCGCAATTATCTATCTCTCTGGTGTCGTTATCGAATTCTTTGAGCCCGTCAGAAATGAATGGAATGCCATTGATCATCGAAAATTGCAAGGTTGTCCGTGGTCACGTGATCGCGAACGCGGCGGCGCTCCGCGCGACGTCATCGACACGAAGTTACATGTAGATGTGACGAGAGTTGACGAAGACGAAGCTTGGCGAGAGTCGAGAGTGCGACTTTCAGTGTTCCAGGTTCCAGTGCTGGTGTTTGTTGTACGGAGAGAAAGAGCCGCTTTTGCGCAAAAAAACCGCTTGGAATCGACAAAATGGAGGTAAAATATTACATATGATTTCCGGATTACATATAATTTCACTGAAAAATCGCAATGACATGAGAGTCGGAGTATCAGAGTATATATATACTCGTTATACACTGTGTATTTTTTTCTAGATCGAAGTTCTGTCGGCAAAATCTTCAAAATTGATTGCCAATGTCAATGTAAGTAAGAATATAATGATATAATTAATTAATATTGCGGAAAATTAATAACTCGACTGAAATATTTAATTCAAAGTTTGACTTCTTTGTTTTTTTTTCTGGATTAAAAAAATTAATGAGACTTGAGACAGAATTTTTTATAAAATATTTATATATATATTTATTCATTTATTTATTGCATTTATATATTGCAGGTAAATTCGAGCACTACAATAGGAGAAATTAAACAACAATTGTATAAATTAAAAAAAGCACCTTACGTTCAGAGACAAAGTTTGAGATTGGAAGCTAAAGGAAAAGCACTGTCTGATTCGGAAACAATTAAATCTCTGTCACTAAGGCAAAATGGAAAACTTTATTACAAGGATCTTGGTCCCCAGATTGCCTGGAAGACTGTATTCTTGTTGGAATACGCAGGACCACTAGTAGTGTATCTCTGGTTGTATCAACGTCCATGGTTGTTTTATGGAAATGTCAATAGCAATTATCATTATGTAGCTAAGTAAGTCATTTTATTTAATTTATTTCATAATTTTAAATTATATTTAAATATATATTATTTTATACAGCATTTTTAAGTAGTTAAACATAATTTTTCTTTTTTTTTTTTTTCAGTTGGGCAGCTGTCGGTTGGACAGTGCATTATGCAAAACGTCTGTTGGAAACTCTGTTTATTCATCGTTTCAGTCATGCAACAATGCCATTGCGTAATCTATTTAAAAATTGCTCCTATTATTGGCTGTTTGCTATGTATGTGGCATATCATACAAATCATCCATTATATACAGCTCCCAGCGCACTCCAATTCTATATTGGAGCAGGGATATTTGCGCTGTGTGAACTGGGTAATCTTAGCATCCATTTAGCTCTAAGGAATTTGAGACCACCAGGTACTACAGTCAGGAAAGTTCCCATGCCGACTGGTAATCCTTTTACTGCGCTTTTCAAATTCGTTTCCTGTCCTAACTATACATATGAAGCAGGCAGTTGGATTGGTTTTACTGTAATGACGTCTTGTCTTCCAGGTATGTTCATATAACGGAAATGCCTTGCACAAATTCTTGATCTTTGACACTGAATGCAAATGAAATGGTTTTACTGACTTGGATATTTCAATTTTCAGCTGGTCTGTTTACGCTTGCCGGCGTATATCAAATGACTGTATGGGCATTAGGAAAGCACAGAGTGTATAAAAAGAGTTTTCGCATTATCCGAAAAATCGTAAAGCTATCATTCCATTTATTCTCTAAATCAATGCATTTATATCAAGTCGCGTAAGTTAACAATTCTTCATACTATTTCAATTTTGTTTTATTTGAAATTTTTATTTTGGAATAAATATTAATAAACTTGTTTAGAAGTGATGGTTACTTTATCGTAAGATGAATACAATAATATATTATAATGAAATTCGTACATATAGTAGTGAGTACAAAATACATTTGTACATTTTGATTTTGATTTTTTATTTTTATATTATTTTTTTTCAGAATGTAGTTAACTTTATTTTTTTATAATGATATATCTTATGATATATAACGCCCTCTTATACCTACTTTTTCTGAATAAAAATATATATATATGTATGTTTATTTATATTAATTATAATATATATGTGTATATAATAGGAACAATAATTCAAAATTATTTACTACATACAGCTGTTGAAAGATAGTGATTGGTCAAAGTTATTTTTAAAAAGCTCACTTCTCTGAAAAAACGAATGTATTTCACATCGCGGAGTCACACATTGAAGAAGATTTATTTTCTTCTGTTTCTTCACCAGGAACTTTACTCAAGAGTTGTTTGATATCTTCCTTCAATGCTAGAATAACTTGCTGATACTCTCGCATCTGTGTCGTATATTTTTCTTGCAGCTCCTCGTATTCGCGATATACTTTCTCCAATGTCTTTCTCGCTCCTGCAGATCGCGCATCTTTTCGTGTAAAACCCAAGAGACTCTCCATATGAAAAATATGCTTTCGCGTCTCTTTCAATTCCTCCCTCAGAGTATTCAGCTCTGCAATGAGCATACTATTTTCCTCCTTTATTTTTTTAAATCCTTGTCACTGGTATCCTGGGAAACCTGCTTTTTCAGAGATGCGATGGTCCTTTCCAAATGATCCCGTTGCTTAATAAATTCGCACTGCGCGTCCACATCTGCTTTGCGACTGCGTATAAATTCATCATCCGCGCTGTATTTGTGATACAGGTCTGTCACCGCTGTTTTCAAAACGTTCGGCTCTTGTACGAGGCCGGCGGTGTCGAGAATGTCAACGCGAATTTTGCGCAAAAGCTGCTGGCACCGTTTGTTATTGTGCGCTTCGCGCTCGAGCTCTTGACGTGCAGCGTGCAATTTCTCGCGCATCTCGTGCAGCTGCTGTTCCAAGCCCATGTTGGTCTTGTGAAGACTCATGAGCTCCGCCTCCATGTCCCGAATATTCTCCTTCAGTTCCTGTATCTCGCGATTCCTCGGCTCTATTTGATTCTTCAGTTCCTGAATCTTGTAATCCAGCACAAACTTGTACTTCTCCAGCTCCTGATTCGTCCGCTTCATGTCGTATATCTGTTGCTCCTTATCCTGAATAGTGGCTTCTCTCTCGCTGATTTCTTTCCTCAGCTCCGCTATCTGCTTCTCCAGATCTTGTATATTTTTGTGGAATTGCGTGAATTCACCCTGTACACGGTTCACTTGTCTTTTCAGATCGTCCACGTCCCTCTGGCTGGCCATGAATTTATTCCGCATCACTCCGGCTTCTCCCTTGAGCTTCAGATTGATCTGCCTCTCCTCGTACAGCAAATTCTCGTACCTCGTACGTACTTCGAGAATCTCACGATCTGCGTCATCCTCTATCTGGCTCATCAGATGCTCGTGAACACGTCCCTTGTGTGCCATCTCGTCGGATGTTTCTTCCAACTGTACCTTCTTTTCGTGAAGCAGAGCTTCGTACTTCGTCATGGTCCTCTGCAGCTCCTCAGCGTCGCGCACCTCGAGATCTTTCAATTGCTTTTCGTAATGCTCGCGCATGATATTATTATGTTCCTCGAATGCCTGATACTTATCGTATTCCGTGATTAATTTGATCTCATAATTATTCTCCATCTGTTGCATGGCGTCCTCGTGAGCCTTCTTCATCTTCACGATTTCTACATTTATGTTATTGACCTCATTCACGTGATCCTCCTGAAGCTTCTCGATTTTATCTCGAAGTTCCTTGATAGCCTCACAATAGCCTTGATGTACGTCGCGTAACTTGTCGTTGTGTTGCATATCTATCTGCCTGAGTTTGTACGCGTGCTCGGTTTCTAACTCTCTCATCCTGACTGTCAGATCCCTGATCGTGTGTATCTTTTCCTCCAAATCGCCTTTGCCGATTAACACTTCGTTCGTGTATGGCAGGTCTCTGCTCATCTTCATGATGTTTCCTTCGGGATAGTATAACTTCCAAATGCATAAACTGCCGTCTTTCGCAACGGAGATTAAAAAATTTTCATTGTAAGCGAGCGCAATCTGAAAAAAAGAAAAGTAGAACAATTAGAAGAGACGGTTTATATAGATCTCAAATAAAACATGGCTACCTGTGTAATATCGACGTTGTGTATGTGAAAGTCTAGCATCTCTATCGGGGTTTGAAGCGGACTCTTCAACGAAATAATAGTACCACCAGGAGAAGTTACGAATAACGTCAGATCATCTTTTCCCATAATTATTTGGTCCATTTTTTGCCAGGCAAACGAAACTCTCGAATTACCTAATGAGAGAAAGGATTAGAGAGGAGTTTAATTTTTGAAAAGTACCTCATAATTCGAATTTTCTAATATACGAAGAAGATATTACACCGCATTCTCCTTGATTTCACGTATAAGATCGTCATGGGCGATACAATAAAAGAACGATGTATCCGAAGAGAGCACAATGTCATGCAGGATGATGTCCTTCAAGATGATCTCGCTGGATCGCGTGCCGGTGGTCATGTCCCACTCATATATAGCACCTTCCGTGCCCATGCTCAGCATCTTCTGATCTGTTTGCGACCAGAGAAGAGCCTTCACCCTGCCCGTATGTCCCTTGAGGATGAAAGGATTGTAGAAGCCAATGGTGGTGTACACCTGGACGACGTTGCCGTTGACCGCAGCGAACAAGTGACCGCCGTAACTGAAGTGGACCGTCTTACAGCTCCTGATGGCGATCTCGTGCATCGGCAACATGTCGTCGATCAGGATGCTCATGAAGCGCAGCTTATCGGTGAAGCCGATCAAGCAGAACAGTCCCATCGGATGTAACGCGATGCCGTATATATCTTCGGCGTATTGTTTCAGCATGATCAGGCTCTCGGTTTCGAAATCCCACAGTCGGACGCTACGATCCAGCTCGCCGCACGTCATGAAGACCGGCTTCCACGCGCACATGGCGAGACCACTGATGGCACCGTGATGCAACGACTGGCCCATGACTTTGAGTTTCTGCGGTTCCGGGTCCATCTGCAGATCCGGACCCCACAATGCCGCGTAGTACAATTGGGACCAACCGGCGGTGACGATCAGCCGGTCGAAGCCGGGATTCACATCGATTGTGTTAATCTTGTACAGCTCTGGATCGCCGTTCTTCATCACCCGTTCCGGAAGCACATAGACGTTCCTTTTTGTATATTTGTGCTTCCCTTCCTTTTCGAAAAATACTATGGTCCCCGCGCCATGAGCATAGGCAAATCCGCGTGGAAATGCTATCAAGCAGCACACGTTCTGCTCCCAAGCGACGTCGTCGCGAGCATTGTCCAGAGTGCTTGCGGCAGGCATAACGAATTCCTCGCGGATCTTGAGATTCATCGACACCGTGTCTGCTATCCAATAGATATTTTTTAAATCACCGTTTTCTAGATACAGCACACGACCGTCCTCGGTACCAACCAGCAGTCGGTCGCCGTCCAACCAAGTCATCGAGCAAACGAGAAGGTTCTCCGCCTTGGCGAAGCCATACGGACGCCACACCGTCTCAGAGACCGTGAGGAACTTGAAGTTGTACGGACCACCGACTGCCACCACTGCCGCGTCTGTCGGATTGCAGGCCAACATCTCGGCGATCGCCAGAGGATTTTGAGGATTCGCCAGCTTGAACGTCGACTCGACCTTGCCCTTCTCCCAATTGTAGAAGAGCATCGTTTGATCGGGCTCACCGGTGATCGCTACTAGATTCTTACTATCGAAAGTGAAACCTATACTTGTAAATCTAGTCACTCCCGGACGTCGAAAGGTATTCCTAGCAGCTTTCTGCGCTTCAGAGAGTTGAGGTCGTAAACGGATATAGTAGGTTTATCCCTCACTTCAGATAGAGCGACGTATTTCCTTTAAGATTACACCGAATTAGAATTATCTATGGGTCTTGTGCAAGAAATGGAAGAAATAAATTGAGAAGTAAAATTAATTCTTCCATTTGTTAAATTTCTTTCTTATAAAAACTGAAAATGAACAACTTTATTTTATTTAACGTTTTATCTAACAGAAGTAAATTTCTTCTAATTTATTTTAACTGTTTTAGAAAGGTATATCTTCTTTCAATGTAGTTTACTCACTTGTTAGGCGAAACGCAAATGACATTTGCATGATACTTGTCGGGCAATCGAATCAACTTTTGCTGATGCTGAAGAATATTGTGAATTGCCAATACATTTCCAACTGGATACAAAATATCTGCATCCGTGATGTAATGAGCATTACCAATAATATCTGTTTTCAAACCGTAGAAAACACGTGTTTGCAAGGACACTGTCATTTTGCCTAGGAAACTCTTACAAATAGCTAAATAGAAAAAAATAATATATCTATAATAGATATATGTTCCTTTCTCAACTGCATCTTTTATCTATTTTTTCCAATTCTTCACACTTTATCCTTTCTTTTTCTTTTTAATATCTGAATATATATAGATTTCATTTTGAATGTAAAAAATAGAATACGAGAGATTACACAGAAAACAAACCTATAATGGAGTTGTTTACATCTCCTAGGTAACGCATTTTAAAATATGCAAATTTATTCTAAATTTATTCTTTTTAAATAAAGACTTGCATCACGCATTAAGTTAATCAAAAACTAATTAAAAACATGACTTTTTTATTGTGAAATTATGATCGAATTCTTTTTAACTTGTTGAGATTGAACACTTTTTTTATTACTATACTTCTCTACACAATCTTTCCTTAATTTTATTTTAAATTAGTTACGTAGAATGAAAAAAGAAATACTTAATAATGTTAGAATCTAAAATATATGTTATTTTTGTAAAACATTTTTAAAAAGAAAGATGTTTGCTTTAAGATAAAATATAATAATTGTTTTTCGAGTTGGATTTTCTGAGATAAATTACTTTAAGATTATTAGCATTAAAAAAATAGAATTATGAATTGTTCTTACTATAAAATCATAATTGTAAAATAAAAAAATTCAGTTTATTTATATATTATATAATCATATCTTCAGATAATAATGAACACATAAGCGAAGTCCTCGCATGAATTATTCTATATAAAATCATAATTTAATGAAAAAATAATTTTTATCTAAAGAGAAGAAAGGTTTCTATATTATTATATTATTTATTTAAAGCAAATATTTATTTCTTTAATTTTTTGCAATTCTGAAAAGAAATTCATTCTGTATAGATAAATGCAAAATAAATTAAAAAGAGAAAAAGAATTGTAAAAGAAAGAAATAAGACAGAACATATTGCCATGATTGGTTGCACGCTTTGTGCGCGCATGCGCAGTGCAGTTTTGCTTCATTCCAACATCAAGTGACAGAAAAGTTCCGTTACTATATATATTGTGCCTATGGATTAAAGGAAGTTTAACGGAGCAGCAGTTTCCATTCATACATTCATTCAAAAACAATAGCTGCTTTTTGGCGCGAAGTTATTTGCATAATAAAAATTAGCACAAAAGGCTTAAATTGATTAATTTTATAGTGTATATCAGTGCAAGGTAATTTTTCGCATTAAAAATCAAACATTGCCTTTTTGCATTATTCTAACCTATATCTTGATTCTTGCCGCCAAATCCTTATTAAAGCAAAAATGATTCTTTAAAAGTTTTGAGAAATAAGGATGTGTATATTATTTTTTTTTATATATTTCTCTGTTTAGGAAAATGGAAGAATCAGTAATAGCACGTTTAAAAAGACTAGTAGCAAGTAGCAATGATGTCCTGGAGTTTAGATTGATTCGTAATTTAGATGACTTGAACTTGAAAGAGACGATATTTAAGCCAGAAATGACTTATCAAGTATTCGGAGACAGGTTTGTTATCAAAATACTAATTATCTAGATATACAATCTTCTTTATTAATAAATATTATATCAAAAGATTTGTATATGAAATTTATGTAAAAGAAAGACATAAATTATTTGTTACTCTTTTTATTTATTATAGGGAAATAATATTTGGTTACCAGGATTTAAAAATACAACTGTTCTATTCAGCGGGCTGTTTAGAAACTTATTTGGGAATGACATATACAGAGAAAGTAAATGCAGAATATGAAGGAGTTGAGGCTGATGAGGTTTTAACAAAGATTGCAGCAAAACTTGCACCTGATGTTCACTACAGCTTAACCAATTTTACTAATGCGCTTACCAAGGACGATACTTTTATACCATATGGAAAATTGATACACTCTTTCTCATTAAATGGTATTATATTCCTTAATGCTGTATTTCTGTGTTTATATGCCATTATTGTAATTGTTATGTGTATATATATATATATATATATATATATATATATATACATATATAATTTTTATATATTTTTTTTATTTTTGACTTATATGACTTATAGATAAAAGCACTACAAGACAATTCGTGGTCTACAAAGCTGATATGAGTTATAAAGGATTCAGGGAATACCATCAAAGAATTCAAACATTTCTTCTTTGGTATATAGATGCGGCTCTTTTTATTGATCTTGACGATGATCAATGGCAGTACTTTAATATGTAAGTATTATTTTATGTTTGATATTTCAGATTTTTCATTATCTGAATCGATAGATAAAGAATAGTAATTATAATATACATGATTCTCTAAATAATTTCATTTTCTCGAAACAGATTCGAAAAATACACCACATCCGTTGGTACAACTCGATACGCGACGATTGGTTTTGCTACTGTGTATCGATATTACGCATATCCGCAGCATATTCGACCACGCATCGCCCAATTTTTAATTTTACCACCATTCCGCCGAATGGGTCTTGGTACACACTTGTTGCAAGCGATTTATCGCGAGTATATGGGCAGAAATGAAGTTAAAGATATAACAGGTAAAATAAAAATCGATCGATAGCAGAATATCACTTGTTAATAATTGTCTCTTATATAATATATAATATAATGAATCTATATTTTTTTTCAGTTGAAAGTCCTTCCGAAGTATTTCAACGACTGCGAAATTATGTGGACGCTTTAAATTGCAGTGCATTGTCTAGTTTTCAGCCGGAACGTTTAAAGAAAGGTTTCGACAATGAAATGGTCGATGAAGCTAGGGAGAAATTAAGAGTAAACAAGGTATTTATATGAACATACAATTTACTTATCTCTTACCGCCATTATATTCTTTCGTTCATATAAATATTTTGCCTGGACAGAAACAAGCTCGCATAGTGTACGAAATTCTACGATTGCGCGCGACAAATCTTGCAAATCCAGAAGAATATCGAGCGTATAGATTAAATGTGAAGAATAGACTGAATATACCATTTAAGAGAAAACAGAATGAGGAGGCAAAGATAGAACGTGCATTAAGGAACGAAGATAAAGGAACGTATACACATGATAATGGTCTACCATCCGAGGAACAACGCAAAGAAATACTGGAAAAGGAATATCGTACCTTGGAAGATGAATATAAAACTATCATTAAACGCTTGGAATACTCTACCGAGCTGTGAAATGTTGCATTAATTGAGTTTGCATTAAGGAATTTTTAAACTGTGAGAACAAAATATATAAATGTAATTTCCAATATTGTATGTTTGTATAATTATGCGATCTTTTCTCTTTATTGACTTGTTTTTTTCATTTCTATTCGATGTTTGATTGTTTTCGATTGTTACTTCAATAGAGAGACACGGCCTTAGTTTACTGTCATCGACGCGCATTTTACAATCTGTCAAAATGGTTAAATGACCGCCAATAGATTCTTCAAAATTTCTAGTATAAGATTCGTTATCGTCATCAATAAAGAAACAGTTGTATAAGTATTTTCATGCTTTGTTGAATACACAAATAGAAATTCTACATCCTGAATATTATTACTCGCGTTCGCGATGTCATACATATTTAAACGCTAAGTAAAGTGAGAACGGAATTTGCGATTTATGATAACTGAGAGGATAGAATGTCGTCTGTTATCCTGCGAATCTCATGTCGCATCTGAGTCAAACCCCATCGGAGGAAGTCACATTGTTAGCCCGAGGTTACAAGCTGCTGAAAAAGCTTGGCGAAGGTTGTTACGCAAAAGTTGGTATCGTAATGAAACAATTAAATTTTTTAATCTAAATTTTTTCTAATAACAACGCTCTCTTGCTTCATCGGTAGGTATATTTGGCTGAATATAAGCCAGACGATGACTCGGATCGAAATAGCATCCTGGCCTGCAAGGTCATCGACACCGCGAACGCACCGAAGGACGTCGTCCGGAAGTTTCTGCCTCGCGAACTGGACATTCTGGCAAAGCTAAATCACCCGCACCTCGTGCATATACACAGCATCTTTCAGAGACACACCAAGTACTTCATATTCATGCGTTTCGCCGAGCACGGCGATCTCCTCGATTTTGTACTGAAGAACGGCGCGGTATCAGAGAAGCAGGCCCGCGTGTGGTTCCGGCAGCTCGCTTTAGGTATCTTGAAGAAGTCACGATGTTACGTCAATCAATTACAAATATATGTGAAAACATTATATATTAATTTTAACTTTGATCAGTTATAAATCTTCGAAATTTCAATATATTGCTCAATATCTAATATATTTTTTCAGGCCTTCAGTATCTACATGAGATGGAGATAGCGCATCGCGACATCAAATGCGAGAACGTCCTCGTGACATCCAACTATAATGTGAAACTGGCAGACTTCGGCTTCGCCCGTTACGCGATCGACAGTCGGGGTAAGCGTGTTCTAAGCGATACGTATTGCGGTTCGCTGTTATACGTGGCACCGGAAATCCTTCGCGCCTATCCCTATAATCCCAAGATATCCGATATTTGGTCATTGGGCGTGATCCTGTACATATTACTGAACAAGGCCGTGCCGTTCGACGAGAATAACATAAAGCGTCTGTACGAGCTGCAGATAGCGCGCAAATGGAAATTTCGCAGTAAAATCAAGGACAATGTAACTGATCTTGTGAAGAAGCTCGTGAATAATATGCTCGAGCCGGACGTGTCTAAACGCTGGCGTTTGGATCAAATCGTCCAGAGCGATTGGATCGCCGTGGATCCGCGTCTCCTGGTGCTCACCTCCGCGGAACAGATTGCGTTGAATCACGCGATCGAGGAACGAAAGAGATATGAGGAGAAGTTCGCGAGCAGAGAACCGGCACAAACGGAGAACTTTGTACGATCGTTATTTTTAAACGTTCTTCATAGGTCCAAGCATCTCTTAGTGTCGTTTTCATCGTACGTCACGCTAATGTTGCGTAGAACACTTTTAATAATCTACTTGACGTACACGCGCTTTTTATCGCACATTTAATTGCAAGATTAACCGAACTTTACAATGTATAATTGACATCAAACGTGTCGACTCGGTTAGGTTTCGCAAATTAAATCTATAGAATTAAAAAGAATATAGATATAAGTAATGTCGCGCAAGATTACGAGTAACCGATTTTCAGAAGCAGCTGAAAATCGAGAAAAGAAGGATCGATGACTACAAATCGCATACAACTGAGGACGTAACAATCCTTAAAGACGCCGCAAAAGTATGCTATTAGAATTAATTACATATATCATATTATCAAATGGAACGGCAAAACTTTTTTCTCTCTTAGGCGACAATTTCGACAATTATGACAGCCAGAAATTAGCTTAAAAATCTTGGTGCTGATCTCTACAACTCACCTTTTCATCTGTTTATTAACACTTGTGAAAATAAAATAACTATAAATGATTTGATGCATTGCAATTCAATATATTTTTGCTGAAGTATTTATCTATGATAAATACTTAACTAATTAACGTACATATATCTATAAGTTTTTCTGATTTTCGATTTGCACGATTAAGAATAATATAAATGTAAAACATATTTACTATATATAGTATATACACATATACATATATACACGCTCGCGTTTCTTGAGCTCGCAATTAAACTCATTTGCAAGAATTACTAAGAAATTACACAAACTAATTACCTACATATCGCGCTTTTAAAACAGTCGTGTTATTAGCTGTTGTTGCTTTAACGTAATAATCAGCACCGAGAGCGAAAGTGTTTATTTTTCCATCCAGTTGCATTTTAAAAATATGTTCAGGCTGAGAGACTCCTTCGAGATTCCACATACCGTCAGATCGTATTAGCAGATGTTGATTGTTCGGTGTCTTACTGATCACAAACGAATTCGAACCTGGCAAAACGTATCGCTCGAGTTCCTTCCACATTTGATAACGTAATATCAAGGTTTGTTGCGACAGTCGCAAAATAATCCATATTGAATTATTGATTGGTTCCACAGATGCTTCAACTATGCCAGGCATGTATAATTCTGTCAAATAGATGTTTCATGATTTTATAATCCGTTTCATTCTCTAGTAACAGGACTGTGAATAATATTCTTCTATAGACTTACCTGCTTCACGATAAAATTGTTCCTCTGCAGCAGTATACGAATAAATCCAGATAAAATCTGACGACATCATTACTGCGAATACCGTATTATTTAGCGGCACTAATTTCTTCGTTATAAACATGCTGGAATTTGTACCGGTGACAATGTCGAATAATTTCGTGTCGTTGCAAAGCGAGGAATTATTTTCTGACTCACAAAGACAAGTACTGTTCAGATCTATCGCACTCTCAATATTAAAAGTGCTAGAAAGGATATTTAATACATCCTCATCTACCACTTCAAATTTATTTATATAAACTGCACGATCTATAGAAAATAACTTGAATTATTAGAATGTTTGAATGATATTTGTATGTTGTTGAAACTATTACTCACTTTGCAATACAAATGTTATGCCCTCTGCCAATTCCACAGCTTTGGTTATTCTATCGAAAACGGCGTCTATTTTATTCTGATTATTAATGTTCGATAAATCTGTCCCTTCGTAGAGTCCGCTGATTGTAACATTTCCGAAAACTTCAACATCATTTCTGAAATCGAACGTACTGTTTATTATTTGCACCGCTTTGTGCTTCTTCATTTGATTATTTGTCAATTCCGTGAGATTCACGTCATTCACGGTGCCATCAATAATAAGAGCAGGCGCGTTAAGTTGGCCTCGTATCTTCTTGATTCCGAACAATGTCTGGTCTCCGGATTTCAGTAATGCATCTTCGACCTTGCGACCCATAATCGCACCTTTGATGCTAATAAGGAGAATAACAAATTCTCATATATATATATATATATATAGGACTGTTTAATTATAATATCTTGAGCAAAGATATCAATTACCTCAAATTATTCAAGACGATGTTGTTAAAGGTCTTTCGACCTTTAACTGTTGTTAGTTTCTGACAGTTTTCAGTTAAAGCGTTGCTAACCAAGTTGGAGAAATTTATATTTAGCGACCAGAGATCTGTAGTTTTTAAATTTGAAATCGTCTTCTTTCCGGTGATAACATTCTGTTTCGCGTCTCGTTTAACGACGTCCTTATTCAAATCGATTCCATTGAGTTTGCCATCCCAGTTATTGAAGTTATCTAAACGTCGAGCAAAAAGAATTTTTTTTTAATTTTTATTAGAAATAACATCGCTTTATTTTAATTCAACTTACTTATCGTCAATTCTTCAAAGTTCCACGCAGCATCCACGATTTGTGCTTGATCTCTCATCAAGGAATTAGTTAGCATATCCTTCAAGTTAACATCCGAAGACTCAAGAGTCGCATTATTCGATGCTACAATAGCAGACACTTCAACATTTTTAAACGACGAAGTTACAGTAATACGCTGTTCTTTCGTTTTACTCAGCAATTTGCCCGACAGCTCCGACCACATTTTTACATTCAATGCATTTTCAGGATTCTAAAGCAGAAAAATAATTAAATTGTTTTTTTTGTTTTAGGCAATGTGATATTTTTTCTTCGATAATCATTCTTTTTCAGAGACATCCTTACCCGCATCATAACATCTGCTCTTAAAGTTATATTATTAATGTGTATGCTACCAGAGAGGACAGTATCCTCGTTTGCCATCCATATGTCCTTGGATAATTGTTTGAGATTCACATCTTGTACATTTTGCACAACTGGTTCTGTTGAGAATTTAACTGATCCTAAAAAATAGAGGTATGTGTCATATTTAAAATTTTTTATTGTTGTATAAAATATTGGATTAATCTACTGAATTCCAGTAGTTAATTATACCTTGTATAATAAATGTCGACGGTATATCGCTCGCGATATAATCGAAAGTCTGAGGCACATTTATTCCATCTGTTTCCAATGTCGTGGCGATCTGTTTTGAATGCAGATCGGGATGTGCATTTAAATTGGAAAGATTTAATGTCGAACGGGAAGCATATATGTGATTTGATGTAAAACCGTTGGCTGCGGGAGAAAAAGCAAATTAAATAAAATAATCATTTGGAATTAAAGGGAAAAATATGAGACATGATTTACCGAATGTCACGTGTTCGAAGGATATTACGTCATTCACTTTTACAATACTCTCCATGAAAGATTGTATTTTAATGTTATTAATTTTTTCGATATCGCTATCCGCTTTTACGATTACGTTCTTCACTCTCGTAGGTAAAGAGAGATTTAAATAGGCTGGCGTTTCAAGATTGTTAATATCCAGCTTCTCAATATTTATCGGTCCTTTGAGACGATTTATGTCCACCCATTCGTTCATTTGAATGTTCAAATCTATATAATGTAAATATGTAAATTTAATGTCACGAAATTTCTTTACCAGTTTTTGTCTAGTTTTACCTCTTAGATCTGTTCCCTCAATTTTCGACGCTGAAATATTCTTGACGAAAACGCGACCCGTAAATAACTTCTTTGTAAAATCAATGGTATGTAAAGCTGATACTGGATTGAAGACGGTCGTGTTCAAGTTATAAGCTCCGATTACGTGCGAAACATTTAAATTTTTCACAATTAAATCGTCCAGCGTCACAGAAGTGGTGCTAATTTCTGGAGTAACGACTTCCGTAGCACATAAAGGTACCATCAATCTGAAAGAGACATATTTTTTAAAATATTTTGAATACAAGAAATATATTTTTAGAATTTAAAATATTCTGTGTATATATGTTTTACAGCGAAGAAAGACGTACTTTGGAGTCGGGAGATTTGCATACGTAGCGTTTGTCAAAACTATACTGTTGTTCGTGAATTTTGCACCAGAAATAACGACAGTCTCAGTAGAATTCTTCGTTACCCAATTCGCGTAGTCCCATAAAGTCACGTTGCTCCATTGCTGTAAGATTAAAAAAATGCGAGATAAATTCAGTTGCATTATACATATATAGATTTTTAAATAATTTTAAATATACTTACCGTTTTATCACTGGATAATATTAAGTGCACCGATACATTAGAATTTAGCGGTACGCGATTTTCTAAGATCTCTTTCAGTGACGGTCCGCGAGTCCGAACGATATCTTCGACCTTGACGAGGTTGCTGAAGGTGACGTTTTGCACAAAATGATTGCCGTATAGAGTCAAGGGATCAGAAACATATTTCAGAGGCGCTAATTTCTCGAAACCTTTGCCTTTTATTCCACCATTCAGTGCGACAAGTCCGGTAACTCTCACTTTTGAAGCAGTTATCGAACCTTTCATTACAGTCGTGGAACCATTCAACGGCAAGAAGAATTCATCCTCGGTTAGATGTAGCTCTTTCACTCTTGCCTCCTTCATCCATATTATTTGTCGGGTGCTATTCGTCGCGATGTTCAACGGGATCGAAGCATTTGTCGCGTGTAAATTGGCGAAGATATGTACACCTAAAAACCGTGCATAAAAAAAGATATAGCGTAAAAATATTTAAACGCGAAAAAGAAATCTCAACATATCGCATTAATGTAATAAATTACCTGAAACTTCTTGATCTCCTGAAGTCTTTAATGTTTTTTCTTGTAGATCCTGCATCAGTATTCCATTGATAGATTCTTTTACAGATATATCATCTAAATTAAAATTAGGAATGGGACATTTCCAATCGTTTATCGCTTTCACTTTTAGATTGGCAAACTCTAGAGTCTGACTGGCAGCTTCTGAGTTTACATATTTAATAGCAGGTTTAATTTCGTCGTCCATAACAATACGATGAATATGGCAAGAGGTCTTACACTTGACAGTAATCTTTTTGCCATATAAAATTATACGCTTGGATTCTTTATTGATATTTTCACTTGTTTGCGCCAGAAGATTTTTTGCCGCATTTAATTTAGCGATTGTATCATTGTATTGTCGTGTCAGATGGACCAACTCCTCCGCATTATAATTGTTTAGCTGCAAGCAAATTTAGATATAAATTTTTTTATTAATTGATTCAGAACAAAGAATAAAAATATCTACTACTCGAAATAATACAAAAAATTACGAAACGAATAACTCTTACGTTTTGAACATGAAGTTGACCGATGTGTGCATTCGAGATCACAAGGTTCCTTGACTCTGGGATTTTTTCCAAAGTTCTTTGTGCTATCTTTCGCTTGATCTCCGAACACCAAACTGCTATTTCGTGCTGTAAGGATTTCCACGTCTTCTTCGTGGCCCAAACGGGTCTCAGGAACTTCCATTCCCTGTCTTGATCTTGTATCACCAGTACATCTTCGTTTCTATACGAGTGAATTCGACGAATTTGACGTGTGTTAGACAACTGTTTCGTGTGCGACTTAAGAAATCTCCAGCCGTTGTACTGATAAATTTCCACAGCATCCTCCTCCGCGAAGAGAAGAACGATGGTGTTCCCGATCGCCAGGGAATGAATATACGTCGCCGAAGGGATCCTTTGGAACGGCACGAAGCGACCGTACATTTCCTTGTACAAAATTGTAGAATCGTTACCGGCCAAAGCCAGGAAACGCTCTTCGAAGTGGCCCGCCTTGAAGTAAAACGAGCCGACGTCTTCAGCGTAATGCAATCTCTGCATCTCTACAAATTTGTTGGAACGCACGGAGAAGCGGAGTATCTTGGTGAGAGATCCTACAATCGCGACGTGCATGAAGCTCTTGTTTAGGAAGGGCAATAACTTTCTTGCTCCGAAGCCTAGGGTCTCGGTCTTGTCGAAATGTTCTCCGAGCCACACGTATATGAATATCTTTGTTTCTGATGCGATTCCTAAATATAACTGATTCATTCCAAGCCACATATTCGCGTGCGTCACTCCGGCAATCTCGAATTCTTGTTTGAATTGTAATTCATAATCCCTGTTCTTGTTCTTTCCCAGGCGCAGGACGACGATACCATCGGTGCCCTTTTGCACGACTATAAGTGTACCAGCACTATAATTGCTGACGATTATCCGTTTTCCATCGAACAGAGGATGCGTCCCCACGACTTGTGCTTTATTATCCTAAAAAATAATTATATGTAGTTGTAGAAAACAGTCTTATTATTTTCAAAAAATAATTATATGTAGTTGTAGAAAGCAAAGAGCTCTTTCTGATTCTATCCTTTTAAATATATGTTTAAATAAGATATAGTTGACGTACAACGAATTGATAAAGCAATATATTTGAGGAATGAACAGCTGCTGCAAGCCAAAGCAATTGCTGATGTTCATCTCGTATAGAAAAGAAAGCTATGTCCTGAAAGTCCGGTAGATTGAAGGATGAAGCCTCTTCAAAACCTTCTAGTACCTTCACGTCATCTATAAAATTAAACAGATTACAATGCATTCATCTATCAAATATCAATTTAAAATAACAATTAAATTAGAAATTAAATTAAAGAATTTTTAAAAAAATTTTAAATTATATCATGAATATATAACGATGGCATTCAAAAAATAAAAACAAATATAAAAATAATTATAAAATAAGAATATTCCAATATTTTAATGTAAACTATCAATACTGATAAAATCATTCATATAATGTACATATTTTCATTCATGACCATTTAAAAGGCATGACCATTCTACTGTGGCATCAGCTGACAAGTATCAGTTGATCTTTTGATAACCTCAACGTAATCGTTGGAGGCTCACGTACACCTAAAGGATAAGTCTGAATGATATCAATATTTATCATCTCACCAGTTTGGCCGAACTGAGTGTCGCCAAATTAATACAGCAAGACGAACAGATTTATTATTCTATCGTATGAGTCCACGTTCAAAACATGTCTACTTCAGAAGAGGTGACGGAAAATCTGACAGCACAGATGAACGAGCTGCAGGCTTTGCAATCTGTCTATCCGAACGAGCTCGTAGTTGCAGATTATGGAGTTTTGGCTGACATCAACGAATACATCGTATGTCCTAATCGAGAATCACCGCGATGGTTGGAGTACGCTATCGCGATTCCATTGAACGGTGTAATATAATATTTACATATGATATATAATATTCTATTCTTGATTGCTTAATATAATAATTATAATTAAAAGATTTTTTTTTCTATATATTAAATATATTAAAAAATAAAATATACTTATTAATTGCATTATTATTATTCAAATTATTAATATATACTTTAAAAATGCCAAATATTTCAAGAAGGAATTTTTAAATGATTAAAATATGTCATTGACATATTGCTTGCATCATATAGGAGAATATTGAATTGCTAGTCAACCTGCCAACTAATTATCCCCAAGAGCAGCCTGACATATATGCAAGAAGTTCTCGCTTGGATAGAACACAGCAGTGTCTACTGAATAAGAAGCTCTCTATTATAATTAAAGCTCAGGAACCAGGAGAGCCCTGCATCTATACATTAATATCATGGCTGCAGGACAATGCGGAAACTTATTTCAAAGCTTCTGTGTGTAACCAATCAGTTAAATGTAATGACACAAGTAAAACCAACGCAGAAGAGACGCAGACTGCAGTGATTTTCTCCAGATATTGGATTTATAGTCATCACATATACAGCAAATTCAAACGACGTGATGTAGCGAATTTGGCAAAGGAGAATTCCATCACGGGATTTTGCTTAGCTGGCAAACCAGGAATCATTTGCATGGAGGGAAGTCTAGAAGATTGTGACTATTGCTGGCAAAAAGTAAACAATATTAACAATGACCAATTTTCTATAACAATGATTATTTTTAATTATTTAATTAACAGGAATAATTTATATTTTATATCACAATTTTTAGATTAAAACTATGAACTGGCATAGGATATTAATAAAACTATTGGAAAAAGAGGAAGATTGTAATGTGGACAGTATGCGTAGATTTACAGATTTTCAAGAGGTCTCTTTTCCTACCACTGAACGTCACAATAATATGGGTCAACTTCTCAAATATCTAACAGACCACAATTGCCAGCATGCATTTAAGGAGCTTTTTGGTATCGAAGGAAAATTCAGTAAATTCTCAGATTAAAATAATTATATAAAAGTAAGAATATCAATATTAAAGATGCATTTTGTACAGTTTCTTTCAATTAAATCATTTTTCAAGTATAGCTAAAATTCATTGCTTACCTTTACTGGGTTGCAAATTTTGAAGACTCCTTTTTTGTCGCTTAATTCTCTGAAGGATCGTTTTAGTCGCATTTTCCATATATTTATCAATTGCATTATTAATATTATTTGAACTGTCAGTATTTAATATTTTATATTCTAAAAATGCCAAATGTTTCAAAGATAGATCGAAATTTTGTATATGTAAAAAAAGATTATGATATTATCAATATTAATATTTTACCATTAGTGAAATTTTTAAAGTATTCTGTTGTCTGATCAAGTACTGCATACAAATTTTCCATCGAGTAAGATAGAGAAGAATACTCGCATCTTGTCATACATATTAATGTGATAATTAGAAAGAACTTGTGTAACATATTCGAACACGCGCACCTCTCAAGCTACAGATCACGAATGATGACGATAACAGTGGATTGATTTTGTGTGAACTACTACCCAATAATATGTTATGTTTACAGTTTTTCTATATGACACATGTACACTTTCAAATTCCAAATATGTATACTTGAATGTTAGTATGAATCTGTGAACACACATATACACAAGGAAAGATTTAGAATTTCTCTCATTTATAATATATTTAATAAACATGATATATTTCTAATAAATAGATATAAACAAATAAAATAAATAGCAAATTGTAAATGATTGAAAATAAAAGAGCTTAGAACCTTATGAAATAAATTTAGACAAATAATAAATTTTGTTCTTATTTATTAACCTTATCTAATAGTAGCATAGCGTAAAAATTCGTTGGTGAGAAACTGTCCTGGAATATAAGGCGCTGGTGGACCAAGAATATCCTGCGCAGGACTATGGATCTTGATTTGCCTCATATGAGTATCCCTGCCATTCTGATGATTGCTGATCACTGCTATCTGAATCATGAACGTCCTAATGGGACGGTCATTTATGTTTTTAATGGGAATCACTATCCAACCACTTGGTTCATTTAAATCCATCACTTCTACCTCTTGGAGATCATTGAAGTTGGTCCCGGCCCTAATACTTATCCTAGAAATTAGCAAAAATGTTCAATTAATAACAACTAATACAAATAATTTATCTACAAATATAATATATCTACAATAGTGGGAAATGTATTTACCTGTTGGGAGTATAACTCTCATCCAACTTGTAATCTGTGTAGATGCATATGTCACGAATGGTAGTCTTTCTTTTAAATTGTATGTTTACTAAATGAGGTAACTGCCCGTCCGATTGCCAATAGGTTTCCGTAATGTCATCCCGAAGCTGATCCACGCCAAATCCCGGTTTGCAACTCGACAAACTCCAGATAGCATAATTCCCAACTTCCCGTACCCTACCAGTCAGCTGTTCTTGTACAGGATCTATCTCACCTAAATGAGAGAGAAATATTTTTATATACATAAACTATCATTCGAAATGTATATCTTATATTTAATTAGATCAATATGTGCGAAAAAAGACATTAAAAAGTAATATATTTACCTGCATTATTAGTCTTATTACTCATAGTTAGGTTATATTTGTTCAAGTCTGTCCTAATATATAAATAATTTTCTTATTCTTAATTCTTTCTCTCCTACTAATTTATTACACATTAAATAACAGATATAAAGTACCAGATCACATAATTTTTAAATATGTTAATTTTTATTCTCCTCGATGAACGTTTTGACACTTTCTCGCGTATTTTAAAAATCAGATTGCGTCCTCAATTCGCGCGAATTTCAAACTCTCGAAATTTAAGTATTTATGTCAAAAGAGACTTGCTAAGAAATCTCTAGCTAAGAATTGCTTAGAATTAAAAAAATTAATAAAATAGAAAATGTAATAAAGTGAAAAAATATTAGTATTAATATATACTATTAAATATATCTTAGTTATATATCTTTAGAAATACAATATCGTATAGAAATGAAAAAATATATTGTTCTTTTTACTAATTAATATATTTTCTTATACAAATATGATAATACAATCTTAATAAAATGAATAAAATGAATTTTTTTATGATAGCTCATCACCAAGATTTAAATCAGTTACGTAACTTATTTAAAATGTCTAATTTTGACTTAATTATATTTATATATATATACATTTTACCTCAGTTAATTAGATTTTATGTACAATCATTTAAATCTTAAAACTATCCATAATATAAAAAATACTGCTATAGAAAAAAGGAATAAATATAAAATATAATAATTGTGGCCTGCTTTTGCTAGACGTAAAACACGTGCTACAGAACCTGACAAGGAACCACTCGTTCTGTCAAAATCATCATCCTAAAATAATGAATAATCTTTTAGATTAAAGAGAAATTATATATACAAAATATTGTATCTTTTAAAAAGCTAATGATCTACTAACCATGCTTCTCAACATTTTGTCTTGATATTTTACTTCGGTGCCAATATCAATGGATAAAGATTTTAAGGCTTTAATTTTATCCTGTAGCTCTTCTGTCATCCTTTCATTCTCGTCTTCCAGGGCATTGTGAGTAGATGTACTTGGTAATGGCTCGTAGCCATAACCTCCTGGAATAATAACAATTATGTATAAAATAAAGAATTTATCAATATAACTGCACATTAACAGAACAATCTCAAACTTACCTGAATGAGAACGTCGCATATTGTTAGCAGTTGTTAACAGAGAGAAATCATACCAGTCTTTTTTCTAATAAATAGTCGACAGTCAACAGGAGTGACAGCACAGTACATGCATAAATATCAGTAGCTGCATTCCGTATGTCGGCGTGTTCTTTTGATGTGGCGTTCGAAACCACGTGTCATGTTGCCATATTCTTGATAATAGAATAGCGCGCTAGTATTTAAATTATTGAAAAATCAAAGTAACTGTAAAGAAAATTTTTATATTTTATTAAGTAGCCCAATATTCATATTCTTTTAAATAAATATTACAAATTTGTAAATATAACACACAAGTAATCATAAAAATGCAAGTAAAATAAATGAATAATTATGATAATAATTATATTATATAATTATATAAAATGTAAAATTTATTAATAAATATAAATATATTTATGTCATTTTTAATTGAAGGTTTTATAGAAGATTTTTAATTCATTTAAAAGTATCATTTAAATTGTAAAAATTATTTAGCATTATTTAATCTAACAATATATTTTTGAAAAGGTAAGATCAGATATGGATGTCGGTATATTTAGTACTTTTTTGTTTTGTCTACTCCTATTTTTTATTGCGAGTTCTAATTTCAAAAATCAAGTTTGTTTTGGCGTAGGTCGCTATGGTTAAATCGATCATCGCGGCAATACTTGCTATCTTTATATATATATTCTCATTTCTCATTACCATTTTGCATTAGGATAGTCTGTGATATCGAGATGAATTAAAATATATATAATTTCTCAATTTCTGATTAACAAAGTAATGACAACATATTTAATCAAATCGATATTCTAATCGGTTAATTAAACTTAATTAATTAAACTATTCGAGATGACATTGGTGCTGTCAAGAATAGATTATACGACAGTAGGAGTTACCTCACGTGGCACAACTGTCATATTTCCACCTAATGAAGAAACGATAAAGCAGCCGCAAAAATTCGCTGTTGCGGATCACGATGGCATACTACACATTTACGGTATTTATTTAAACAATATTTAGTTTATTAAAAAAATATATAAAAAAACATTTCGTTAATAATCATTAAAAATATCTTAATAATTAATATAGCATTAGAATATATGTCCATATATATTCTCTTTCTCTTATTTACTCTTTCTCCATTTATAGAAAAATAATTAAAAGATTAATAATTTTTACACATTTGTTTTAAAGATTGTAAAATATTTGATGTAGAATTATACAATTTTATAATAAAATATTAGAATTATATATATATATATATATTATTTTTTCTTGAGAGTAAAATGAATATTAAAAGATTAACATACATAATGAATATATCAAATATGAAATTATTCTTTGTCGTAGGCATGAAAAAGGGCGAACTGCAACTGTCATTTAAATCTTTGCCTGGTCCAAAAATTCACAAAATGGTCCTTGGTGGCTCGATAGGTCTGTCAAGAGATAAGATTTTCCTCGCATACGACAGCTCTGTGAAGGGAATTACGAAAAAGGGCAAGCTGTTCCTGGAGTTCGATACCAGTCTTATAGATCCAATTTCTGCACTGTAAGTTAACTCCATCCAATGCGTTGATTTCTTCATATAATATTCCATTAATCGCTTCATCGTGGAATTATTCCATCTAGATACGTCCTCGGTCCTGATCTCGCAGCTTGCGCACGTGATCTCTATCACAGGTACAAAGATTGCAAGGACGCCGATTCCTACTTGGCCGGAGAAACCTTGCACGACGTTGTGCTTTTGCCTGGACATAGCAACATGGTGTACGCTATCCTCGCCTGTGTAGACTGTGCGGTAATATTTAACGAGACGTGTCAAAGATTCGTCTGAAAAGTACTTTAGCCTCTAGATAATTAACTGAGAAAGACAGTACAATGCTCTAATTATACACAAATTATTATTTACTATGCACTCTCTCCCTTTCTAACAGGTACGTGTTCTGCATGGCACAAGAAGTCCAACAGTCCTGAGATTACCAAGTGTTCCTACAGTGCTCTCTGTATATAGGTAATCTAAATATAATTTCATTGAAGCTTATATATTATTCATACAAACAGATTATTTCAAATTAATTGATATACAATTAATTATTCGCTTTTTACGTGATCATTTCAGAGAAGGAGAAATTTACTCCAAGGATCGCGTTTTGGTTGGCACCGCAGACGGTAGAATTGGTCTGCTGATTCTCCAAGGCAATAAAACTCTCCGAGTCACCTGGCTGTTGACTTCAACAGGCTCGGGAATCACTTCATTGGATACCTACGAGTTGCAGGACGGCATAGACATCCTCGTGGGTCGACAAGACGGAGTCGTCGAGGTGTATACATTTCCCGATGAAGATGTAACGTCCACTCTACGTTATCATTATGTAAGCCATCGTGACTTAAGTTTTCGTCAAATTGAATCAAATCAATTTAGAGATGATACATGTTGCAGAATGCAGGCGAAAGTATTAGTACAGTCGTGGGTGGTATAATTGGCATCGCCAATTATCCCGAGGTTCTCGTAACGACTTACTCAGGTCGAATATTTGGATTGACCACCAGTCCTCCAGGTTTACTAGAAGCAGGACAGAGCGATGTTGGATTGGCCAAATTAAAATGGAGATACAACAACTGCAGGAGAAATTGAATGAGGAGAAGGAAAATTCGTCCAATTTCATGCCGGATCCTCTAGCACCCTTGATATTGGCGTTGAATTTTAAGTAAAACTCGTTGCAAATTATTTCTTTCTTCTTCTTTCCATTGCTGAAATAAAAAATTGATTAATTACAATTAAATGAGAATTAAAATCGATTCATAGAATGATACTAAATAAGGAAGACGCGTCATATTCCCTCTCGGTAGAGCTGGACGCATCAATCGACAATATTCTCATACAATCGGATACACCTATCGATCTGTTGGAAACAGAAAACAATAGCGCAGTAGTCAGCTTGTCTGCTTGCAATCCTAAAGATGGCAATTTCGTCCTTGCTACTTATCGATGCCAAGTAATTATATATGTAATTTAGTAATTTTTTAATTTTAATATTTCTTTTCAATTAATTTTTACGAGAAATAATTTGTCGAACAGATTAATACGAATCGATTGGAAATGCGATTCAGATCGATCGAAGGTCAATCGGGTACCTTACAAGTTTATGTAACATCTCAGGTATATTTTGTACATTTCCAAATATTTCAAGTCTCTTTATACTTTGTTAATGTCTTTGATCATTTTCAGGTCCAGCCGAAACGTTGCCGTAAAGTCTTGATTCCTATTTATGCCTTGTCTTTACACGTCAGACAACACGAAGACGACGACACCACACAGTCTAGTGGTCCGTTTAACGAGTTGAAATTAAATGGCAATTTCACGATCGCCGAGGTACGATTTTTTTATTCCGTTGCTCTTGTCGCGCAAAGGCAGCCTTCTCCATATTCTCCTTAGATTTTTTCTTCCAGATGCATGCGTGGCTTTCTCTAATATTACCGGATGTGCCTGAAAGACCTCATATTCATGAGGGTGAAGCTGCCTTAGTATATATCTCATCTTTCATTGGAACGGTCCTAAAATGCAAATACAAGTAAGTTTATAACGTAAAATATTCAATTTAGATTCGTCATTAATCTTTCAATAATCTGCAGGAAGGGAAGCGCGCTTTTTCTCGGAGAAAATATATCCAGCATTATAATTCTCAGAGACATATTGACAAAGGAAGCTACGAAACGAAAAATAAAGCTAGACGTGTTTTGCGGTAATTATTGATCATTATATTTCTCTTCAAAGTTGTAAAACGAGTAAATTAAATACGGATTTCCTTACAGAAGTAGCAGAAGGAAGTATCAATAGAGTCTTGGAATTAATTCTTCCCCGACTTAATGCAGCCCACGATTTAATACAAAAAACAAAAATTCTGAACGCCCTCGAAGAATGGGAGCTTAAGTCTAATCCGAGAGAAAATTTATGCTCCGAATATCAAGAGTTGTTAGAGAAGGAAACGGAGATCAGATCGCTTATGATGAAGGATACCGAGGTTCTGAAGAGATTGTATGGGATCATCACCGATTTATACGTAGACTGGGAACGAGCGAAACGATCTCGAAGGTGATAAGTAAATTTTTATAAAAAAAAGTATAGTTTAATTTTAATAATACTGCTCATGTAAAACAGGATCAGTGGCAAAGAGGCTACGGCTAAGCTTCAAAATGCTCTTGAATCCAGGGACCTAGCTACTATCTTGCAAATTTTCACTGGCACTAAAACTGACACAACCGTGTCGACATTAATACCTGCAGCCATTTAGACGCATCAGAAATCGCAAAAGAAGTGGACCAATGTATTTCTATAAACATATTCAAGTAAAAAATATATTTTTAACGATGATTCACAATATATAAACCGCTAGATAAATTATCTAGACTTAAAAATGTACAATCGCGTGATTAGTGTTGATTACAGTATATGTGTGTGTGTATATGTGTGATACATTTTTATGGATCTTGCTGTGCTTCTTCGATTTCCATTTGTGTGAAACGGTAACAGCCTATATACTTACAAGGTTATTTACTCACTTCCAGAAATATCGGAACATATATTACGCATTATTTATAGGCAGTGCGTTAATGCAATTTATCAGTCATTAGATTTACATTAAATTGCCTATAAATGAAAATCTTAAAAAGAAATCTTGAAAATCTTTAATGATTTATAAACTTATGCAAAACAGAATTTTTATATTACAAAATAGAATTATAGTTATTATAGTTATTATATATTTCCAGACAATCTGCTATTAAAAGCCCGCAATAAAAGTGTAATCTTTTATAGATTAAGCCAATATTTTGCAAATAATCCAGCTCATCGTACAGCGAAATATATTTTTTTTGTCGTGAAACGCTTAACATTACATAGGTCCAAAAAAATATTGCCTGTAAGAACACAAGAAATTAAACATTTCTTTTCATCTATTTAAGGAAGGTAATTCAGAAATTATATTTATATTTGTTCTACTTACATGTTATCAGTCGTTCGGGCAACGGCTTCCAGAGGATCTCTGTCCGTGGTTATAGTGTCCGCCGTCGATGTTATAGTGTATTCCAAGTTTTGTCCACCAGTGTGCGGCAAAATACTCTCCGGATTGTCGTCCGGAGGTACAATCTCCACTACGCCGGTCGCCTCGACCTCCAACTTCAGATCTCTTACGAGATCCTGGATCGTTTTTGCCTGTACTTTATCGCCCTCCGCAGCCTCCGCGTTTTTCCCCGTTAGGATCCTATTCAATGACTGTTGCTTGTCGTTCGTCTTTGTTCGAGAATGCGTGTGCATGTGTCTTTTCATGTCGCTTCGCACTCTGAACGGTTTTCCGCACACCGTGCATGGATGTGGCTTCTCACCAGTGTGAATACGACGATGATTTTGTAAATAGCTGCTCGCCCGGAACGTTTTGCTACAAAAATCACAGCGATAGTTCTTCTCTCCGGTGTGAATACGCCTATGCACGATCAACGAATACTTTCGCGCAAACTCCTTGGCGCAATATTCGCATTGATACTGCTTCTGCTCCGAATGAATGCTCGTCGAGTGATACTTCAGGTCACCCCATTGTCGAAAGTGTCGTCCGCACACCTCACATTTGTACGGTTTATCACCGCTATGAAGTCTCATATGTACCTGTTTAAATTATAATTTTATTTATTTATTAAATATAATTAAATTTATTGATTTAAAAAAGTTATATAATGCAATATTATATTCCTCGTTAGCGATATAGATTACTTTTTACGATAAGCTTACCTTTAATGCGCTAGCAGCGAAAAAACGTTTATTACAAATGTTGCATTGATGAGGTCGATCTCCGCTGTGAGATCGCAAATGATAGACTAAGCTATTTTTATGATGGAATGAACGGTTGCATTCAAGACACACTAATTCATCATCTATGAGAGAGAAAATAATTGCATTTATAAATCTTTATTTCTTTCAGCGCAAAAAAACATTTTAAAGAAGATAAATACGAACTTGACTTTCGCGTTTTCGGCGATTTCTTTTTCTTACTGGTCTGTGGAATGTCAGTCTTCCCCTTCTCATCGGAATTTTTATTCTCGCTAATGGCCGGGGGTTTTATTTGTTGTTGGTCCCTCTGTTGTATCTCTGTGGTATCAGTAGTAATGGTCCACAATGTCGATTCGTTGTTTGTAATTGGTAACGGAGAGTCTGTATCATCATCAATATGCGCACCAGTTTCTTCCACTGTAAAAAAAAAAAAAAAATAAAATTTCTATAAGCAATTTCTGCAGCAAAATTTTAAAAGCATTAACATTAAAAGCATTGACATGTAAAAGCATTCTTCCTTACCTACGCCTCGAATACCTTCCATAAGGTCTTCAGGTTCACTAAATTCTTCAATTACAGTAGTTTCAAGACTGTGTACTGTTTCTGGCACTGATATTGTAATGTTTGTATTTGTCGCTTGAGCTATTCGTGTCTCTTGTTTTACCGGTTCATAATGTACCTATAAATTATGCAATTTTTTTTTCTTTTGTAAAGATTAATTTTACAAATATATACCTTTATATCTTGTATATATATGTAATTAATATGTAATCATATATATATGTATATACATATATATAAAATTAAAAAGTAATTGATTTTTATACACAATTTATATACATATGAATTATGTATTAAAAATCAAATTGACTGCTTTGTAATTTCAATATGAATGAAGTGTGAATACCTTTAAGTGCTCAAAGAACTTCAGCTGACTGTTAAATTTAGAACTACACAATTCACACTTGAAGATATTAGCCTGGACTTCACTAGTCAATTCAATTGTTATATTTTCTTGACTCAATTCGCTATTGTCTTTCCGCGTCGCGTTCTTCTTAGTCTGTTGCTGTTTCAGCTTACGAGGTATCCTCTTCTTGTGTGGCAATGTTCTTTTAGGTCCGGACGCCGATGTGGCGTCTTCGCTGCTCTCTGTAGAAACCTCAACATCATATTCGCTCTTAACATTGATGAATTCTTGCTTCACATTTTGTGTAATTCTTTTAAAGGGTTGTAAAGCTGGATATATAGGTGGAGGAGTGGCAGTCGTTTCCGGCACCGTTTGAATCGAGTATGAATTTACAGGCGCCAGAGTCTCCAGATGAGAAACGTCCGGTAGAGTTGGATCCTCGTGCTGAGACTGGATATGGAGTTGCTGCTGCTTCTGGTGTTGATGAAACTGTACAGCAACCAGAGCCGCAGCAAGCCTACGGTCCTCCTGCATCACATAATTCACATTCTACATGCAAGATATAAATGTACAACTGTAAAAGCACTAAGTAGCATATTACAACCTCTGTCAATTCATGCGGCAACAAGTCGTCTGTTTCATAATATTGTGTCCCTGTGCCGTAGTCTGTGCCAACTCCAGCATTGATCATGTCCACGACCATACCCTCTGAGATTAATTCACCATTCAGAGATAGCAGTGGTACTCCTTTACTTAAAGATTCTCCGTCAGTCCTCTGAATGGTGATATATTGTGCGCCTTCCATTCCTTCCAGAAGCACAGCCTGTGCCTCCTCTGTTGTGACTTCCATATTTGGATATATTCCCAGTACAAGATAATTATCTTATACAAAATCTTCTATCAAATCTAGTTCTTTGTACCTTAAAAATTGTTAACAAAAAATCAATTTACTTAGATGTTCTTCCTACAATTCAGATAAAGAAGATATAGTTTTTTATGTCAATGGTGATTTAATTTATAATTTATACATCCATCTAAATTCAATGAAGAATTTCTATATCCTACATATTCATCAGAAACTTTATTAGCAGAAAAAAATAAAATATAGCTTTAAAAATAGTAGATGCATTTTATACAATTTGTATAATTTATAAAAACTCTTGACAAAAGTACTGCGAGAAATAAAATAATGTTAAGATAGACTCAAACGATAAACTATAAGCTTTATGACAAATGAATTAACATCTGTTCTTTTATGTGAAATAAAAGTACTTATTGCAAATGAGTGTAATGTAAATACGAGATAATGAATTAAAAAGAAAGCAGACGCGACGATGGTTCGTCGATCGGAGTTTGAATTTGGCGCGTGTGCGTGCCCCGGGTCTGACAGTGAGGGACCAAGGTCACTGCACCCGGACCAGTCGGAAAATCATAGCCGCGTCTTGATACGCATCGCGCGTGCAAAAATCCGCTCGCTCTCACCTTCGTTTAGGATAATTCGCGCGCCCGGCCGGGCTCCTCGTCGTCGCCCCGTGAGATTCGCGTGACATAAACAAAGGGAAGTATTGAAACACTGTAGGACAAAATGTGACAACAGTGCTTGGCTCCTGACGCCATTAGACCGGAAGTACCCCTCCCGCGCCGCCCACGCAGGACGGACCGACGTGACGTTTGCACCCGAGAAGCGAAAAGTCCCTAGATCGCGCCGATTCTCGCGATCACGGTCTTACATACTATATAAGACCGTGCTCGCGATCTTTCGCTCCTTTGTCGAGGAACAGCTCCTTGTTATGATAATTGATAATCAATAATTAATAATTAATAATCAATAATTAATAATAATAATAATAATAATAATAATAATTCTTTGAATAACGCGCTTCAAGTACATTTAGTGTATAATAACTCCACGGCCGCTGAATCCCGGTAGCCGCTCTCTTGTTTCTCTCTGATTGATAATTAATAATAAAAAAAATAAAAACAAAATAAAATCGGAGAGGAAGGCGGAAGTACAGATTTCCGCTCCAACAAAATATTTTTCGTTCGCATGTTGGCGATCCTGACACTTTCGACTCCCGATTCGTCTCTTCTGTGCGAGAGTCGAGACTTCCGGTTTCCGATGGCCGTGCGAAATATCGCGAAATGTCAAATTAGTATGTCGCGCGGTAAAGGAGGGATTGTATGCGTGAGATTTTCAGCGTGACGTAGTCACGATCGAACCGGCGAAAGATTTCGTCCGGTGACGTAATTTTTTACACGACGTCTCGAGGGAATTGATTCGTCGATAGCGGCGAAAAATAGTAAATATCAATCCAAATGCGTATATTATATTATCCGATGACACTCGAACTGCGAGGGGTTAGAAACGAGAGGAAGTTTGTACACCTATCTATCTAGCTGTCACTCTGTCAGCTGATTTATTCACTTTAAATGATGCTTGTTTTTATTGTATTTTTATTTTACACTGCTATGATGAACCTCGATTTCTATTGGCTAATGTTATCAGGAAAGGCAGATAATATACACAATGGATTTTTTTTATATTATCGGGCTATTTAAGTAAACAGGATGGTTCATTGAATGAATGATAAAAAGTACTATGAACTGTTATTAAAATAATACGATAAGATCATTTAATCATTTGTACTTTCAGAACCAGGTTCTGGTCTCAGTCTGCAATTATGTGACAGTGTCTGAAGTATCTGAACTGAGTGATGGCTTCAATCTGTCGACGCTGGAGATTATGGATATTGCCTGTACTGACCTGCCTGTATGCACTGCTTATTGTTGTACTCGTACCAATCTTGCTAGTTAATTCCATCAAGCATGGTTTCAAGGAGGAGGATCAGGGTGCACTGGTGGGTGGTGCTTTTGTGTTGCTAGCATTACCCATCGCCTTTTACGAGATTGTCCAGCATATGATATATTACACGCAACCTAGACTGCAGAAATATATAATAAGGTGAACTTTTTGTCGCTAAGAAACTTCAGATTTAGTTTTACACATTCATATTCTCTTTTTATTGTCTAATATTAAGTATGTATAAACATGGATATATATTATTTTTCAGGATATTATGGATGGTGCCTATCTATGCAGTAAATGCAGTAAGAAAAATTTATAAATCCTTCTTGTGTATATTACAAAAAATATGTAAATACTTATTTTATTGTTTATTGTTATGTGAATCTTTTTGCACAGTGGTTAGGTTTGGTGTATCCTGCAGGCAGTATATATGTGGATAGCTTAAGAGAATGCTATGAAGCTTATGTGATATACAATTTTATGATGTACCTACTGGCCTACTTGAATGCCGATCACCAATTGGAACATAGACTGGAGATCTCTCCTCAAGTGCACCACATGTTTCCTCTGTGCTGTCTTCCTGACTGGGAGATGGGCAGAGAGTTTGTTCACATGTGCAAGCATGGAATTTTACAATATACAGCTGTTAGGCCTATATCAACTTTAGTATCATTGTAAGAGGAATATTTTTATTTAATACCATGCAATATTGCGAATGCATTTGCTCATTCCGTGCTTCTATTTTTGCAGTATCTGTGAACTGAATGGAGTATATGGAGAGGGTGAATTTAGGGAGACGTCGCTTTTCCATATATGATTGCTCTAAATAATTTGTCACAATTTGTTGCCATGTACTGTTTGGTACTCTTTTATCGTGCCAATGTGGAGGCCTTGAAGCCAATGAAGCCAATTGGAAAATTTTTATGTATCAAAGCCGTAGTGTTCTTCTCGTTTTTGTAAGTTTACATACTAATGCCTATGTTTTTCTTTAATTTGGAAAAAAATTAAAATAATGCGTTTTTGGTTTTCAGTCAAGGAGTGTTGATAGCTCTGTTGGTATATTTCGATGTTATATCAAGTATTTTTGATACAAACGGTACAAGAGATGATATAAGGAATATAGCATCCAAATTGCAGGATTTTCTAATTTGTATAGAGATGTTTTTAGCTGCGGTAGCGCATCATTACAGCTTCTCTTACAAATCATTTGTCAATTTAGCGCAAGGTCAAGCATGGTGGGATGCATTTAGGTATATAAAACAATTATAAAGATATTTCGAAAAAAAAAAATTATATTTTAAATAAACTCCATATATTTTTTAATATAATATAACTTACATATTAAATAATTAAGAAAATACAATTTATGATATATTTAATTATATTTTCGCTGTAATTGACATATAAATTTATTTTGTAGGGCAATGTGGGATGTTTCTGATGTGCATAATGATATAAAGGAACATTTGGGCGTCGTTGGATCGTCCTTAAGCCGCAGGATACGTGGACGCGGTGCATATCAGCAGACTTGGGGAAGCGCGACCGAGCGTACGTCGCTTCTGCCCGAAGCCACGGTGATAAGTCAAGCCAGAAGTGCGCCTACCTGCTCGTTCTCGGGCTACAACACGGCCGAGGCCGGACTGAACAATAATCCATCCGTCGGAGAATCCGAAGAGGCAACCCCAGATGTGCAGGATAATAGTCATACCGTTATTACGTAGCCAATATATCTGAATCCATCCGTGCGAAAACGGTACTCAATTGCGGCGCGTCATGAAATCGGCGTATTTTGACGGAAACAATTATTTCTTAGAAATAACTCTTACTTTTAAGCAAAGGAAGAGTACATAGTTTTGCAACAGCATTTTCTTCACCGCTACTGTACAGATCATCACGGTCATTTATTATCACATCACATATCGTATTAAAACGCAATGTTCCGATGCCATAAGGTGTCCTCTTTATGATCGGGAACAATTTTTTCTTAGCAAAAATATTGAGACAATTTTTTGACATTGTATACATCTTTTCATCTAAATTTCGAAGTAAAATTCTATTAAATTTTATCAGAAATTATATAAAAGATTTCATTTTTTTATATTTTTTGTTGTTAAAAATTAATTTCGAATCGATCTTAAAAATATGTAGCGAAAGACCATCTATAAATGATTTCGGAACATTCCATATAATGTTTACGACTTAAAAAATTTGATACATGCAGTGAATTTTGTGAAGAGCATAAATTACTTGCGTCCCTATTTTGCAAAATTTACTTGTACATGTTTTTATGTTACCAATGATCACATTACCAAATAATGTATATATACATATTTATAGATATATGTAGAAAAATACTGTATCTCTAGAATATTTGTACATATTTCGAACGACCAACGCATAACATTTTATTATATGTCTAACACAGATGATGTTATTTTTCTCTCGATATTGAAATCACAAGAATGGTATTCATATTTTATTAGATGCAGAATTTTTAATTCTTTCTCGCTTTATATGTATACACGCGAATGTGTATATATGCATATATATATAAATATAATCTGCACTCTCTCTGTATTTATAATTTGAAAATATTTTATAATTATAATACATCTCTCTCGTGCGAGGAAAGACTGTGTTTACATATGACTTCTAAAGAAATTTATAGAAATTTATCACTAGTAAGTAGTTACTGATACAGTAATTTAAGTACTCGAAATAAGTGATTATTTGGACTAACTAGTGATAAATTTCTATAAAGGAATACAATTTTCATCTCTCAAAATTCTTCTCTAAAAAAAATTATAAATTTTTTTAAAGTACAATATTTGATGTCAAGTACATAAATTGATTAATGAATTTGTCATCATTGAACATTAGTGCTATATATTGATTATCCCGTCCTAAATTTTAGATTTTAGACCATTATTATTTTTATATATATTATATGTTTCAAATGACATATGTTCTGAATATAGTATGTGTCTTTAGTTTCTCTATAATATACGTATTTTCCCGCGCTTGGACGCTCATAACCACTTCTGACCCAGTGATAAACATATGATTTGAGCTTTAATCTTCAATACATAGACCGGTGTTAAAAATTAATTATCTCAGGAAATGCAGGACGGACGCGAGATGAATGGAAAAGAAAGTAAAAACGAAGAACACGATGAATATCAATATTTACGACTCGTCGAGAAAATTATTAAAACTGGAACAAAGAGAAGCAATCGCACCGATATCGATACTTATTCCATTTTCGGTACACAAATGCGATTTGGATTACGAGATGGTAAATATATGTTATATTTCTACCATAGAGAAAAGTATCAAGCTTAAACATTTTTTTGATGATATATAAAACGAAACAATTCATCATTCAATAACAGTTTTTAATTTATAACAATTGCACTTGCAGATCACACACAAATTTCCTTGTAAATATACACTCCTCTGTAAAGAAATTTGAGAATTTTATTCTAAGAAATGAATTTCTACAGGTGTTTTCCCATTATTAACAACTAAGAGAGTATTCTGGCGAGCAGTAGTTGAAGAACTATTATGGTTTATCAAAGGATCGACAAATTCCAAACAGCTGACAGCTAAGGGTATTCATATTTGGGATGAAAATGGTTCACGTGCCTTTTTGGATTCTTGTGGTTTCACAGATAGAGAGGAAGGTGATTTAGGACCTGTCTATGGATTCCAATGGAGACACTTTGGTGCTGAATACAAGGATATGCACACAAATTATACAGGACAAGGTATTTGTTTCTTGCTGGAAGATATTTTTTAAATTACAATTACTATATTATATTTTTTTAATCTATTATACAAATAAGAATCCATATATATCTGGAAACAAAAATACAACTGATATTGATTTAAACAGGGATAGATCAGCTAAAAGAAGTTATTCACAAAATAAAGCATTCTCCAGATGATAGGCGTATTATAATGTCTGCCTGGAATCCAGTCGATATTCCAAAAATGGCATTACCACCATGTCACACTTTGATACAATTTTATGTAAATAATGGTGAATTGTCTGCACAACTTTATCAAAGAAGCGCAGATATGGGTTTAGGAGTGCCATTTAACATAGCGTCATATTCCTTATTGACTTATATGATTGCTCATGTTACCGGTTTGAAGGTAAGGGTCAATTTTCTCGTTTTGTATTAAGAAATTCTAGACGAGTTTTTATTTTACTTTCTACTCTCTTTTATTTTCAGCCAGGAGAATTTGTACATACAATGGGAGACTGTCACGTTTATGTCAACCATGTAAACGCCTTTGAGGAACAGATAAAGCGCGAACCACGAGAGTTTCCAAAATTAAAGATAGTTAGAGACATTAAAAATATTGATGATTTCGTTGCCGAAGATTTTGAATTGATAGATTATAAACCTTATTCCAAAATCTATATGAAAATGGCTGTTTAAACTGTATTTTTTAAAAGTATTTTTTCCATAAAATTTTTTCTTTAAAAAATGTTGTTCATTTAACTGTAACATTTTACTTTCACAACATTCGTTAATGTTACTTTTAATGTACTTAAGTGTGATAATTTTTAATGTACTTAAGTGATAAATCAATATGATACTTTTTCAATATTAAACTGTACTTAAAGACTATTTTCAATTACAGTATTTTTCAACGCAAAAAGAAAATTGCTTCTAATAGTTTAATTTTTTTCAGCCTGTTGATAAAAGGGCGATGAATATATTTATATATAATTCCCTAGCCATATACACAATTCTCTCTCTATAGACATTAGTTTCTAATAAAAATTATATATTCTTATAATAAACTTGTATCTTAATTTAATATATCAATATCTTCAAAATCCATTCGCACAAATTTATTTCTCGCGATCTTTTTTTCTTTACTCCAATTATCACATACTATATTTTTTAATTTCTATATTACACAAATGTAATTTCGATCAATCACACATGATACAATCGACAAACATGGACAATCGTGAAAGGCCTTACATATAAGCAGCTGCTAAGTATAACAAAATTATATAATTCCCGTACAATATATATATGTATAAATTGTTTATGTCTTTATGTAAATTAGTTTTATATAAGAAATTATTTCTAACGAAATGAGATCCAATAAAACTTTTACTGAAGAAATATATTGTGTAATATATTTAGCTTTTAAAACTAGTTCTGCATAAATATTTTAATCAGCATAAAAGTGGCCAATTTTATTGTATTCTTTATTATTGGTAATTATCGAATATACAGCAATTTTTTTGTTTTATGAGGTGCTGGAGCGGTAAACAAAGCTCCGTTGTGAAAAAAAGTGACCTCTATATAAAATTTAAAAATGACAAGTTATCGCGAACTTACAATAATCTGAGAGACATCTTACTCAATATCTCATAAATCTTCTTTAGGAGAGACTTTTGTACGTCAAAGGGGCTAGCACATTTGTACATCATTGGACTGTGTACTTAATTGATGCAGCTGTTGAGTGACTGCCAATGTGCCACATTCGTGCACTGTTATAATCACCCAAATAATGTCTAAAAAAATATATATATATAATTTATTACAATTTATGTCCAAACAAAATAATTTAAAAAAGAACAGGAGTATTTATCTTATTCATGGAAGCCAACTGAACAATAATGAATGATAATCTTATGTGTGTGTGTGTATAATATTATCAGTAGATTGATAAGATAAGTAATTACTATTTCAATTATTCAAACTATGTATATTACATTTAGCTCCGGATAAAATGAACCCTTAGTGAGTCAAGTTATTTACAGATCTCTTTGTGACAACTTGTGTAAACATTTTTTTATCTACCTTTGAATTTTATCTTCGAATATATAACTCTATCTTTAAATATATTTAATTATAATTTTTGAATGTTATATATTTTTAACAATTTTTGATTTTTTTTTAATTATTCTATATCATAGGAACAATATATCTACCCTTAAAAATTCCAAACTTACCACCAAAATAGACACCATTAGATGTCATCATTCTCCATTTACTTTGATGAACACCATTTTCAGCTGGGCTCTTCAATGTTACGCTTAACTCTGTGGTTTCTTTGGGAGCTAACGATGGAACTGGTATCCTTACACAACCCATCTGTACTCCACTAGAATGTTGCAAATGAATTCCAATTGGCCAAGTTTCTGTGCCACTGTTTTGTACGCGCCATGACTTCTGAAAATTTGTACTGGGTGGCACAGCTTCCCCTTCACCAATTGTGCTGTCACATACTAATGTCATGCAAGGGGTGTTGAAGGGGTTTCCAAAATCAATGTAACTGCATATCGCTGCTTGCAAATTCCTGGAGAATAAAAATTTTGTAATATAATTTAAAGTTGCATAAAGAAAAATTTCTACTTACAAATCTAAGCAACAAAGCACAAAATAGGTTGAAGATTTATTTAAATATAATAATAATTTTACTATCACTTTTACTGTCAGTAAACAAATGGAAGATAAAAACAAGAACAATGCTGTTAGATATAACTGATATCAATATGTTTCATAATACAATATTTCAATATAACAAATAGATTAATTATAAATTAGTTATCAAATTGTCAACATTGTTAGTTATCGCAAAAGTCTGTTCTCTGTTTTTTAGTTGCACTTTCTGATCCTTCTTCATTTTATCTTCAAAGCATAAAAATGTAAGCATAGTATTTAAGATGCAGAAATAAATAAATAAGAAAGACGTTTTGCAGAGAGTCAATCTTGACATCTGAACAAAATCTTGAGTGAAACAAGCAACCTCTTGACACAGATATTAAATATGACAATAACAACTGTGAAATATTAAAAAGAAATAGAATGAGCCAGAGGACAGGATAAAGCGTAACACGTCTTAAATTGACAGAAGTTCGTCTTAGTTAAAAGAGAACAGATTAAAAGGATTTAAAGCAAGTAATCCCCTCGTGCAAGAAGGGGGAGGAGTGACAATAAACATGGCGATGCAAGGTTATATGCTGCGTGGGCAGCGTAAACGATAACGAGACGACGTCCGAAAGCGAACAGATTACCAATTGTTCATGTCTAGAAAGAACGTGGCGGTCGTCTCGTTGAGGTGGCTGTCAGCTAGCAACTTCTGCAGTTGCTTCACCAGATCGTCTTTGTCCGTGGTGCCGAGACAGCTGAACTGGTGCAGCAAGTGTGGGTCCAGATCGTTGTTCAGGTCCATGATCACTGTTTTTTTCCTTCGGCTCGGTTGCTCTCAATGCTCCATGTGACGACGCTGTCACAAGCTGTCAACGTTCGCTTCTTCCGTCCCTCGTCGCCTCGGTTGCTCGCCTCGATCAACGAATTTTAAATGTCATTCTCTCCGTACGACATTCGGCCGAGGTCCGCTATACAGTGCACGCATATCCGCAGTACTAATCCAGTGCTGTGGCAACAACTGATCGGAAGGATTTTGGGAAGAGGAGAAAGTCACTTCCGCTATTTAAATATATGTCCTGTCTAACTGGATCCTGTCTCTTAAAGAGACAGTTTTTTTTTTTCATTTAATTTCGAGATGAATGAAATATTTCAGGTAGAACGAAAGTTCTTTCTACGAAATATTGATCACAAAATTTTCAATTTATTTTTTCTCTTTGTTTTATTTTTAAGTACGTCACACTTTCTTTTCCCTTTTTTAAAATTTCTAATATTCGTTTCTTTGCTCGTAAGAAAAACTTTGTTACTGTATTCGAGCAACGGGGCTTCGTGATTCAGTTGTACACTCCTATATACAATACACTCCGCATGAAAAATAGATCTCCGCTCTCTCGTGCGTACAAAATGATGACAGTCCGCGCAATAAAGCCGCGATAAGGAGTTACTACCTTGACCTTGTCAGCATCATGGAAGATAGGACATTTTTTGCAAATAAAAAATAATCTATCTCGATAATATTAGTAGATTTCCATCATCGAAGCGATTATTATATATTTCATCATCACTTTACACGTTTCTGAATAAACTTAACATATTTTTTTTCCTATGCTTTTTTACATGTTTAAAAACTTTTCGCCATTTTATTTACGCTCGCCTTCTCCAGAGCTGTCTCGAAAATCGCGATATACGTTTGGCTAAAGCACTATTTTGTAAATTCGCGCGTTGTCTCCCCGGATGTCACCGGGTGCGCCGCGCGCATGCGTAGAGAGAGTCACGCGCATGTGCGGAGCGAATCGCGCGCATGCGCGAAGTGAGTGACGCGCATGTGCGAAGCGCGCGGCGCGAGACAGACGACGTGTGAAACAAGCGAGACCTTGCGTCGCGCCAGGATTACGTAGACGCGTTCGGATGAGCGCTCGATCACGACGAGAAAAATAGACGGTCCACTTCCGTAGCGTGTTCCGCGTCGGCCGTGCGCGACAACGTCGACTTTTGACGGGGAATCGCGTGTAAATCATCGCGATGGCAAGTCGCGTTTAAGGTTCTTTGAAAATCTTTTCGATACTCGAAGAGAGAGAGAGAGAAAGAGAAAGCAGTTACGCGCGCGCGAAAAACCAAGGCGCCGATTGAAATTTGGATTATTTGCGTCTCATCAGGATGATTACCTCGAATGTTAGTCTGGTAAAATAGAAATAGACGAAGAGTCGCGAGTGTTTTTTGCGAGAAGACGAAGGGACGACGAAGAGGAACAAGGTAGGGATAATTTTGCACACGAAGCGTATTCTTTGTATAATTTGACATTTCTTTTAATGTAAAATGTAAGAGATGGAGTCTTGCGCAATCGAAAGAAATTATATTTTAAATATGTATATATTTTCGACTCTATTGATATCGCAAGCAAAAATATGAACAAAATTATTTTCCAAATAAAATAAAAAAACCTCTACGTGGTACTATATTTTGCATAGATTAAAAGAAATAAATAAAAGGAAATTTTCCACAAAATGCGAATTTTTATCATGCGTCCTTTTAATTTGAATTTTTTTATTTTCTGCTTCGTTTTATTCTGTGTTCCTCGGCAGGATGATTGGACCGTCGTCGGGGACGGCTGGCGAAGTCACCGAAAGTCGCGCATCTTCCAAGCGGAAGGTTTTCGACGATCTAGACATCGACAGCTCTAAGCGGAAGGTCTTCGACGAACTGGACATCGACAGCTTCTGCGAGGAGATCCGTCAAACGAATCGGAAGCGTTATCTCCAGGAACTCGAGACTCCCGAGGAGTTGGTGACCACGTCGAACGAAGTGATCACCGACGCGACGACCCTCTTTTCGCCGATGTCTGCTCAGGAGATCGTCGAGGAGTCGCAGGTGGCCCATCTCGAGGTGTTACTGGTGGACGGCACCAATTGCACCTGGACAACCATGTCGGAATTGGAACAGCAGCAGAATCTCGACGTTCTTGTGACTTCATCCTCTTCGTTATCGTCGTCATCTTCGTCGTCGACCACCTCCGAGCGTCACCCGGTGGAAACTTATGCCGTCGAGGAGAATAATTATCAGCCGATCTCGATGAATTATTGGCAACCGGGTGTATCGCACATTAATTCGAACGTTCAGCAAAATAAGGGAACGATGAATAATAATAATGCTAATCAGCAGCAGCAGCAGCAGTTCGAAGACCAGGAAAACGGAAATCTGTCGTGGCTGCTGGATTTCAAACTGGACTCGTTTATCGAAGCCGCAGATGATAGGTCTGTTGTGGGACCCACTTTGACGAAGGACAATTTTTACGGTAAAGAAAGTGCAGAGGACAAAAAAGTACATTAATGCTTTCTTGAATATTAAAATTAGCGTTGAAAAATTAAAATTTATATCTCATAATATTAAAAATGGAATTTCTCATATAAAAACGAGATATATTTCGTTTACAGCTGCCTGTTTTCCAAATAATAGCGAGTAGCGTTGAAAAATTGTATCTTTAATTTTATTTTAATTAAATTGTGACAAATATCTAATGGACTTTACGGTCTTGAGGCTAATTTCGCATTTCCAGGCAACAAGAGCAAATCGAACGGACGGTCGCACAGCTCGAATTACGCCAACGACGTTAGAAAAGGACACGAAAATTCATCGATGTATCGACAAGACTCGAATCAAGTGATGTATCCCGCCAACGAATTCGACAATCGAAATTTTTTGCGATCCAACGGACCGAAAAAACCTCCCTTTACTTACACAGAGTTGATAGAGCATGCTTTGCAAGAAAAAGGTGAACTCACGGTCTCTGCAATCTACCAATGGATCTCGTAAGTGTCATCAATAGAAAATTTATTCATTATTATATAATCAGGATTTGTATTCGTTTTTCTTGCAAAGAGATAATCGGCGTGCAATATTATATAATTTTTGCGTATTTTTATAATCATAGTCTTTCTTAATTAAATATAATTAATTCTAAATATATTTTTTACTTATAACTATATCCATATTTTTTGTTTTTCTTTTTAACTCCTAATTATTGGATGGAATGATAATCCACAATGAAATAATCTAGTAATTACATAAAAAAATAAGATATTGAGAAATGATTGTAAGAGGAAAATCTTTGCAAGTTATATTCGAAATACACGTAGTATCTCCTTATTTGTGTTGCGGCCAAGCAGGAAGCTTTCTACGAATTTACACGAGTATGGTCCACTGTAATCGGGGGTGGGTTGCCGCGGGGGTGGGTTGCTTCTGGATGGTACCCATTGGTACCACTGCCCCCGTTGCTTGGCACCACCTGGCACTAACTCCTCACCCTTCGGCTATCCTTTGCTGCAGCCCTCAACACGAATGCGCACAATTTACTGCTCCTATGCCTTCACCTGTTCGATCGCCTTGCTCAAGCTCCTTGGAAAAAGCCTATATAGATCACTCGTGTAGCATATAGGGCTGTTTGAGTTATAAAAAAATATAGAATAGCTTTATGTCAAAACAAAGGCAGACTTGCAAACATATATACATATTAAAGTCGTATTTTATCAATCTTATTTTCTCTTAATACTTAAATTAATAAAATTAATAAAATAATATATTTTAAATAAAAATACTTCTCTTGAATGTAAGAACATCTCTTTCAGAGATATCGGATGATGCTTACAATATTTTTTTACTGTATAAATTTGACATATACGTACGATATGAAAATATAAATTCGAGACAGATTTGTTAAATTATCGTGACACCATTTGTCACGAGCATCGTGATCAGCGAAGCGAGTAAACACGCCATTTAGCATTTCGAATGCACCCTCTCTATCGTCTCTCTCTTTGTCTTCCACCAAAACCCATGGAATTAATCGCGTAGGGGGTGCGTAACGCACCGTGACATCGCTGTGAGCAGGTGAAGGAAATTAGTTTCGTGGGGACGCAAATTGCCGTCGTGCGTTTTTATGCGCGCAATATCTCTAATCGCCTTCCACTTTGATCCGATTGCATATGTAAAGGATAGTTTTTACTATCATAATTATTGTACCTTAATATCTAGTGTAATTTTTATAAAATAAAAATTAATAAATTATTATAAATTTTATAAAATAAAAACTTTATAGAATATATTTTTTACTATTTTCAGAGAACACTTTCCTTACTACAAGAGCAACGATGATCGCTGGAAGAATTCCGTCCGACACAATCTCTCGATAAATCCGCATTTTCGGAAAGGTTCGAAGGCACCTCACGGAGCCGGTCATCTTTGGGCGATCGCGAATCGCGATTGTAGACCTCGTCCGCTCGCTATCAATGGATCAGCAACCCCTACACCGACGCAACAAGCTGCACAGAACAATTGCGATGAATCCCGGAGTAACGAAATTATTAGGTAAAATATTTAATGCAATTCCTCATCGTATCTTGTAAAAATATTTCAGTGAATTGCTAAATTGCGTATGTTCGCTTTGACATCACAGCGAGATCATGGACGAGGTGGAGGCTGCGGCGGCGAGCATCGCGCAGCCGAATCCTGAAGAGGATACTGAGAACATGCTGAATCCTGTAACGCTCGAGCATTCCGCCGAGCAAATACTCAATGGTATAAAACGCGAGGTAGAGGTGCAATATCTAGTTCCCATGATGGTGGCCAACAACGATCACGAGACGAATCAGCAGAATCAGCAGACTGTTCAGCAAACGGAGTTTCAATGTCCATTCAAGGAGAGCGGTGAGGAAAAAATTATACATCTTAGAAAATTATTGAGATTATTTATGAGATAATGCACGTATTGTTATGAAATGAAATTGACTTACAGATTTCTTGAATCCGGTGTCTAAAGAGGTCGTCGCCGAGGAATGCGGACTCGTGAGCGAAGGATATTTGGTGACTGATCTAAACCCGAACGCCTTTGGATTAAACGTGATCGATCCCGAGATCATAGGATCGGAGAATCTCTTCGGCGAGGAGCTTAGCTTCCAGTTTTACGAGTTGACATCGCCCTCGCAGCTACAATCCGCCTGACACACGGAGAGTAATAAAGTACATTTTATCGTGATTGATGAATTCCAAATACAAGATACGCGCGATGATGACCGGCCGATCGTCTGCGATGCTGCTGAAACCGAGGGAAATATTTCGGAGCGAGAAAACTCGCAAAGAAGATCGCCTGTCGATAACGATCAGAATGATGAATGCATAATGATGAGAAGCTGATCTTGTTTGAACTGTGCTACTGCAAAATTTTTACGATAATTTTCGGAGATGTTCGATCATTTTATTCACAACGCGACTGTTAGAATAGCTAAAAACCAGCTTAAGTGAACCAGTTAATTGATAAGTTTAGAGAATGAAATAACGAGTCAAGTGCAAATACGAGAAAAACATGTATCTCAAATCTGATGCTACGTAGTTCGATGATTTACAATGATATAGTGATTATAATGATCGCCGAAGGACCACCCAAAATGTACTATGCAATTATATATATATATATATATATATATATATATATATATATATATATATATATATATCGTCCAACGTGTGCCTGGTTAAGCGTCTTAAGATGAATGTCACACTTATCTATTATCCATTAATTTCTTCTAGTCTTGCGAAACAGTGTGTAACGTTTTTGTATTAGTAAAGAAAGTATGATATTTACTATTACATGTGTATATTGTATCCCCCATTTATATTTTTGCAAGTAAATGTAAGATATTGGTTGAAAAGTTTCCATAATAATATAAAAGATAGTATTTTTATGTTGTTATGATTATGTTTTGATCATAATCAATTTTAGATATCTCATGAAATGAAAACGTTAAAATAAAATGTAAAGAAAAGACAGGATTCATATTAGTCTGGTATAAATATTCAATTTCAAAATAATTGAGAGAAGCTAAGAATTATAAATCTATCGCTACAATTAAAATTTTATCTTTTATTTTTTACGAACAAAAGTATCATTCTACAGGTTTCGTCGAATCGGTTACCTGTTCTTCGTTATTGTTTTTGGCTGAGTTTTTTTCATGTAAACTACTTAATTTCTCCATTCTCGCCTGCTTCTTGGCCTCCTTTCTCTTCCTTTTCTCCTCCTTTTCTTTCTGCGCAATCATCTCTTTGAATCTTTCATCATGGAACGAAATCTTGAAGCCAAAGTGTCTTCTGACTTCTTCCACCAGACGTTCCTTCCGCAATCTCGCAGCTTCTAGCTCAGCTTCCTTCTTAGCAAGTTTAGTTCTCAATTCGTTTGACCATTCATCCATTTTCATGATTCTCTCCAGCAATTGATTTTCCCTGTAAATGTATCATACAACAATTATAAACTGTTCTATAATTATCAGTAAGTAATAAGTAACAAGATCGATAAAAACATGCCTTGCTTTAATCTTTTCGATCCTTTTCTGTTTTGCCTCTTCCATCTTCCTCCATCTTTTCTGAAGAGAAAATTCACAAGTGACTCTCTCGTACTCTTTAACATCTGCGAGTTCTTTCTCCGTAGGCCAAGCAAATCCTGCTGGCTCATCATTGCCTTTCAGTCCATATCTACCCAACATATGTTTCTTGTACTTGACTCTATAGTGATGCCAGGCCATAGGCTTATCATAAGGACGCAGATCCATGAGTATGTTTCTGTGTGCCGGATCCAGTCGAGACTTGTTTCGCTTCCTGGCGAGTTCCTCTTGAAATCCCGGACTGTCCATTACAGAATACTCTGGTTTCTCATCAGCCACAGCAGTTATGTCGATGTCCTTGTTTTTTAGATCTGTTACATCTGTGGCGAAGAATCTCCCGAGAATGCCTTTTTGGACTCGCACATTCCGACGAACGACGATGTCGTAAATGCATCTCAAACTCATCCTCGCCGGATAAAACTTATGCGTGATCACTGTAAAAAATAAATTATTATTAGTCTGCGTTGGGTAAGTTAATGATTTTTTAAGAAATAATTTTAGATTAAATTAACTAAAATTAAATCAAAGTTAATTTTTAAAAACATTATTTATATATATTAAATTAGAATTTTGTTTGTTAATTCTTTTCAAATTTATAACAACAGATAACAAAGAAATTTTGATTTTTATATAGAAATAAATTTTTTGGTAATTACAATTGATGACAGATGAACATAAAAATTAATAATACTTTAATTTAAAAATAATACGTTTATAACTTTAATACATTTTAAATTAACTAAGCTAAGTTAAAAGTTATTAAAATTAACTTTCTAATTTTTTTTAACCTTTAACTAATTAACTAGTTATTAACTAATCCTGATATTAGTTAATTAATATCCATTGATTGCGTAAAAATACTGTCGGTGAAGTTAATACATACCTACAAATCATTAGTTATTATAAGCACTTGAATAAACAAATTATTTATTTATTAATTACAGTAAAACTCCAGAGGAAAGCCTGACATTTCTCGTGGAACACTTACATAACCTTAAAGATACTCCAGAGAATCCTAACCTAAATTCACCTAGTATCGCCATCTAGAATTATTTAGAGGTAAGGTTATGTAGTCGAACACATGTTTTGAAATTGCAAGACTCATTTAGATCGAATGCGAATTAGTTATTAGAGAAGTATTTCTATTTATGTGACACGTGTGAACGAAAATTATGGAAAAGCGTCTGTCAAAGGTAATTAAATTCACGAATTTTAATTAATGTTGATATTAATTGGCAATTAAGTATATTTTTGATTGTTGTTATACAGATACCAGGAAATCATGGAATTACATATGCGACTTTCGTCCTCGCTGACGAGGGACATACTCTAGGAAATGCACTAGCTCATGTGATAAATGAGTAGTATGTATTACTTCAATTTTATGAATAATAATAAACATGTGAAGTACAAATGAAAATATTGCATATTACTCCAATTTTATAAATATTAATACACATATCAAGTATATTAATGAATAATTTTTAATTCAAAATCAATTTTGTTTTCGCAGTCCTGGTATAAAAATATGCGGTTACACTGTGCCACATCCAGCAGAAAACAAGATACATTTTAATATTCAAACGACTGGGGAAAGTGCGATTGAAGTGTTGAAGCGAGGTCTCCAGGATCTTGAGAAAATATGCGATCATACACTCGAAACATTTGACAAAGCTTACAAGAAATTCAAATCAAGTGACATTCCTATGGATACTACGTAATCAAGTGTCATTTTCATCAGATTTCATTATATTACAAATGTTTTCTAATTAAATAAAAATGTATTAAGTTGTATATATTATTAAGATAGATGTCTTAGCTTTTTTTAATGAAACAATAAAATATATAAGATATACATAAGCTTAATTAATACATTGGTAAAAAAAATAAATACATGCTAAAGTATACAATATACTAAAGTACAAGGAATTAAAGGCTTAGAGAGGAAAAAACGAGATCTATTTTTTAAAAAACATTTCATGAATGTTTATTCAAATTTAAACAACTTCAGCAGCTCTCACGCCACCTTTGTGGGTTTTTGACAGAAAATCAGCGAATTCCTGATACGGTGCTTTAGCCAAAGCCTGTTCCTTCCACAGATCGGGCGTCAAATATGCATATGTTTTGGCGATCGCGGCATAAGTGGCCTTGGCGAAGTTGCCGAGTGTGCAGGTGGATCCTCTGGCTGAGGTATAACAGTCCTCGATACCTGCCATCTGAAGCAGCTTCTTGGGAACTGGGGCGGACACGATGCCGGTACCCCTGGGTGCTGGTATTAAACGCACCTGTACAGAACCGCATTTGCCGGTCACTTTACATGGTACGGTGTGCGGCTTGCCGATCTTGTTACCCCAGTAACCACGTCGAACTGGGACGACGGAGAGCTTAGCCAAAATGATAGCACCACGAATGGCAGTGGCTACTTCTTTGGAACACTTGACTCCCAATCCAATGTGTCCATTGCTGTCTCCGATGGCAACAAAAGCCTATAAAATGTTTATATTTTTTTAATATTAATAAGAGAAATATTTACTCCTGTAATTTTTTTAATATCCTTGCTAATCTCTCTAAATTTTCATACTTTGAAAAAATTAATTATGATCCCTTACGATATCTAATACTTCAGCCTTACCTTAAAACGTGTTCGTTGACCAGCTCGAGTCTGCTTCTGTACAGGCATGATTTTCAGAACTTCGTCTTTAAGATCTGGCCCAAGAAACTTGTCGATGATCTCGTATTCCTTGATGGGTAAGGAGAAGAGGTAGATATGCTCAAGTGACTGGATCTTGCCGTCTCTGACCAGACGACCAAGCTTCGTAACAGGGATCCATTCCTTGCTATCTTCTTTTCCACGTCCACGACCACGTCCTCTGCCTCTGCCTCTGCCTCCACGTCCTCTGAGGCCTCCTCGATCACCTCCTGCTCCACGAGAACCAAAACCTCCACGAAAACCACCACGTGCGGCTGGAGCAGCGTCCGCCATTCTGTGATAAAGTAATATATTAGTTAAAAAAATATTTTGACAACACAAGTATTTATTCTGAACAATTCGATTTCTTTGAAAGTGTTACTGACAATTGTTATAATAAATATAATTGTTATAACTTATAACCTCTACGATCATACTTTTGCAAGTTTTATAATCGCTACTAATAGTATAAAGAAAACGGAACTCGCGTTATATAATAAAACTCGAGAATATAATTAATATTTTAATATTTATTACATATTCTTGATGTTTTATTGTGAAAGTCTAAGTCTGGGAAGCGCAAACACGCGACACGTCAACACGTGAAATTTTACAAGACATTGCCAGACCTTTTTTTGTAAGAAATTATATGTGCATTTTCTTTAATATCTTATATGAATAAGTTATGTAAAAATTATTTTGTATTGTAACTTATTTATATGCAAGAAAACTGAAAAATTTCTAAAATATATACGCACATGTCCTTTCGATCTGTCTCTTTACGTGTGAAATCACGGAAAAAAGAGACGAAGATTTTGATTGTGATGGCGCTTGTTGTGTACTACGTCATATCCGATGTTTCAAAAAATGGCGCGTATCGTACAATAAAAATACAGGAACAGAAACAGGGAATATTTGTTTAAAAGTATATTTAAAAAATGCAAAATATATTTTCATCAAACGACAAAAATGAATGTGAACAAATTATTAATATTATTGATAATAATTTTTATTATATTATATATTTCAATAGTAGATCTTTTACAAAAAAAATCTTTTACAAAAATATATTAATTTATATACATATCAATATAAATAATATTAAAAAAATTAAATTGCTTAATTAAAATATACTTTACTATACAAAATCATCTTTACATTATGTATATAATTTATGTAATGTTATGATTATTTTGTATAGTTTATATACAAATAATAATTATATAAATAAGTTATATGTAAATATTTTAATATAACTATATAAAAATATATAGTTTTATAAATTTTTGATATAACTTTTATATAAAAATTTTTTATATATTCCGTCAAATAATAGGTACATAGAAAGTAAATTATAAATTTATTAAACAACCTGCAGTAATATTTTATCGAATTAAAATTAAATTATACATGCAAACATCAGTGTTGTGTACTTTTATATATATATACTGATATCATACAAAAGTAATCGTTTTATATTTATCAAAAAACTATCTAAAAAAAATTCTATCTACTTGCCTCTATATATAAATATACATAAAATAACAGAGTAAAATGCAAGATATAAAATCAAAACATATTTACGGATCCACAAATACTTTACAAATTATTTCATCTAGGTCAGGATCTTCTGATTTTATTTGTAATATTATGTCAAGAGCTTTTCGTCGATATCGTAAAAAATAATCGGAATATTTAAAAACACCTTGTTTCATTTCTACAAAGCCCCATTTCTGGTTTAGTTCCAGTTTTAAAGATGTAGGAAAGACAGTGGAAGCATGTAACTTACAGATTCGTTCATAAATTACTTTTAATGGCATGTCTGGATAATTTGGATGTTTTTTAGAGTCTATGATAATCTGATTATTTTTTACGTTTACAGCAATGAGCAATGCTGTGAGGGTAAATACCTTATTTCTTGAATGTAATTGTGGCATAACGCAAGGAACTAGAGGGCAACAAAGCATTTTACTTAGACCAGGAAAAGCTTTAAAAATATCGTGTGAATAATTTGGCGTACTTATATCAGGTGTATAAGCGTAAAATGGAAAGGATATGCTTGGAAAAGCGTATGCTATTCTAAATGCAGTAATCGTTCTTTCGTCCAAAGCTTCCTTAATAAGCTTTACTTCAAATTTGTTTTTTATATTATATTTGTTTATCATTATATCAAATATATCCTTCATTACTTTTAAAGTGTAGTGTTTGCGTATTATTACATGATAGAAATAACAAATAGTTAAAAGATCAGCAGTGAGAGACATATTATTAGAAAATTCAAATTGCCGGATTGATGTTAAATGAAAGTACTTATAAATTACAGTTTTTAATAAATCGGATTTTTTTTCCACTTTACGCTTACCACATTCATGTACGTCTATCATGTATTCGATGATTCGTCTTGGACTAAAATTTATTTCAGGAAGAATCACATCATACGTAGAAAATTCATGCAAATACTTGATCTCAGGAATATCATCGTTAGTATGATTTTGAGAAAGGTTCTTTATCTTGTATATTAATCTTAGTAATAGACATTTCATATCCACGTTTGTGTTTGTTTGTTGGTTCCTTATTGGATCCATACTGTTTATGCTTGCAGCAACTTCTGTATAGCTTCCCTCTTTTTCAATGTTGCAATAAATATCAACTAAATGCACGTAAAATAAAATTTTAGCTTTTAAGTATCAAAATACATGTATAATATACATAAGGTAAAAAAATTAATACAGTCTACTATACATTATAAAATATATCGTATGCATAATTTGCTTTACTCGTGATTTTAAAAAGAATGAGAGTAATATTTAAATAAATTTTTAAACAGATTTAATTTTTGTTTCGAAATATATAAAAATATATGTTTCAAAGAAATTGGCACTAAGAACATTATATTATATACTTGTATATTATTCTTTACAGATGTTGAAAAAGTTTCTTTAAAGTCTGATTAACTTTATTTTCAAGGCACAACTTTTATTAATATTGACATTTAAAAATGTATCCTCGATAATGAAAAGTAAAGGAAATCAAATTACAAGGTCATAAATATCAGCTATAAACATACATGAAACTATAAACACATATATATGTTAAATATATAATATGATAAAATTGTTAAATTATTCCTTTCTTTTGTGTTGATGATTGTAAACAAATAAAATATCTTTTAATAGATTTAATTTTTGTATTGAAATATATATCTCTGAAGAAAATAAAATTATATATTACACATTTGAGATTGTTTTGCAGAAATTAATATTATCTAATTAAACAATGTTTATTAATTTTTATTTTCAGAAAAATTATGTTTCTTTATCTTTAAACATATAATCTATATAACATTGCATTTGCAAATATTTGCAATCAAAGAAATTATAAATAGTGAAAATTTGAAACAAAATCATAAGATCATAAACGCAATTACTCTAATTATATATTATTAATTAAAGTTATCATTAAGAGAAAATTAGTGAAAGAACGAGAAGTTAATATCTTCACTTATAGTTTAATTTAATCTAGATTATAAAATATTATTTATTTGTCATTTATAAGTTTGCTAATAACATATAAAAATAGAAACAGTTTTATAAAATTCATTCAACAGCTTATTTGCATTATGAATTAATTTAGCAATTTTCTTTTTAGTATAAAAAAATAAAACTCTTTCTTATTTAACTCTTCTACCCTTTACATAAACTGAAACTATATTACGATCATCGCCTGAGTATATAAATCTTTGGAGCTTTTCCTCGAGAGTGTATTCTTTGAAATTATCCAACAGACTGGTTTTTGCGTTTAAATCTATGATGAGAGCATCAAATTCTTTGCCTGGTACCAGATTACCAACTTTGTTTTCAATTGAAAGCGCTAAACACAAGTTAATAATATACATAATTATATATAATTATAAAAAGAAATGTATTTTGTATGATAATTAAATTGTTTCTTAATATGTACTATCGAATTTTACCTTTAGCACCTCCTAACGTTGCCATATGGAAGACATCTTTGTAATTAAATGGTACATGATCATGTCTCATTATAGATAGACAATTTGATACACGTAAAACTGATCTCATTTCGTCCAACATATTGTAACTTGATCCACCTGAAACATCTGAGAGAAAATACATTTTATTATTAACTTAATAATGAATATTATGTTAAATTATGTTAAATTATATTATGTTGATGGTTATATTAAAATATGTTATTATTAATATAAAATATTTGCAAGATGCTCTTGTGATACCTGTTCCAAGGCCGACTTTAATATTTTTAGCTTTTAGTCTCCGCACATCACAAAGGCCACTTCTCAGATTTATATTTGAAGATGGACAGTGAATTATAGCTGTTCCTCGTTTCTCAAGTATGGCGAGTTCGTTATCCTCAAGATGTATTCCATGTACTAATATTGTCTGTAAAAAAATCAAATATATATTGTAAATATATTTCATTTAGATATCTCTATACGAAAGTATATAATGTCTATTTTTAAGAAAATAATATAAACTATTATCGATTCTTTTAATGTATTTAATAAATTAACAAAACAAAGTATACCTTACTGGTAAGAAGACCAGCGGCATCATAAACAGCCGTGTATGACGATTGATCTTCGTAAGTTTGTTTTACTGCTTTTATCTCGGCTTCATTTTCAGAGATGTGACTCTGAAAAAAAAATAGAAAATAGAAAGTTGAATTAACACTAGCGTATGATGCGAGTGTAACATAATACCTGTATATGTAAATCTTTTGCTTTAGCAATCTTTGCCAGCTCTTGCATTAATTCCATATTGCAACTCAATGCAAATCTTGGCGAAATAATCGGTCTCACAAGCGGATTCTACAAAAATTTGAGTTATGATATATTTTAATTATAATGTAAAATATTTTATCTATAAAATATTTAAAAATTGTTATCTCTCTTATCACAATGTGCAGAAAATAATATATAAATGAATTTACTTCTATTTGTTCAACAGAGTCTATAAAGGCCACAGTATCCTTAATTGATTTTTCTGTGCTTTCATAATATCCATCACTCCGCTGAGTGTTCATGTTTATCTTCCCGATGAAAGCTCGTTGACCCAGCTCTGCAACCTTCTTCGCGAGAATCGCAGACGCCTCGGTATATAGAGATGCAAAGTAACATGCTGTCGTTGTACCTGCTTCCATAGTTCGTTTCTGCAATAACAATTAAGCTAGTATTGATAAGTTGTTAGAATATTTTTGTCAAACACACACTTATATACTGTATATATTTGTAATTTATTATTCTTAGATATTTTTTTTAAATTTGTTTCAAGTACCACAACTGCTTCAAACACTTGTTCTGCAAATTTTGTATCAGTATACTTCTTCTCCAATGGAAAAGTATAGGTCTCCAACCAATCCAACAGATATTTGTCATAACCCAATCCAAGATTTGGAAACTGCACAGCATGAGTATGGCAATCGATAAAGCCAGGTATTATAAACTCTCCATGTGATAAATTATTAACTTTGTCTGCATGAAAGTCATCTATCTTCTGTTGATTTGCTATTGGATTCTCCATAACGTCCATAATCTGAATATATATATATATTACATATATTAATAAAGATACTATTATTTTGTTATATCTATTTAGATAAATTATTAATAAACAAAAAAAATAAAAGCAATATATATAAAATATGTTAAAAATACATTGCCATCCTCAATAAATATGACAATGGTCTTCTTAATAATCAATTCTCCATTCTCATCTGTATGAATCATTGGACCAATAAATATTTGTCGAACCATTGTGAAATATTTTTGGAAATATATACAATATCACTGAAACAATATAATGAAACATGTATGTACATATTATTCACAAATACTTCATCTACTAAAAAATATAAAATATTTTTCAAAATTAAAGATATTTTCCGTTTCTATACATTTTTCTATTATTTATAAGTATGAAATTAATCTGTTAAAAAAATACTGTTACACAATATGTCATATGATACATTATTATCATTATATACTTTATTAGAACAATAAAATAGATAATTATGCAAATATAATTTTATTTCTATGTAAAAGAATATAGATATTATATGTAATGTGTTTTTTGGATAGTAAAAATACTCACTATATGTTCAAATGCAACACTTAATAATGCTTCTTCCACGAACCAGTTGTGGAGTGCTTATCTCTCTCTCTCTCTCTTTCTCTTTAATAGTGGAATTAGATGAGATATATTACAATATTATCACATGATTACAGCAGAGACTATTGCATGGTGATGTAGAAAATGGCAACGTTGCAAAACAGCTGATTTAATATGATGAATCAGTATTTCAGTATGTGATACATCCAATATATATCCCACATATGTATATACATATAAATGGCTGTGTGATAAAGATAAGAGCAATGTAATCTCTAGGCTATTTAAAACATATTACATAATCTATTTTCCTTCACACAAAATAATCTCAAATTTTGAAATTTTAAAAACTTCAAAACTTTATTTTTTATCACAGTTACATAATATAAGGAAAATTACTATTTATAATTAATTGTCTCTATGGCTAATCTCTCAGTTTTCATAAATAATACAACTTATATATATGATTATATAATAAATGATTATATATATAGTATATATATATAATCACATATATGGAATATGTTATTTCTAATTTTTTAAATTTTACTTTCTTCGAAAGAACAATGCAAAATTATTCTAATTATTTTATATACAATTATATATGTATATCTATTTTTGATTATATATAATCTTTTTTATCTTTGGGCATATATAATCAATCGCACGCGTAAACGCACTGTTATTGTTAAAAGGAAATAAAAGTGAGTCGATGATGGATTTATAATAATTTCATCTTTAACAAAATAAGCGCGCTATTTCGTTTTTCTGTATGTTTCCTTTCTAATGGTTTAGATCCTTTTGCAAAAATAACTCAAAGCTAGAGTTAAGCCACATCTTGGGATATATTCGTCTCTTTTATCACATTTGTACATATTTATAATTAATTTTAAAAAATGCACTATATTTTTATTAACTGATTTTTAATGTAATTTGTAATTAGTTAATTTGCATATATTTATTTCAATCTTTAACTTTTACACATCAAATACTGATGTCTAACTTTCAGATAATTTTGTAAGTCCTAATATTATATGAATATCTAAATATGCTATATACAACCTAGATTAGAGAACAAGTATTTTATTTCAGATAAAAGTATCTATAATCTATTATATTTAAATAAAATAAAAATACATTTAAAAAATTCAGCATATTTAAAAATTATATTTTTATATCCTTATTTTATATTTGATTCATATATTTATATTATCTTTGCATTAGATTATGTTTGATATATTTCTTAATTAATGTGATTTTTTTCTTTCTAAATATAAGAATATTTTTAAACATTTATAATAAAATTTTTATGAATTTTTTAAGTAGCTCATCAAAATTTCTCAATATAGAAACGTAAGTATTAACGCGCAAATTTATATATCTAAGAAATTTTCTTAAGAATTTTTTCTATTTTCTCATTACATTGTGAAAAAAAAATTCTCGTTTTATCGTTACTAATAGTCCAATATACAGTTATAATAAAGAGTTTTAACACGCAGCAATGCAATCTCGTTAAAAGGCGCGAACAAACTTTACATTTATTAATTTATTCAGCCTTTTCATCATTGACATATGTTACAGTGTACACTTAATCTTACTTTACCGATACACAGACCATACATCACGCAGACATCGCGAAATTCACATCGGATGAGGCGCGGCGTTTGTTATCTTATAAATGTATCTACTGAGAATATGCTCGATCGACAATCTATGTAACGGGCCGTTGCAAGCATTCACCATTATTTGGTTCATGAAGAAGCCAAAAAAGAAGATGATAATACCCCATAACATCATACGCCATGGTATACTTCTTAGCTGGAAAGATTGCGATGATCGTATGCTGAAAAAAGTTGTTAGAAAATTTCAATGAATATAGAATAAAGAAGAAAGATTAAATACATATAATAAAAGAAAGGATATCAAAGATAATTATAATTACCATGATTTAACATCTAGATTCACATCTTCGATAGCAGTGAGAAATTCAGAAGAAGTTTGCTCCTTCGCACTTGTCCAAATCTCGTTGTTGCCGATTGCACAGTTCATTATATTTTGATTATCGGAATTACTTACTCGTAACATGTTGTTATTTTCTTCTCTTGAACTACGATGGAATTCTGCCTGTTCGAAGATACCACGTAATTCGCTGATGCTGTTGGAACTTCTGTTCAACAATATAAAAAAATATTTGATATAATTTGTGTTAAATATATATGCTTTCTCTCTCTTTTCTTTCTCTCTTTTAAGATATTTAAATCTAAGTCAATAAAATAATAATACTAACTCGGTACGATCCAGTTTCTCGACTTCCCATTTCAGGGATTCAGAATTGAAAGATGGTCTCCTGAGAGTCATACGTCCGGAAACGGAGTTTCGCTGCCTCATGGAATCCTACGTCGAGCAAAATACAAAACAAAAATAATGTAAAAAATATAAGGATAATATAAAGAAAAATTATATTACATAAAAATCATTGCGTTAGTATAGTGCAAAATGTAAGAAGATACCCCCAAAGTGACATAGCTGTGAAAGCGAAAATTCAAAGGTAAAACAATAAGAAAACAAGAAAAATTTGCCTTTGTCACATCCTGCGTGTTGCCAATCGGTCGAGACATTGTGGCTATGCTAGCTCTCCTCCTAGCCGTCTAGAAAGAAAAATTGACGAAGAAACATACAGATCAAAAACATCGTGCGAGACAAAAAAAATGCAAGCCGTGTAAATACGAAGTTGTGTAAAAGTGCGAGAATATATCAATGAAAAAGCTATTTTTAATACACGACGAGACAAAAAAAGAATAGCGAAATAAGCAACAAACGTGAATTATTCAATATTTCCGAACCATTATACGATTATTGACGGGTGTCCCGCTCCTGTATCTGATCCGGGGCAGATCGTCGCAGAGCTCGCCGCAGTTTTCCTCTATCACTATATTATTCTCTATTAGAATCCGTCTGGAAACGAGAATACCCTCGTCACCGATTTATAGTTTACATCCAAACAGAGAAAAGACTTTAAATCTAACTCCTAGTACTTCAATCTTTCACGAAGATACTCATCTAATTATCTATTAACTAAACGCTATCGGAAGACAAGAGGAAGAGGACGTGAAAAGTGCAAACAATTACATCTTCAAAGCTGAAAATGCAAATTGAACGGCGGATAAAGGATGTTAAATAAGTCTGGCTCTCACTTAGTCTCAGCGACATCGGCAATCAGCTTCTCGCATCGGGACTGCAGCAACTGGAGATACCTGTCGGCCAGCAGAATGGCCCGGGAAACCCTATGCTCCTGGTAAACGGCGCCCAGAGTCTCGGCCGTGCAGGACACCCTGTGTGCGCATCGCATAATCATATCCAACTGATGTCTGACCCGTTCCACCCGCTCCACGGATTCCCTGTCCGTGCATAGTGGCGCAAGTTCCTGACGTTATGCAAAATTCAATCCCTTCAACGAGCCAGAATGGAAGGACTATCGCTAAGGACTAACCGACAAGAGTGTTTTGCGGACAATTTAAAAACTTTGCGCGGTTTCAAACTGAACCGCCTTTTGTACGCTCTCTAATCAATTTTAACTATTCGCGAAGCGAATTAATAATAAACGACGCGGTATTTTCGCGTTCGCTTGCCTGAATGTCCTGCTGCATCTTCTGTACCTCGCAGGAGAGATTTTTCTCCGATTGATCGCGTTGCCGAAGCGATATCGCTACCCTTCGCGACAGAGTCACCCTATCTGTGCAGAGGCATAGCGAGAAAACTATATACCTCTTCTACAAAAAGAGCATATTTTATAATCCAACTCTAGACCCAGTAGAGCATCTTGTAATCTTCATATTTAGATTTTGTATTCATTTACCTGCAGTTCGAGCTCGCTCATATTTTCCCTGAAAATAAAGATCATTCCACGATCAATTGAGAAGTCATCTCTCTCGCATACGTATCGAATATGAGATATCAATTTCTACCCACCTGCTATCTGATGTGTCCGACAAATTAGCTATTCCGGATTCCTGTAGACGATTGTCTGTGAGACTCGGGAAGACTCTTCGTTGATCTTCCGGAATCAAAGGCGCCTTTTCCTGCCTGCAACGACACCTTGATCGGCCGATACTTTCGCTCGAGAGTGATCTCCTCGCGATTAGAAGTTGCTATAATAACAAAAAAAACAATACTTTATTATTTTAATTTATAAATGCAATTTGCGCATTTAAAGACTACTATGCAAAACTGACAAAAGTCTATTAGCAAAAATTATTCTGATTCATTCGGAATCCAGACAAAAAAAGTGCATGCGCGTTTATACAAATTAGTTGTCAACTGTTGTCAATTAACAATCGCTGCAAAATATGCAAAGATTAGACGAGTTCGAGAATAGATAAGGACAGTTCACTTGGCACAGATCGCACTTTCAGTAGAAATATGACCTTCGTTTTTACGGATTACAGTATGCGTTATCATAAATGCGTTTGTACAAATAGAAAAGAGGAAAGGATGAGAATGTGTGTGAGAAAATCATGCACAGCACGTGTTGAAAACACACATTCCAACGTATATATTAAAATGAAACTTGAAAGGCTTCGGATAAATAATTACAAGTTCAAAGAGCTCGAGATTCTCTACGATGTGACTTGATTACAGGGGACGATGATTATTATTATACTTTAGCTCTGTAAATGATTAATCGCTATGGATAAATAGATCGTCGGGAAAATACATTGAGATTTTTGGCGACCTTCTCTTTCTCTTCGCTTTTCCACTATAATGCCCGTCGAATGTTTATATGGCACCTCTAAAACAAATATTATTTCTCATATCAAACGAGATGGATCGCCGGATGTAGAAAGGGGCATGTGCGTTGTGACGCTATCGTACTTTAATATAATATTTATAATTTCCGCTCGTGATATCCGGATGGAATTTTGCATTAAATGATTTCTAGAATTGTAAGAAATATGTAAAACGATTATTGTTTACGATATATTTCCATGAATGTATAATTTTCCTAATTTCTGTCATGTTATTTGCAATTGGCGGTCACTCTTTCTAATTAAAAAAAATAATTGTAAAACAAATTTTTTAATTAAAAAAACTTGTACAGTAGAGAAAGATTATCTATAAAATGTTGGACACAAAATTCTAAAAATAAGATAACTAACCGGTTTAATGATATGCATGTTTTTTTCTCCGAATTTATGGTAAAAGTACAAGCATGATTGCGTAAGAACAAGGCGATCGATTAATTTAGCGCAGCAATGACGAAGAGAAGCCTGTGAAGACGTGTAAAAATCGTCGTTAGGCGACGTATAAGGTATAAACTCGCAGACAACCTTCTTGCCGTGATTTTTCATCGCGAGTCCGTAATTAATGCAATTATGTCAGTAAAAGTCAATTTCTGAGTCGGTTAATAGCAAACGTTAATTACTCATCTCGCCTGATCGTGCCACTGAAAAACCTGTCGATTCCATAAAGTATTATTAATTTTTATGACAGCAATTGTAATTATGACAGATAAACGTAAATTAAATGCAATGATCGTCGCAACATTACTTCCGCAATAAGTGCACGATCGAACGCATTCATTCTTACATATTTGTGATATAGAAGGATTTAATAACGAAGATTTAAAATACAGTACGATAGATCTGATGAGTTGATTAGCGTATCGTTTAAAACAATGAGCTGGAAGAAAATACACAAGTTTTTCTTACAAATATTTTTGTTAATGCGTCAAGCGAGTGTTGTTTATTTTTTCGTGTTAATTTGTATCCAAACGTAGACACAAAGAAAACAAAAAAGATATTCTTCATATTCTTTTCGTGTATCATAAAAATAGCAATCGTATCTGTGTTTACTTAATCTTTACAATTCTGAAATAAGTGTTTCTTGCAACATAGTTTGTAGTTATTATGAATATAATTATTAGAGTCATTTTCATCATTAAAGACGTTTAATGAAATAAAAAATACACGATGCAACATTAAATGTAAGAAATAGAAAAAAATAATACCTGTTTTTTCCCTATTTTTTGTTGCTAATTTATTTGCAATCTTGTTTTCACAAGATCTTTTTGCCAGATAAACGTGGAAAAATGATTAATTTTCTCTTTGATATAAAAAAAAAAATATTAGAAATATATTAAGATAAGATGTATATGAGTTTAATTTAAGTTTACATAAATTCTAACATAAAATACTAGAAGTTGCGCATGTTAATTAGTGGAATGCAAGACAGTTGAGCGATAGCGGGCTATAGTAATAGATACGGCGACCGCATGTCGGATAATTCTAACGTTTTATATGAGTAATTAATGTCAATTGACCGCAGATTTATCACTGATCATTTTATTTAACGTAACAACAACATGTTCGTCAATACTAAAGATCTTAATTGTTACAGCTCGATCAATTACAATCACTCAAGAAGTTCGCGTTTCTACAAACTGCAGATCAATTGCTTTCGTGCAACTACGATTAAACAATTGTCGGTGCTCGAGCGACACGTGTCAAATACCCTATATCCCATTTAATTCAGCAAATCAAAATTGCTTTTTTTAGAAAAAGAGCAAGAGAGAAGAGAGAGAACACAATGTTTAATTTTTTAACTAAAAATTAAACTAAATAAATTTAAAACTTAATTACAAATCTCCTTAAATTTACTATGACACCAACCTGACGTTTCCCCTGTTTCGCATTAGATAGATCCCTATCATACGTTTTCATGTCTTTCTGCGTGACACTCTTGCAAGACACTATCTTCGCAGAGGTCAGACCATTTGATGTGGCGATTTTTTCGCTGATGTATCGATCACTGGAGGATTCCGCCACCGGCTCGCCATTTGAATTGTCCTCGCGACTCGACATTTGGCCATCGACTGATCGTTCGACTCGCGGTTCGCTCTCGACACTTTGCACGCTCGCCTGAGAGTGGGGATTCTCTGAACTCGCAACCTTCCTTGAATCTGTGGGAGAAAATAAAATCGAAGAATTAATAGAATAAAACAACTCGTGAGAAATCTACGGGATGTCTCGTCCCGAGACGGATGTAGGAAGTTATTGCGCGATCTCCAACCAGCATTGCACCTTGATATATGCACGTGATACATGTTCGATACATTTTTTTTCTTGATTTGCACATTGCTAATGAGCAGAATACAGAAAATGAATATTTATATTTTCAAACTTAATTGTGTGTGAGATCAATCAATCTGTCAAGATCGAAAAACTTACCGGTGTGGTTACATGAAAATAAACGACGAGCTGATGTAGGACATTCCCGGAAACGATTCTCGTTCGCCAAACACGATCTCGATCCAAGCACCTCATCCTTTATTTCCGTTTTGTATTTGTCTATGATAAACGTAGATGAGCGTACAGCGTCATCGTCGTCTTTCTCGCGTTCATTGTCAATGATAGGAAATAGAAGAGAGTTCGCAATATTCAATTTCGTAGAGTTCGGTTCGTTGGAAACGCAAGCGGTTTCGTTTAATTCGTTCTTGATTTTCTGCGGAAGTTTCAGGCGTGTAGGCGCTAAACAGACTTTTCTAAGTACCGGCTGTTCGATCGGCGATTCATCGCTTAATAGACTATCCCGGAATTGTTTCTGCGGTGACGAGTCGTTCGACGAATTGCTGTCGTTCTGTGTGTTACGGTAATTGTGATTGAACAGATATCTAGGAGCGCTATTTTGATCTTCTCCAATAGTCTTTTGATCAAGTCTCTCGTCGACTTGCGTAGAAGACTCATCTGGATTACTCGAGAATTGCCTGACTTCCAGACTGGACCTTGGATCTTCGCACGAATCCTGCACGATACGGACGTCCGATACGACGTCGAAGGATCGACAGTAGACTGAAATTTTCCTACGGGGACTCGCCGGATTGCTCAAACTCGTTACTTCTTGAGCAATTTTGCCGCTGGTCTTTTCCTCCTCCGATGTGGCTACTAACGACATCGAATCCAGGACGTTCAACACCTTCGGCATTTCACTCGATCGACTCGGGCTCGGATTTTCCTTGTCGTGCGATCCCGTCGATTTCTCGTCGCAATTTTCCTGCTTTAAACAAAAGTCTCCTTGCGCGAAAGAAGCATCGGGAGAATCCGTTCTTAAACTTTGACAATTGATCGTCTGCTGCCTCGAGTCTTCGTCTATCAGTGAAGGTAGTTGTTGAGATTGTGATGGCAACGTGAGTACTGATCGATATCTATAATAGTAAAATAAATAATTAATTGGAATTGTAACCTTGTGATCATCAGTAACGAGACTTTTTTACAGAAAAATATTGAAACATTCATTCGACATAGATATTTTCCCCATGCTTTCCTTTTCTTTAATAACAAAATTTTGTAAATGAATTTCGAGCCGATAATTAATATGTTCTATAATAATTTTTCACAACTCGACCTTAAATTCTCAAATGATGAATGATTTCTGTGACTTTTGAGAGCGTTATGAGTACTATTGATGATGTCGTATAATTCTTCAACAATGGGTTCGATGATGCAAAATCGATTTTGGATGCTCGTGTTGTATACTTTTATAATTCTTGAAAACGAATCGTCGTGATCATCTTTCTTATTGTCCGAGAAGTTACACAAAGTAATCGAGCGCAGATCCGTCTCCGATTTTGTATATGGTTGGCTAAAATATATGGTTTATATATAAAGATAAAATTAACAAATATATGAGAATTTAAATACACAAATGTTTTGAATAACTGGTTCAATATTGTAAATTACCCAGATTTTATAGAATTGATCATCTAATTTTTTAGATAATTTGCGAGCTATTAGAATAATAAATAAGATTTGATATTATCTCGACAAAAAAAATAAATAAAAAAAATAATTAATGTCTAATACGTAGAACAATTATAGGAAACAGGGAGAGAGAATATTTCTACATGATTAAAATTAAAATTATCTCATTTGCCTCCTTAAATTCTGCGATTCATGTTTGTCTGCGAATGAGGTCAATCTTGATGACATAAACAATTCGTGCGGATTACGACTAATTAGAACTGCATCGCACCGTGCATGCATAGATTTAACGCGGTGATGGTGACATTAAAACAACACATCAAACTTGTCCTTGCTATGCTTAATGTCAGCAATTGCATCAATGCTATCTATATCTGTAGCTAACTGTTAGAGAAGCACACATGTATTTCAAAATTATTTTTCAAAATTTCGTCAAGTTAAAAGAAGCATAAATTAACAGTTATCATAATTCTGAAGGAATATCTTAATTTTCTAATTGATGATTAAAACCGCAATTTTATTTTAAGATTGTCTAAGAATCTCGCTGATCGCCATAAATAAGATCAAATGTCATCGCAATAAGAATCTCGCTGTGTAACAAGAAAAAAAATTTCTTGGAAAATAAACAAACCACTTCGATGTACGAGACGTGATTTTTTAAAAACGGAATGCTGCACCAGCTCTCGACACACGCGCGACGAGAAGGTCCGGAACAAACTGATTGCATCCGTCCGAACTGAATCAGAGTCCTTCTCAGCGTTGAGTTTTCGCGCAATGCGCAGTCACACAAGGTGATCATCAGGATACATTTCAAAAGATGGCAATTGCGATAATCGTTCGTATGAAAAAAACATGTAATTTATCTGAAATGTTACTTTATAGTCTTAGGTCTTTAGATTATATAAAGTTTTCAATTGAAGAGAAAGAATGAATGTCTAAGAATATTTTTTTTAAAGAGATTTTCAATTAATATTCACACATTTCAATTAATTTATTATCTAAATAACCATTGTCGTCTTGCTTTTTTTTCTTCCATATAAAAAAATCAATTTATAAATATGTGTCTTTTTATAAATTATTTGTTCATTATATATTTATAATTTATGATAACGCAAGATGATCATACGTTTTTTTATTAAATTATGTCTATGATTTCTCTGCACAATTATAAGAAATCAGCATATATGTATAGCTCTCTCTTAATGTTGTTATTCAATCGAATTTTCCGAACAAAAGCCGTGCGTTTCGAGAAAATAAACTCCGGTATTTTAAATGCAACGCTCTTGAATTTATAATTTATGAGGGACTGTAAAAAACCGAAAATATTCTTTGAGCATAAATTAGATTGATTGATAAACATTTTTATTGAAATGCGATGAAGCGAGAATGAATAGAAAATCATGATTTAGGACAGTCCTAACTAAAGTTATTTTTACATAGAGTATCCATTCGAGAGCACGCTGTCATATATGCAGCGGGCGCGATAACTGCTATTTTTATGGGAAACCCTGAAAACTCGCCCGTTTATGCCCGACCTTGATCCAGATCGAAATTCAAGTCAAATGGTCATCTGCTTCGCGAATTTCTCCCCTTTATGCGACGCTTTATGTATCGCTTAAAATACACACGACAATCACGGATTTCGTAAAAATCTCAGCAATCTGAAAGTTTTCCACTCTTACAACAAAAATTATTTGATATAAAACTGCCTCGTGCGATAAACTCTTCCTCTGAGAATTAATTGATTTTCAGCTCGGTTTATATACAGAATGCGTCAACGAGTGTCATTTGCGCAACAGTTTTGCATTATTATTCTGCATGAATATAATACTTTGAACTTACGCGCGTGTCAGCAACAAATTTCGGAAATCCGTGACACCAAAGTGAGCCAAATCGTCGCTCGACCCATTCACTGAATCGGCTCGAAGCTGCGTACTCGAATCTTTGGTGCTCTTCCTCGCGATCTCTTTGGTGGCCTACAAAAAAAAACATATAATTTGTTGCTTCATATCTAAATAAATAAAGACTGTGAAATCGACGAGCGCTTTGTGTCGCTTTGTCATGAAGATTTTTGCGTTTATCTGATGATAGCAAAGGATTGCAGCACAGTTCGTGCGTCAAGACGGTCATTTAACATAAGAATTGCGATGACATTCGCGATGAAAGAAATGTCCTTAAATAACCCAAATAAAACTAACCATATTCAGTAGAAAAGTCACTTTATATTTCAATGTTTCGATATTGCAAGTTCTAGCGTCCATATCTTGCGAGCTAAACTGAGATGTGTCTTCGATAAAGCTTCGCGTTTTACTGAAGATAAGTATTATTCTGAAAAATACAGCAGTAGATAAAATAAAAAAAACTGTGCTCTAAAAAAGATTAAAGTATAAAAAAATTTTTGACAGATGAAATTGAGATACAAACTTTTCCAGTTCTTCTAATATCATCAAAATAGCAGCGTCGTATTCATCCAGTTCTTGTATATATAAGTCATATTTGCTGCAATCAGCTACAAAACCCTGAAATATATAAAATGCAGAGAAATGATTAAAGAAAAAAAAGAACATTTAAGTTTTATTACAAAATTTTTGTACTTCTTTTGTGCGTAATAAAGTAATAAAATTATTGCAGTTCGATTGAAATAAACATTTTTTAACTTACCGAAGCTTTCAGTTCTGTATATAACGAATCTTGCAGCAATACTTTTTCTGCTTTATAAGGTGTACTATGTGTGCAGCATCCATCTATGTCAGGAATTGACGATATCGAAAGCTGTAAATATCACATAGAAATTATACTGCAAAAAAAAATAATTTATATAAATTTTTATAACATTAATTAGTTTACTCTTTCCGCAGAAGAATAATCTTTGTTAAAAATCGACAGCGATTGCAGTTCTGTATTCTCCTCCGTAAGTTGACAATTCCTTTCGCGCAGATTCTGCAATATAAGTTACTCGCTTTAGCATTATAATTCACGCAATGCATTTTGTATGATATATAATATATTGTAGCATTGTATTTTTCAGCTTACATTAATCGTCTGATCGTAAGTCTCCCTCATCTTAATACTCATTTTCTCCAGTTCAGTTATTGTGACTTTTAATTGTTTACACTCGTCTTCTGTGTCATCAAATTTCTCTTGCAATCTGATGATTTGTTTCATACAGTCCATTTTTTCTTTGCTAATTTTTTCCACTTTAGATTTTAAAGGTGATATAACTTGTATCTATTTTTGTACACAAAAATAAAAATCTTCAATTTGTATAAAATTCCTTATAATTAAAAAATATGAATTTAGTTTCGAAATATTAATTAAATAATATTATAAAAAATAATTTGTGAAAAAATAAAATGTGAAAATTCAATATCGCTTTATTGCCACATCTGTGCGGCGGAAGTCATAAATCTTTCCTGCTGAATAAAAAATCGCAATTAATTTTACCTCAATCTCTGCAGCTTCCAATTGCCTCGACAAATTTTGTTGTTCTTTCGTAAATCTTTGTAAAGTCAAGGCTGTAACCTTTTCTCTCTTAATTGCCTCATTTAATTGATCTCGCTGCTCGTCGTTCTCCTTTTCGAGTTGCTGACATTTCTGAACGTAACGATCTCTATATCGATAAATGCGATTATCGCAAAAGTTTATAGATTGATTTTGAATCTATTTGTTGAATCAAGTTTATATAAATATTTCGATAGCAAGTAAGAAGTTTTATAATACGTACAGCTGCCTCTCGGCAATGCTACATTGTTGTCTGAGATTGTCAATCGATGCCTCATGCCGTTCGAGCTCCTCGCGAAGGAGGATGTTCTCCTCGCGAAGGTCTCTAAGTTTCGCGCGGAGCTCAAATTCCATGATATTTATGTCCATGTCTTTCATCGACGAATCTGTGTCGTTCGTGAAGCTACAATTTGCACACGTCATGTTATCAACGTTGTAATTGTCGCACAGTGCATGCAAAAACAATTATCATTAAATGGCACAACGCACATATCTTACATTCTCGTTATTGTATACTTTACATTTTTTATACATAATCTTTTTCATTTTAAATAAAAAAATGTAAAATAAGAATTTAATTTCTGCAATCTCCCTAAGTCTAAACAAAAGGAAAAAATAATTATGAATAGACATTATTTGATAAATTCGCAGATAAATCCACATTAAAGTGATCCTTAATTACTTTTGTCTAACAATAAGTTTCGTATTAATACCTCAGAATCCCTCACTTACTTCTTGTATTGATCACAAGTCATAATCAGTCAAGTCGCGATGCAGAATCTCGCATTCATTGTCATAAATGTATCAATTTCTATCTTAATTAATTCGAAATATTAATAGAATTTATGTTTGCTTTTTTCATGATAATCAAATAGCAGTTCGCAATGAGAATTTTTTACACGCGCGATCGTATAAGAAGGGCACAGTGATTCGAGGAATAAATCAGCCAAAATATTCTCGTTTTTTTTCCACTCTTCGACACGTGAATAGGATTCATCATGTACGATCCCGAGCGACTGAACCACCTCACGCGAATTGCATAAGAGATATCACGCTGCCAATTTCCAGCTGCTAGACGTAATATTCACGCATTATACACGAATGATACATCCAATGTCGATTATTTTACAAAGATTGATGATCAAAAATCGCCGACTCACACAATCTGACAGACAGAGAATACACAAGCACGTGCGTGTTAAAAAAAAGTATTTATATGCAAGATTTCGACTCATCGACTTCGTATCTTGCGCAAATTCGACGATTTCTACAAGAATTCGAGAAAAAGAAGACGACGGGTTCCAACGCGAATACTTTTCACCGGTTGACAATCGCGGGTTCGTAGTTTGTGTCGCTTATCGCGACCGCGGATAATACGCGAGCGACATAATGACATATATATGCGAGCGATCGGCTGCATATACACATATACACATACATATTCATACATAAGTGCGCACATAAACATATATATACAGGCATAACGAATAATCCCAAAACGCAGTGCAATGAGAGCAGTGAAATGTGTTATTTAATTATTAAAAAAAATTCGGAATTAAATAGCAAAATAAGATAAATACGTTCGAATCATGTTCTTATAGTTAACAATATTAGATTTATTATTCGAACATGTTTCGAATAAATTTTCCATCTTTTCTTACCACTTTGTTATTGTGTGAATATATATCGAAATGTCTCTGCATTTCCTTTGAACTCTACCTGATTCTTCAATTTTGAAACAATTTTTTCTTTACAGGATTATCTCGAGACTTTTGAATTATATATTATTAATTATTATTGTGTAGAAAAGCGGATATATACATTTGGAAAAATATTTAATCATTTAAATTCAATTAAAAAGAATAGATATTCTTGTAAAATTTAACAAAATGTGATTGGAAAAAAATCCTCGACAATGAGAATCGCATAAACTTCGACTCTGACTCTATATGATCTCTTATCGGCCTCTTTGAATAGGGTCGCTTCTGCAAATTTAACGAGCTATACACGTTGCTCAAGCCTATACATATGTAAGTAAAGAGCGAAGAAAGTAGACTGGCTCGATGCTTGCGAAAATATTTGCATATACACGTGTCTGCCTGCGCGTAAATATATATATATATATATATATATGTATGTGTTTGCGCATATCGTGTGCTCTTAGAAGCGCGAATAATTTTTTCAATGTCTCTGAATAAAAATGTATAATATTGTACCAAGCCAAGTAGATTCAAGGTGTTATACCACACACCGATTATAAAGCAGCCGAATCGCTTATCAAGTATAAATTCACGATAAAGTCGCGCTGTATTGCATGTGTGGACGAGAAAAATTATTATCGTCTGTGTATGTAGAACGCGACTTTACGATCAGTCCTCCAGAAATAATCCGTGCAAAAGATGCCACGGATTTATAATGTCGAAGTATACCGCGAGTTTACTTGATTTTTCTTCACGATCGAAGAGAGTCACAAATAAAAATCCATATGTATAGATCTATACTAATAAAATAAAGCAGAATCTGTAGATTTGTTTGAGACGCCGATTAAAAATAACTAAATAATTATATAATATTAATATATATTATGTATTATATAATATATATGTATATTATATTATATATAGTATATTATATAATATTGCTAATATTTTTCGCAAACAAAGTGTGCGATTAATTCAGCTAGTGTTCATTCAATTTATCTAAACACACGCAGTCGTGTTACTCTTTTCTTGCTCAACATTCCATGTATATCTAGTTTACGGTTCAGTGGATTCCACGCCTGTATTGTCCACGTATTAGTGTATATTACACAGCTATCTTAAAATTGATGGCGTAATTCAATACACGCATCGCAAATTATTTCGTTTCTATTTTTAAAAAAATTATAACTATATCTTTATCTTTTCTTTTTGTAAGAAAAACCAGTATGTCCGACATAATTCTGCGTTTCCTGTAATTTGCATTACGGCAAACTGAGCAAAATTACTCAGTACATATTGCTGCTACCGATAATAAACTAGTCTATTTCATTATGCTATTTTTATATACATATATACATTTATGTATTTCTTCTTCTTTCTTAATAAAGCTGCGCTTCTTATACTTACTAGAGTTTTTCCCGTTCGTTGTTATTGCTGTCTTGCGAAGATTGAACCTGTTGCGTCTTGGTGATCCAGCACTTTGTCGCCTCCTTAAATTGCCACAAGTTCACACGGTCGTTATTTGACGAAACAGCGGCTAAACATTTCCAAAACTCCGCCAGGTCGTCGACTCTGTCGATTAAAAGATATTGATCAGTAATTTTTTTGTTTTCGCTAAAGACGCGGATAAGAAATCAGTGCACGATATTATAACAATAATATTAAATATAAACATTGTGCTTGAATTAAATGATATACTTTAGATTAAGATGTACAAAGAGAACCTAATTGTAAGTTTCGCTTTCCATATAGTAATCTCGTTTTACAAAAATATATTTAGAATCGATATCGCGTTTAAAACTATGCGGCAAGTCGTCGATCGGCTTCGTCCTTGTATCGATCGACGAGATACACACACGGGTATAATAATTTGTTTCAAGTTCTCTCTCTCTCTCTCTCTCTCTCTCTCTCTTTCACGTCTCACATTCAGCCGTGACATCAACATTGACGAATGCCGTGTCTATTTCACAGGCACAAGAAGTATTATTAACGTATTTTGTGGATACTTACGACCAAGTCGGCAATTGGTCCTGAACATATTGGACGATCTTGGAGATCGACACCTCGTCACCTATAGATATCGCCGAATTCGGCGTCAAAATAGACGCGTCGCACTCCATAAACATCTGCTGCAAAACTGAAATAAAGAAATATAAATTAATTGTCTGTTATTTTTTAATTTTATGAATATCCAGGTGATACATCTGCGAGCGAACTCTTGATTTGATTCGCGAGATGAGAGAGAAGCCAAGATAAAATGATTAATATATACATAGTCGGCAAGATTATGCATTGTCATTAATTAAACATCAATTTAAATTTAAAAAATATATATATAAATATATATATATAATATATATTATTTGTTCAAGAACTGCTTCGCGGGAAGAGCAATTATTAGTTTGGATAATAAATCGATTTAAAGAGAGATCGGTAAAATTTAAAACTCACAATTTTCCAATTCAACAGAAATTGCTGCAGACATGTTTGCGGGGGAGTCTAGGTTGAGATTTCGACAAAAAAAAAAGATCTCGGTCGCGGATTTAGCGGATCCACGATCGACGAGATTTCGCAGATCGCTTATCGTGATATACCTTCGAACCTGACATATTCGCGACCGACACTGAAAGCCAAGACAAGACAAGACTAAAGACCACCCCGTCGTGTCGTGTCGACAAAAGAAAGGGAGGGAGCGGGGGTAGGCGACAAGAGACTTCTGAAGTCACCTGTTTACATTCACCGCGTTTTGTATCTGTCGCGATATTTACTCGGAGCGGGAATTATAACGCGAATTAATTTCAAAGCGAACATTAATTGTCTTCGGCTACATTTTTTCCCTCGGAAATCGAAATCAACATAATTTTGATATCGAGGGATGTTGCGTTTCTCTAGTTATTACAAGAAAAATACAAACATCTCTGTATTTAAGATATAGAAAAATAAGTATAATCGATATTTAATCGAGGAATGAAAAAGAAATAATAATATATATTATACAAGTAAAAAACTAACTGTAGGAAAATGTAGAAGCTTAACCTTGCTATTGTTCCTGCTCTTGCAAAAGGCTTGTTTGCTATATTTTAATGCGAATTAATTTCAAAGCGTTGTCTTCAGCTACGCATTTAATTTTTTCCTTAGAAATATAGTCGAAGCCGGCATAATTTTGATGTCGAGGGATGTTGCGTTTCTTCCTAGTTATTACAAGAAAAATACAATTTAAGATATAGAAAAATATGTATAATCGATATTTAGAAATTGCAAAACGAAAAAGAAATAATTAATTAATTAATTAATTAATTAATATATATATATATATATATATAAATAAAAAAACGACAACTGTAGAAAATTATAGAATCTTAACCTTGCTATTCCCTCCTCTTGCAAAAGGCTTGCTTACGCTATATTTTAACGCGAATTCTTTTCCGCATTATCAGCGAATCTTAATCTCCCTGCGTTCGATATGTAATAATGTAGAAATATTTATCAGAGACAAAAGTGTTATACTAAATATGTATAATATACTTTATAAAATACGACACGTCCTTCGTCCACGATAACCTCAACCAACCTGAAGAAGATGCGTTTCTTTCGTTCCTCGACTAATTTCAGACAGATCTAAAAACAATTGAACTACTTCGATTTCGACTTTACTATAGAGAGCCGGTTTTTTTCGCGCATGCGCAATCGGAAACATATGTTGAATGGCGCGGAATTTAAATGTTGCGTACGCAATTGTATCCAGAATTTTACTAGTCACTTTCTGCACATGCGTAATTAAATAAATACGAAATACAAAAGCGCAGAAAAAAATTATAATTTACAGGAATTTTGAAAATAAGAAATAATTAATAGAGAAGTTTGATAGAAATTCAATTTCATTATAAATATATTAGAAATTTAGAATAAGATAAATAATGATTTCTCTCAATTTTTTGTTAACAAAAGTTTATCTGAAATTAATTAAAGAACTCGAAAAATGATAAATAGCTAAGAAAATACAAGAGAAATAATCTATAAATCTATACATAGTATAAAAAAACGCAATCTTGCTTATTTTACATAGGATTTACAAGTTTTACATTTTATTCTGATAACTTCTGTTTTTTTTATAAATATGCAAGATTTTATATATAAATAAAAATGTTGAGACATTACATTCAAATTATGCCAATTTACTATAAAATTAATAAGTGTAGAAGTAATAAAATTGATAATTTGTGATAATAAAAAGTAAATAATAAATGATAAAGTCACTACACATTAATCATTGATTTAATATCTAAAATCATTATACAAAATTTTAGAAATGATGTAATTATTATCAAAATGTATAACTTGTTTATAATCCGATTTTTATGACAATTTATAACATAATGCATTCGTAAAACTAATAAGATATTTGTACAAAAATAATGACATAATTTTCTGTCTTTAATATAATACATTAAAAAATATATCACGATTTGTCAAAAGTAGTAGCTTTCTTCAGTTTTTCAAGTACCTCAGGTGTTATTTTAGAATCAGATTGTACAAGATCTGTTAAATATCCATGAACTTCGTGTTTACATTGATGTAATATTTCTGCGATGTAATTACTGGTACAAAGTTCAATAATCTGCAACCAGTATTGAATTAGATTCTGTGAAAGCGTGATTGTTAACTCTCCTGGGTCTAGCTCTTCTATTTCTGCTGAACCTAGAATGTATAAACAAATATATATCAGCAAATAAAAATAAATAAATAAATAAATAAATAAATAAATAAATATATATATATATATATATATATATATATATATACACACTATTTATAATACAAGATTGAAATATGTACCTGTTTTAAGATAAAAAATTATGGTCACTATAATGTGATCAATTTTTGATGGAATGTCTACATCACAGGAATGAAAGCTTAATAATATACGTATAGTTTCGTTAATCACGTTAGCATTTAATTCTTCAATTGGAAATAAATTATGCGATTCTTCGTATGGTTTTAGTATCCTATACATAGCTTCCATTAATTTCGAATAACTTTCGTCATTTTCAAAGTCCTCAAATTTAAGTGAGCCCAATTCTATTATGACAGTCAATACTCTTAACCAATGATCAATAAATGTCAATTCTGTTTTAGAATGACTAAATTTTTCTGTTGATATAATTTGCATGAAAGATTCTAACAATGCATTCATCAAAATGTCCATTTCGAACAATTTTTCCAAAAATTCTCATTGTGTGGCAAACTTATATCAGATATAGACTTAAGAAGATTTATTGCTGACGTTAATAAGTCATCTGCAAATGAAAATTTCACAGATTATACAAATTGTATAAAGCAATTTTTTCATAATGCATTACAGTGCATTAACATACCATTAGTAGAACTATTTAATATGAAGGTTACAGACTCTCCAAAAAATTCACATTCCATAAAGTGAGCCATCCAATTTGATTGGGGATTTTTCTGGATTCTCCATGTAGTTAAATGGAAAATTCTGAAAAGTTGAATTAACATTGGTGCGTCATCAGATGCCAAGCGATTCAGAATTTGTGCAACAAGATCTCTATCATTGCCTATCGTATCAATCACTTCATCGTTGCAGCACATATTACCAATGATACCTAAAATTATTTCCTAAAAACATATTTTTTCAATATTAAAATAACAATTAAAATTTTCTACTCTTTAAAAGTTTCTTTAAGACAATCAAGTATTGAATAAAGATAAATAAATGGATCATACAATGAATCGTGGTTGATCATAATTTTCCAATATGTCCTTTGCTATTTTTGGAAAATCATGCAACATAAGATGCGATACAACTTCTCCTTCCATACTCAGATCCCACAAAATACAAAGCTGACTTTCTAGCTCGTCTGTCCAACCGTTTTCATGTATCTGTAAAAAGTTGTAATACATATCAGATGCTTGCAATTTTATAGTATTATAAATCTAATAAAAAAATATAGATAAATTGTAATTTGAATTTAAACAATTTTGATAAGATCAAAAAATTATTCAAATATTTAAAATCACATAATTAACTGTTATAAAGAATAGCTTTTATAAAGATTTACCTTACACAGAGACATCAAAGTACTGATTATCCATTTGCTGCTGCAGAGATTATCACCCACAGCATCACCTCTTAATGTTTCTAATTCTTGCTCACTAAGATCCTCTGAATTTAACATGTCAGTGGATATATGCTTCTTCCTTCAAAATTTTTTCACTACTTGGTATAATTTGATTGAAAAACTAAAGTAAATAATGCAATGCTTGATCACCTGTACACAACAGATCTTAGGTTAGAACTAACAGCTCTTTTAGCAAGTAATCAAATAAAATATTGATTTTTTTAAATATTTCGTCAAAATACAAAACGCGAATAAAATGAAACAATCTCTTGTGCTACCAGCAAAACTTGATACAAAAGTGTTTCTTGCACTCTAAATATCATAGAATAACAAAGAGCTTTCACTTTGATTTGAAAATATACATATATAGTGCCTCAAGACAGTGTTTATGTACAAAATAATTTTTGTGTGTATCTTTGTGTCGACTTATTTTTTCAGTTATATCTCTCCTTCTATATTTAAAGTTTTTAAATTTCATAAAAAATTTTTTTACAAAATTAAATATTAAAATTGATTTATGACAATTAATCAATATGTATATGTATTTATAAATCAATATAATTCGTTTATAAATCATCAATATAAAAATTGGTAGTTTTATGCTTATAGATTAGTTATCAGAGACCATATTAATAGTTACTTATTCATAATATTCAAATTTCACAGATCATAATTATTTCATTTTATTATTAATTATATATGTCAAAATGAATATAATTGAACACTATGAACACACAAATTTATAAAATTTTAGCAGATACGTTTAGTTTCTCTTATATTTTATATAAGTTAATAAAAGTCAATTTATTCAAAATATATATTCTTTATGCCAAAAAGAATCGAGCGTATTATATGTAAAGCTTATATATGTAAAACATGAGTGTGTTAAAAATATTATATTAGTAAACATATTCAAATTAAGAGAACTATAAAATAAATCATTCTGTAGTCTAATAGAACAAACATGTATGTAGAAATTCTATTTTTAAGCACATATATTCTTATTCGATATGTACATGTATACATACATGTGAGTATAACAGAAAATATTAATTAATACAGACATTATTATAAGATACTTTGCAGTATCTCCATCGGCACTCGCATCGTTTGATCATCGACAAGAACGATATCGAATTTTTCCATGAACAAGTCTAAGCTAGCCTCCACCTGTAGAACAGAAAAATTAGTCATTATACATATTTTAATTATAATACCCGATAATCCATTAAAATATTTACATGTTCATACAGAAATCCTATTTTCAAAATTGTCTTGGTATGTTCTATTTCATCTACCATATTAGCATCACCAGTTGTATCACCCATTAACAATACATTCTTCCTCTTTCCAAGTACAGTCAAGTGCTCTTTCACTAGTGCACATTCATTTTTATTATAGGCATGTATTAGCACATCATTGTTAAATCCATCCAATTTATTTTCATTGTACTTCAGAAAATTAGAAATTATTTTATATTATCAAAGAGAGAATTGTGGTACTTTAACACAGCTTCCACCATATCTCCTAAACCAGCACTTAACACTACAATTGGAACTCTTGCATTATATAGCTTCTCGAAAAGCTCTTCTGTACCATCACGTAATATATTGTTGCATTCTTGGGCTACCCATTCTATCCTGCGAGGATCAAACTCAATTCCTTTTAATATATTGTGTGCAGCTTTCATCCAATCGTGCGTAGCATTTGCTTTTTCATTCAGAGACAAATTTGGATCTATCTCCATGGGTCTGTACTTATCATACAGACGCTTAGCCTCGTCTAAATAATGTTGCGGTAATTGCTCGCATTTTCTGAACATACCTAAAATCATATTTCAATATCACATTATTATATAACATTCTAGTTAAAGTTAAAGAGCATTTAATTGTATTCATTTAAAAATTTGAGATAAATAAACTTAAATTTGACACAAAACTAACTAGATTATGTAATTAGTTTAAAATAAACAATTTAATTTTAAAAAATACATTATAAATACGAATAAAAAATGTGTTACATAACAATACAACTTCTCTACTTTCATTTTTTAATGTAATCAATTATCATGTGTTTACCAAAACTACTAAGCGTAGGTATTCCATTGATGTGTTGCTTCGTTAGAGTTAAATCGAAATCTGTAACCACCTACACAGATAATTACAAATTAATTAGCAAGAAATATATATTAAAGAATAATTTTGAAAAAAATACATAAAGAGAGAACGTACTTGCAGATTGTCTGTGCCACCTTGCAATATCGTATTTATTGTCTTCAAAAGCGCATCCTCGTCCTTGATATATACATGCTTCAACCTCAAAACGGGAAACTGAAAGGAAGAAAATATTTTGCAATACCATCCAAGAAAGTTCATGTCATCGAACGAAATGATTAAATTTACTCACGTCGTCGATCGTAACTTCGTTGCTCATTATTGTAAATTCACGGAAAACCTGTACAAATCCGTTGTCAAGATACAACAAAACACCTCACCGCTCGAAACCGGCTTCTCTCAAAACGTTCCGACCTCGTGTACCGACCACCGAGTGAATGTTGACATGCTATAATCCACCAATCAACAGCGACCGAGTACGGCGCATGTCAAGGGAGTTTATATGTATACAGGGTGTTATAAAAGTACCGGAACAGCAGAATAACTCAAAAAATATGAGTCCTAGAAAAATGTTAAGTACTGGGTTTTTATAATTTTTCTTGGCTATCTGACGTTCAGATAACCAGGAAAAAATCATAAAAACCCAGTACTTAACATTTTTCTAGGACTCATTTTTCGAGTTATTCTGCTGTTCCAATACTTTTATAACACTCTGTATATATTTGTTTTTAAGTTGCTCTCGTTATTTGCATATAAAATAAATGTGTTATTGAAACATGCTTTATAATAAGTTTCTATGTACTTATAGTTTCACGCAACTTATATATCTAATATTTTTGATAGTTAATAATTCACTATAATAGTAGAATTATATATATGTAAAGTTCTTTATAAAAATTTATACTCTTATATACATTTTATTATAACTAATATAAGTTATATTTAATAAATTGAACAAAACAAAATATATGTACAGTCACATATAAAATTATATAATTGTTAAATATATAAATACTAGCCAAAATTATACTACCTTTTAATTTTTCAGCTTAAACTTTTTTTCAGCATAACTTGTTTTAAAGTGCATGCAGAGATTTGAATAATAACATGTTTTGAAGGATAATATAGCATATATTAAATTATAATTCAATGTTATGCCAGCTTTCAAAACGTGTTATGATTTAATAGAGATCCATTCACTTTAAATCATGTTATGATAAAAATCAAAAGGTGATATAATTTTGGCCAGTACTGTGTATATATATGTATATATGTATACATATATATGATGTATTATATATATATATATATATATACGTGCATAAATACAAATAATTTATATAAATGTTGTTTATAAATATTGTTTTATGAATGTTTTTGTTATTAAAAATTTTCATTTTATCTTCTAATTTTTATTTTAATCTTTCTATTTTATAAAATATAAATCATTATTTTATCTTCCACGGTATTTATTGTATAAAAAGTATAGAATATTCTATTATCGATATAATATAAAATTGTGATTTAATTTGTTAAAATGTTTGAAAACCCATCAAAAAGTTGATAAAATCGTTTATTTCAATTATTTCTGGCTCCATAAAGCCTTTACATTTAATCACTTGTCGAGGAAACTTTATCTCTTATTCATCTTTAAAATACATTTCCATATATGTATATATTCTTATCTTCTTATATCAATCTGTATGCTAAGTTTAAGGTTGATTTTAATAGCAAAAGTGTTTACTTCTATCTCGTTCTAAAAGTGAATTTGAATTTGAATACTCGTCCTTAATGCGTATCAGTGCATCCAACATAATTCTCTCGAGTATTAAGAGCATAAAATTTCTCGCAGCATCCATCATTCGTAATTTTTCTCCGTTCCAATTTCCTGGAAATATTAATAAAAACGATTCGAACAATCATTGTTTGTCAAATCGCGATTACATAACAATTTCATACACACACACACACATACATATACATATTATATATATATATATATATACATATAAACTCGAAAATCGAATTCTCCTTAAACTACATACTCAACCTAGATAGGTGCCAGATCAACCGGGCAGTTCGCATGCGCGGCCGTCTTGTCGCTGACTGACGTCATCGGCGAAGTTCGAGGAGAGACGCAGCGCGAGAGAAGGGGAAAGAATCGGACAGGCGAGGCGGGGAAGGAAGGGAATCACGGTCGTACACGTGTGCGCGGGCGCGCGCGCAAGTGTGTGTAGGCTCGTTCGGCGCGGTCGTCGCGGTGCGGTTGCTTGATTTGTGCTGGTGCGGACCGTGGAGCGGCCAGCGGTGGCCAGAGTGTGTCAGTCGGTTGGCAAGTCTCGCGGCGTTGCATTTATCCCCTGTCGTGTATGACTCAGCAACGAGAAGAAGCGAGCCGATAGCGCGAGTGGATCCGCTGTTAGCTGACGAGGGTGCGGTGGTGGTGTGTTTTAGTGGCGGGTTGCTGGTGGTGCTGTTGCTGAGCGCTGCCTCCTCGTTCGTCGTCGTCGTCGTCATCGTCGGCGGTAAAGTCTGCTGATCGCGCGCTGACTGGTCCATGTGCTCTTCTGCCTAAAATGCTTATCAAGGAATAGTAAGTTGACGAGTGAGAAAGGAAGGACGAGGAGGGGGGCGAGGAAAGGGGACAGGACGAGGGGGCTGTCAGGTGTGCGCGCCACAGTGAATGTCATTAATTTCGTGACGTATCGAGCTGACAGAAAATTCAAAAGCGATCGACAAGTCGCGATTATTACTAATCTTTAACGGCAACTTGACAGCTGGAGGGGAGTTGAAGGTGGAGGGATGGTGAGACACTCGTCATCCCTTACTGCTTGAGGTCTGCTCGTTTTAGTTGCACTCTCTGCACCTTGTTCCTTTCTCTCTCTCTCCGAACTGAATTTGGTTCCTTTTAAAAGCGGAGAGTGCAAGGGAAGTGCAGCTGAAATTTCAGCTGACCTCGAGAGAATTCTTTCGGCTACCTTGACTCACCGACTTGAGAATACTTTGATGCGGACTGACGTTCAGCCGGTTGTAAATTTCAAACTTTATCGATCGCTTTTGATTTCTGATTCAATTAAGATCGCCGAGAGCGATACTGTACGCCAGCAACGTGTGCCCCCCGTCCGTGTGATGCGGGAAAACGTGACTCAAGGCCACGATCGCGTTACCGTCATCTCCTTCAGTTCTTCCTCTTTCCTTTCCTCGTCTGACATAATGCTGACATAACTTGTTACTTGTTTGTTACAGCCGTGTCACTCTGCCCCTTACAGTGGAAGAGGTATGTGTCTGATCTGTCAGAAAGGTCTTGCCCCTCTGATAATGACCCAGTTTAATATAGGCCTAAGGATGATTAGATTGCAAAAAAAATGGATGACCTAAAATTTGTTAACATTACTATGCAATCAGAAAAATTGCCAATCATCTAATTGTTATTTGCATGATACTATATATGTTTGATAATGAGTTCTTACATAGAATTAGTTTGCACAATTGTAATTGAAAGCCACTTTTTTTTGTCATAATTATTCCTTATTATTATCTGTTCTTATCTGAATGATGATTCTATATTTCTATTCATTATTTGTTCACCTTGGATTACTAAGATAGTAAAGATATTTCAATAATACAATTATGTTCAAAGTTCATTTTTTAGTTATAATTTATATTATTTCTGTTTGATTTAAATGACTGAATTATATGTGAATTGTAGTGATAAATAAATGCAAAAAATGAAGTATGAATAATAAAGATTTTGCTTTTTCAAAATGAATTAAAATATATATCTATATATCTGTCTGCAGGCAAATTATGCAATTCAGAACTTTTTATCTGACTCTTTGAAAACTATTAAATATTTATAAAATGTTTTTCTATTAACAGTATCAAGTAGCTCAACTATACTCTGTAGCAGAGGCTAGTAAGAATAATACAGGTGGCGGAGAAGGTATTGAAGTGTTGAAAAATGAGCCATTTACGGATTACCCATTGCTTGGTGGAAAGTACTCATCAGGCCAATATACATATAAGATTTATCACTTAGCTAGCAAAGTGCCTGCTTTTATTCGCATTTTATTGCCAAAGAACTCGCTGGAGATCCATGAAGAGGCTTGGAATGCTTATCCCTATTGTAAAACAGTCATAACTGTAAGTGTGTGTTGAGATATATTATTATAACATTATATATTATAAACAATATTAAATACATACATTTATAAACGTTATTTTCATCTTTTCAGAATCCAGGATATATGAAGGAAAATTTTGTGATTATGATAGAATCCTTTCATATTGGCGATGTTGGCAATCAGCATAATGTAAGTAACAAGATTCGATGAATATCTCCATTTGTTTACTTTGTGTTACATTTGTCTTTTGTCTCAAATAGGTTCATGAATTGCCGCCTGATAAACTCAAAATTAGAGATGTAGTACATATAGATATTGCAAATGATCCGGTCGCCAGTGCCGATTACAAGGAGGACGAGGATCCAAGCAAATTCAAGTCCCAGAAGACGGGACGAGGCCCTCTCGTAGGGAAGGACTGGAAGAATAATGTTCAACCTGTGATGACGTGCTACAAGCTAGTCACTTGTGAATTCAAATGGTTTGGTCTACAGACCCGTGTTGAAGGATTTATTCAGAAAGCAGAACGGCGCCTGTTTACCAATTTCCATAGACAAGTGTTCTGTTGGATAGATCGCTGGTATGGTTTAACCATGGAAGATATTAGAGCTATTGAAGACAATACAAAAGAAGAATTAGACAGGGTAAGGAATCTCGCTTTTTTTCTTCGATTGTTTCTTATTGAATTCGATGATTTTATTCTGCACGCGAATTCTTGAATTATTTGAAAATTTAGAAATTTCTGATTATATTCTAAAACACTTCTTTTATGCGTTTGCAGCAAAGACATCAAGGAGAAGTGCGGGGTATGCGCGCTGAAGATTGAGACTTTGATAGCTTCTGTTATGAACGGTTAAATCAATTTCCTTATACATGTCAACACAAATACATACGCATACCTACAGATGTACACCCTGTTATGCTCTGTCATAGACGATTCCACAGAATTCGAACGATTTCCGGAGTTTACGTGTCTAGATTCAGTGTCTATTACAGAAGAAATTACTTACAATTTTAATTTATTTTACATTTACAAGCATTTTAGATAAATGTATCTACAAAGATTATTATATTATTATTATTATTATTATAATGTAGTATTATTATAAAAGGAAGAAATGTAAAGAATCAGGTCATCTGGTTCTCATTTATTGCATAATTATAAAAAAAAGAAAATTTGGTTTCGTAAAAACCATTATAGATAAAGAGTTACGATTACTTAAAAGCAGTTCGTAGTTCGATAATAATAGATATTTAAAGTTCATTAACAACAACAAAAAAATGCTTGCTGCAAAGTACATAAGAGAACAAAGGAAATATGTGATTTAACTTTGCAAGTTTGATCGTAGTTAAATAGTTTAAAAAATCCACTGTTTAATATATATACATATATATATATATATATATATTAATGTACAATTGAAAAAAAATCTAAATGTTACATATATTAATGATCCGTGTTTCGAACTATTATTATTTGAGACAGAAATGTGATCGTGTATTTTCTGAGAAGATATCGATAGTATTTTATCAAATTTTTGCGAAAATGTATATGCGATTAGGAAATTGATTCGAACGTGTTTCAAGGATCTCAAAATGTGTTTTTACAGCGGGATCCTTGATCTGTGGAATTTTTGATTACACGAAATACACATGGTACTACGATAAATCCCAATTTATATAATGTTCTTCTGTTTTTCTACGTCCGTTCTCAACGAGCACGAGACGTGTGATGTATCTATTCTTCTAAAAAGATTAGAACCAAACTGATGGATTTTTTAATTATACTGCGATTCTAACGATGTAATATTACCATTACACCCTAAATTGTTTAAATGAGAATGGAGAAACAATGATGTATTCTATGTAAAGTGCTCACACCAGATATACATATACACACACATGTAGAGAAGCAGTTTTAGGCTATTCAATATTGGTGACAGCGGGTGAACGGCATGAAAAGGTGCGTTATTGTATATAAAAAGAAAGAAAAAAACAAGGAAACAATGAAATTCGAATTCGAACGACATATGTTAAGTTTCTTTGCATTCCAATAGATCTCCGAGTACAACCGATCAAGTATTCTAGAACGCTGCTCGTAAGGTGACCCATTGCAAGTAATACAATTATGCTTTAATCTGCAATTTTTTTCTTAATACATTGAAAAAAGACGAATAATAAGTGTTCATTATATGTGATAGCTCGTTTCTGTCGAAACGAGAACAGATCAATTGCTATATAGATGTCTTATGAAGCGTATTTTTTGTGGAAATAATTATTTATATTATAAATCGAATCCCCAAAAAATTGGATTTATTAAACTTTTTTTTAATGGATCTATATAAAGAATAATCACAGCAGCAGCAGTGTTCTGACATAGTGATAGGATCTCTAATTAAAAATGTGATTAAAAATGAGAAACAGTAACAAAATACATACATATATAATTTAACTGTCATTTGCACAAAGTAAATGTATTCTCTGTATTATGTTGGAAGACAGAATAGCCATAGTCTAAGATATAGCTTTATCTTCGTATTTATATACGAACAGTGGTAGCCACGACGATGCACATATTAGATATTTGTATTCAATATATTAGATACACGAGATTTAATGAGAGAGGAAGAAAGAGAAAAAAATGGGGCACACATTTATCCGTTATTTCCTCGAATGAAGGAAAAATAGATGTGTCGTTGAAACGTACTTGTATAACTTTAACGAATCTGCCTTTGTTCCATGACTGCGTCGCCCGTTTTGTTAGACACGTACGCGGGTTCACACTACTGCTGCAACTGTTATCCTATACTATATGATGACAGTTACTTAAATAGATAGACTCTAGCCGTTCCTGAGACGTATGACAAGCAAGGGTAGAGAAGAGTCTTCGGAAAGAAAATTTCCGTATCGCTGCCAAAGGGCTAACAATGAAAATGTGTATGTGTATATATGTATATATGCACACTTGTATATGCGTTTTTCCTTTCTATGCATACATACGTGTATGTGTATGTGTGCGCGCGTATGTGCGTATGCTCTCGATCCAGTCACGTATATTTAGTCAACAAGAGTTAATAAAATTAGAAGACATATAGCGTATAAAATTTATTTCAATATTTGTGTTTTTATATATAAAATATATATTATATATATATATATATATATAATTTGACCGATACGATGCATATAAAAAAGATATTTTAATTTGATTATATAAAAAGAACAAAAAAATACCAACAAATTGAATATTACCTTATATGTGCGATATCGATTTAGAGGTCGTATTCTTTGATAAGATTTCCAGTGATCACGAGTCTCTGGATTTCCGACGTGCCCTCATAAATCTCCGTGATACGTGCGTCTCTATAATAACGTTCCGCCGGCATATCTGCCACGTATCCCATCCCTCCTAAGATCTGTATGCATTGATGAGCACAGAACGTGGCGGTTTCTGATGCGGAGAGTTTCGCCATAGCGGCTTCCTAAAAGAATTATGAAGCGCAAAAAGAAAATATGTTAAAATAATTTATTCTCACTTTGCCATTGAGAAGAATGCGAGAGAAATTTTATGTATCGAAATAAGATACACAGAGCATCATGTTCAATGAAAGAAATAAAAATTATATGTGCGATACAAGATAAAGAACATCACGTCTAATAAGATAAGCGAAATATTGTATAGAATTAATGAATATTTATTTTAAAACGCACCTTTATGTACGACTTGCCGTTATCCTTGAGTTGAGCCGCTCGCCAGGTCAACAGCCTCGAGCTTTCCAATTTCAGAGCCATGTCGGCAATTTTTTGCTGAATCGTTTGCAGCTTTATAATAGGCTGACCGAAGGCTTGACGTTTAGTTGCGTAATCTATCGCGCAATCCAGAGATGCCTGAGCTATGCCCAACGCTTGTGCGGCGATTCCTATTCTACCAGCATCTGCAGAGAAGATGACATTACGTTAGAACAATGATCTTAAAATTTATGTGCACGATTATCGCGTACCTAGAGTCATCATCGCGATTTTAAAGCCTTGTCCCGGTTCACCAAGTAGATTATCTCTTGATACTTGACAATCTTCAAAGATTAATGAACAAGTACTACTTCCTCGTATACCTAATTTATCCTCCTTTTTGCCCAAAGAAAGACCGGTTGTTGGACTATCGACTATGAAGGCACTTATACCTTTGTGCTTCTTAGACTTGTCGGTCGTTGCGAAGAGAACAATTGCCTTGGCTTCGTATGCGTTCGTTATCCACGATTTAGTACCATTAATTGTGTAAGTATTACCATCCGCTTTGGCAGTGGTAGATGCAGCACCAGCATCAGATCCATTGCCTGGTTCGCTCAATGCAAAGCAACCAATCTTTTCCTCAGTTACAAAGGGAGTAATATACTTTTCTTTCTGCTTATCCGTTCCGAATTTTTCTATAGGACCTAAGTAGAGAGAATTATGTGCACTCATTATAACTCCAGCAGATGCGCAACCTCTTGAGATTTCCTCCATGGCTATAGCGTAGGCCAGGTAATCCAACCCTGTGCCACCTAATGCTTCAGGAACGCATAAACCCATGAGGCCTAATTCTCGCATTTTTTTAATCTGTTCCTTTGGAAAGAGGTGTTTCCTATCAGTCTCTGCTGCGATGAGTTTCAATTCATTTTCAGCAAAATCTCTGTAATTATGAAATTTTCATGATAAAGCTGGTTATACTTTGCGCAACAGTATATCAAGCAGAATATTTCTATATAAAACATATATATTACATTAATTCCTCTCTATGTAAGAAATTTCATATACAAACTATCATGTAATACCTGCATGTTTTGTACAACATCTGATGTGTATCTGGCAACATGGAAAGTGAGGCAATGTAACGGTTGACAGAACCTCTAGACACACGGTTGACATTTGCTGCAAATAACACATTGAAATGATAATATATATAATCCACACATATATATATATTTTTTTTCTCTAGAAAAATATTTATAAGTAACATTTATAAAAATATGTAATATATTCACCGAGTAATCTAGAGCACAACATGGTTGTTTATAATGACGTTACACTTATAAAAATGAGAAAACTTGTTATGGATACGTAGAATAAATTCAAATGAACTTTGGAACTTTGATTAGAACACAATGTAATATAGTGTCATATTATGTAAATATAGATATACTTCTATAATACTTGTATAATACTATTAACATGTATACATTAAAATAATTATTATATTTTCACTGCAATGTAACGTAATAGAGCGTTTGTCTTTTTACTGACAAGCTACAACTCCTTACAAGTCTGTCACAGCCTGTAAACAAGTTACATATCTGTGTATCACCAGAGGAAAGCTTTCTCTTTGATCACCCGACGGTAAAGCTGACACGTATAGAACAACCACGTGTGCATCATGATTACGGACTTCGAGATTATGAATGAATCGCGATAATGATTGTATTATCGAGATTATTCATAAAATAATCAAGTTAGAAATGCAGTAATTAATACATATGCACCAAGTGCATCTTTGATTAGGCACCTGTAGCCTATTACTTTGTTAATAATTAAAGTGCTTTTTAAAAATAGATAATCACGATAACATAATCATCAGATGAATATATTGTATGTAAAAAATGTCAAAAGAGTTAGCGTTCAAATTGCACTTTTGCGTTAAATTTTCATCATCCACGTACATGCATGTTTGACACGTCCCTTAAGAAATTGCGAGCTCTTTGACATGTAAAAGAGGACCTCGCTTATATATCGAAAAGAAAAGTAGATCGGAAGAAGAGAGACAGAGAGACTCGATAAAAAATTTCTAGACGCAGTCTCGGATTTCCCGCGTCCATGCGCGTATCTGGCGATCAATATATCGCCAGGGTACAAGCGCGCGCACGTATGGTCCTGGTTCAATAGCGACGAACCCTCGTCTCCAGCCGGTCTTGAATCTTTGCGGCCGCTTCGAGAAGAGCACATCGCTTGTATTTTGCACCCCGGCGAAGATCCATTGAGTCATCATGTCGAGCAGCAAGTGCGTCAAGCAACCGCGGAAGACGTACACCAAGGAACAGCATGAGATGACGCACTCCGAGAAGCTGAGACTGATCGACGACGAGCTCAATTCCTTTTACAAGTAACGAGTTACTTCTTTCTTCAAGTCATTTATGGGACCGTTATGTCCTAGTCCTACAAAGAAATCGACAAAATTAATTAATAAATATTTATGTCAGTTTTATCATCTTTACGTTTATTTCAATAATTAAAATTGATAGCTATGAGACTATTTAAAAAAAATTTCTTTTTATGTAAAAGATTGTGATAATATTTAGCTATTGTTAAATTTAAAACTTCCTTGCAGATATTGTCAGCAGGCGGGCTTCACCGAGGAGGAGATGGACATCATTTGCCAGCCGCTCGTAGCGGCGATGCGTCGCTCCTGGTTGCAGCTTGTTTTTCGCGGCACCCTGGTGTTGATAGTGCTGGGTACCTTGGCGTGTCTCGCGGCGCAGCTCGACTTCGTCGGCACGCATTTCACCGCCCTTAGTCGTCTACTGCTGATCAAGGTGTTGCCGATCTGGAACTGGCAGCCGCTCTATTACGAGAACTGTATGATCAACAATCCCTTCTACAACGATTACACCATCACGGAGGAGGATTGTGTGGTGCGCCTTGTATTTTAATGATCTAAATCGTAGCTATTACTCGAGAAACAAATTTTGCTGTCTAAAATGTAATATTTTAAGTGAAAGTTCGTCGATGAAGTCGACTGATATTCGTTCTCCAAGTTTGCACTTGGATAATTACCAGATAATTACTTTTTCACAGACTTGCGAGGCCCTGGAGACGATTGATCGTCTGTCGGACGTGCGGTATCGCAATCTGGTCGACAATTATCTGAGTCGAGACGCACCGGCCATCATCACCGACGCGATGGACTCTTGGGCGGTGATGAATACAGATTACTTTTGGTTCGACAACATCACCCACGTAAGTAGCAGCTTCGTCGTCCCATATCTTCTCGATTCATTTTCGCAAAAGCAAGTTGTGGAAAAATTAAAAAACCGATTATTTTTCCAACAGCTCTACTTGGAGAACGAACGCTTGATGGAGACGGTGCCCTGCGCTCTGACTTCCAACCTACGTACCGGGTCATCCGATCTTGCAGCCTTCCTACGACGGGTTCACGCGCCCGAGGTGGCCAAGTGGTTCGTCCATTGGCAGAACTGCGACATTAACGCCGTGAAGGTGCTCAGGAAGTACTACCAGCGTCCGTACTTCCTCTCCAGTACGGTCTCGCCGGCGCATTTTAACTGGGTGCTCATGTCCTCGGATTACAACAGCCCGAGCTACAAGAAGGTCGAGCTCGACTCCGGCCTGATCGCTCTCGCGCAACTTCGAGGAGCGACTCAGCTGCGGCTGACTCCTATTAATCCCTGCAACAGCTCGTGCCCGGAGCTAATCGCCGACTTGCATCAGGGCGAGATGCGTAAGTGCGACTCAAGTCGGACTGAAGTACGGAACACCTTTAACACGGTAAGCTGGTAACTGGCCAGCGGTTCTGAAAGAGGCACGTTCAAGTTTATACATATATATGTGAGTTATATAAATTATTGAAATATATACATATTTTATATATAATTAAAAAAAGTATTATTCAAATTCGCGTTGAAATTCGATTTGCTGGCTGAAAGGTGTTTCGTATTTCCGGCTAAAGCTGTGGGTGAACAGGAGATTGGGCTTATAATGAATCGAATTTCTCCAATATATATTTTCACGATCTCAATCTAAAGTATCTTCATAAAATTTCGGTATTGTCTGTGCGATAATATTGTCAATGACCTGCTGCGAGAGGAATCGAGAGATCTTCGAATTAATCGTAATCTCTGTCGCTATATATATACAACTTCTATTTTCACGATAAAGATTCAGTTTACGCAATAAGCCAAGTGCTTTCAATTCTACATATTTCTCTTAAAAATCGATTATATAATATTTGTTTGATTTATAGAGGACCTGCCTAGAACTGAGTGTGACAAACTCAGCAAATTTCTTCTTTTCGAATTTGTTATATATATATCTTTCACATCGCTTGTGATTTTCTCGTTGATAATTTCTTCGTTTTAACATCGCAGTTGTCTTCACGAACCTGATGTGGACGCTCGAGTACGCGCCGATGCGCGGCCTGGATAACATTGCTATACTCACGGAAACCGTCTGGGAGGAAGATACGTAGATTACAACAAATGTCGTGGATGGTTTCGTCATCGTCATACGAAAAAAAATATCCTTCTTAGTCTCTTAATACTCTTCGACGCGGAAGCTATCGATATACTTGTATACTCGTCCCTCATTATTATGATGCGCTAAATAAAAATTGAGCATCTCGGTTTCTTCAGGTAGCGAGTCGATTATTTTCCCGTTCTCTCTCGTTATATTTCAGGCTTAGAATATATCTATCTATAACAAAAAAAAATCATAAGCATGATACAACAATAACTCTCTCAGAAAAAGAACTTAAAACAAATTGATTTATAATGCTACAATTAACGAAATTAGCGCCATTATAGTTCACACAACGAGGTATACCAGAAGTAACAACAAACAAGATTCGTTTTTTATTAATTAATCGTTTATAATAACATTGTGTGTGTGTTTTTGTGGGTTTTCTTTTTTTAAATCTCTCTTTCCTCTTTATATATAATATGTATATATATTTAGCAGCTTTTTTGTCTTCCTGTTTCTTATTTCACTTCGACCTAACAAGGAATAAAATTCGTTACGCGCATCGATTCATAGAAAAAACAAAGCGCAAGATTACTGAATGACAAACGTAGCTGGCGTTTTTTTCTTTTTCCTCTCTCTTGACATGCTTAAGAGACGATGCGATATTTTCTTTTTTTTCCTTTTTCATTTATATTAAAACGTCGTACGTATATATATTTATATAGTCGATTTGCGCTACCTCTTGCTCCTCTTCATACATCCTTACCGTCTTGAGAAAGAATGACAATAATTGGCGACTAATTAATATACCTTCCGAATTAGCTTCGTAATCTCTCTCCTCTTTATATGTCGTCACTTTGATTAATTATTGCGCGCTCTCTCCCTCTCTCTCTCTCTCTCTCTCTCTGTCAACGGAGTTTTCCTATGAAACAAAGATCCACGGATCCTAGGACAGAGCGTCGTCGATCTTGTTGAGGCATCCGGTGTCCGTTTAAGATTATTACCCAGAGAGCTCGGAAATTTCTCAATTTCGACCGACAGATTTTTTGGAATCTAAAATAAAAATATTTCAAAAAAATAAACGAATTGTCCAACATATATAAAATTGTACAATTTTTCCAGAATAAACGACCAGATTTTTTTAATTCGTCAAGTACTTTACTATCGCTCCCGTGACAGTGAGACTCTCAAACGGACTCCGTAAGATTGCTATTGACGCTATTTATCGGTCCAAAGTGTCTGTACTGATGTGTATGTGTGTGTGTAAATGTGTGTGTGTAGGGCAGGGAGGAAGGGGAATTATATTCTATTCTATTCGACACCTAGTAGGTGAAATTAACCCAGTGCCTTACGTTCTAAAAGTATCTACCGAAAGAAACGTCTCGGAAAAAGTAGGATTCATTTGGGCGCACCTGCGTTCCCTTCAGCATTTCGAGAGTTCGCTCGCTCGCTGGATCGACGATTTTTTTTTCCACGACATCGATCGCCGCGATATCAAAAGAGTTACACGGATCGTCCACTCAATAGCTTCTAAGTAAGTTCGATAACGATGAGAATATACAGTGAGATATACAGAGGCGTGAGTTTTCAGTAAAACGATCCCGAGAAATCCGGCTCTGCCCAGTTCTGTATAATCGGTATCGCTAGATTAACATTGATGATTCGTCATTGCGATAGAATGAGATTAATCAGACGGAAAAATTATCCATAATTTTCTTCCGTGTGCCAGAATTGTAATCGTTTAATTGATTACATATATATAATTAATATATAAATAATATATATTAATTATAATATATAAATACAATAATAAATATAATTCTTACAATATATATATATATATATATATATATATATATATATATATATATTCTATAATTAATATATAATTATTTATGTTTAATTATATATTGAGTAGGAATATTTTGCGGTGAAAAAACGAAATTCGTATTTCATAAAACTTGAGCAAAGAAAGAAAAATGAATTACTTCACGATTATACAAATACATATGAGAGAAAATGACGTATAATTTTTCGCCTCTGAGATATGATTTCTTTAAATTTAATTGATAAGACGCAATGACGAATCAGGAGCTTTGACGAGCGTCTCGCTATTTTATTGTTCTCGTTTGTCGATCGACCGCGATCGATGACTATTGAATCGTTAGCACTTGGCCTGGACCAAAGGACGAGGATCGCGGATGACCCGTTTGAATGCGAGATACACAACAAAGTTTGTTCGCGTGAAAGTCGTATAGAGGGTGCGTTTTAGATGATCGTATCTAAAAGTCTAACGATGATAAGTAAAAATGCTCTCTGTCTCTCTTACTCCTCTCTTTTTCGTTCTCTTCAACTTTGTACCGTAATTAAAAGCACTAATGCGCGCCGCATAAGTTACTCTCTATTTCTTTCTTCTCTCACAATTTCTCTCTCTCTTTTTTTTTCGAAGATTCGCTTTCTTCTATTGGAACCAGCTCGAATCGACAACTCTACATATAATTCTTGCTCTCATTTTTTCCTCTCTTTACGCCTATAATCAATTTTTTAAGTTTGTAACAAACATGTATACTTTCTCGCTCGCGCGAAAGTACTATACACGGCTATATATATATACTATAGAGATATGAAAACGCAGGAGACAACCGAGAAAACACATACAACGATATATCGCGATATATGTACGAGAGATACAAACACTCGCTCTATTAGTGTTTCGGTACTCGTTATAATATATTCGCGGGAAGGGGGAGGGGGCGCATTTGGAAACTTTGGTATCAGTCTTTTTTTCACATCGCCTGAATCAAGATTACGATATTCGGATATGAATAACGGTGTTGTTGTTGTAATACAGGGCGAATCACGTGTTAGAGGGAGAAAGATAATTTTAATAAACAAAAAAGTCGCAGAATAAGCTGGCGTGTACACGATAAGGGACGTACTCTACACAAACGAAGAATTTCCAATCCTTTTTTTCAATTCGACTACCTATCAACCACCCGAATCCAGTCGTGTAGTATTAAGTTCTATAAACGAGCAATCGTTATTTTCCTTTCTCTTACGCTTAGCGAAGCGCATATATATAATAATATATGTACAATCTAATCAAAAAATACACAACGAAGCGAAAATAATTTTTAGCGAGCGTTCCAACATTCATATCGCAAGGCTCAAATACGCGGAGTCGAGACATCATCGCGAATTTTTCTCGCGAATCGCAAATCGCAGATTTGGACGATAAAATAAAAAAAGCAAAAAAAAATTGTTTCGAGCCTCGAGATCTGTCTGTGATATACTTTTGATTCGCACAGACTCGCTCGTCCGCAAGCAAGATTGCCTGATGATGAGAAAATAAGCACCGCGTCAGGGAGATACTATCTGATTCCCTCGATTAATCCTTTCACATATATATATGTATGTCAATATACAATACTTCTCTTATAGTCTTATTCGAGTTTCTTTGATAAATTTTTCCTCTTTATTTATATGAAAAACTATTTAATTGATAAACTATTAAAATCGTAAAGTAGCTAGGACACAGACTCATCACGCGCTAAATAAAAAATTATCTATTTAGTTATTTTACTTAGTCCGATAAATTTAGACTTTCTGATGTAAGAGACTTTGCTTTGGTCCGTAATAACGTATACATGAGATTTACTTCTTTTTACATTATTTTATTATCGCAGAAGTAATCTTTTCAATCCCGCTTTCGAATGTTTAACATTCTAAACTTTAACAAAGTTTAATCGCGTAATATTATTATTAGATTATTAGATTTTCTTCTTTAAAAAAAAAACCATTGTAATTGATGTATGATCTCAATAAAGGTGAAAGGATTAAATCTCAAATTTGCTAGAGATTATTTCATTTTTCAACAGGATTAATTATCTCTCTGTACGTGGTGCTTCTTTCTTTTAAAAATTCAAATTTGCTTCGCTATATATTAATATGTATGTGTATGTATTCACTGTCGCCGAGAAAACATATACACATGAAAAGCGAGTACACGCACAAGGGTAGGCGCGACTAATAACAATTAAAGACAAGATCGCGTTGATGGCGCGACGATGATTCTTGATGATGATGATGATGATGATAACGATAATGATGATGATGAAGTGATTCGACAGTGGATCCAGAAAAAATTCGTCGCTCTTCCTCCGCCGTATTGTTTCTTTTTTGTCCTCGTTAAAGATACCTTGGCGAAAGAAAACAATCGAATGTAAAGATACTTTGTACAAAATACGATACAAGTAGCGATGTAACAACATTTTGCAATAGTTAAATATAATATATATATATGTATATATATGTATATATATATGTATATCTGTATATGCATATGCATATCTCGTTATCATTTAATACGCGCGTACACGCTATGATCTCCCGTTCCATCTCGTCCATATCTCACACATACGCACACGCACATACACACACACACACACACACACACACACACACACACACACACATTATGATATATAGTCATCGTTCGATTCGCGACCGATTCGCGTGTCCCGATCGAACGATCGAATAGTGTTTCACGTCTATCTGCATCTCATTGGTGTTTGCCATCGCTCGGTTTCGCTCCCGATTTTTGTGCGCCATTTAGGACGGCCCCATATTAGACACATCGTCCCCGAATCGATTCTCTTTTGATCGAACAAGCGATCCCAAACCCGAGATTCATCCGAGAAAATGCGGGGGACCGAGATACTTCTCTCTTTCTCAATTTTAATTTTACGCGCGCGGGTCCATCCGAGAGGATGCTAAAGTAGAAGCGAGGGAGGATGATATAGGATAGCGGACATATGAGAGGGGGAAAAGAGCTTCTTATCAGTCACACACACATATACACACACACACACACATACACACTCATGGGAACAAGAGAAAATTGTCAAGACGAGAGATCGTCATCGTTTATTTGTGTATGCGCCGCCACGGCTCTCGATATTTCCACGAGAAAAGGAAAAAATAGCTAGAGAATTATCGATTAGAGATATGATTATTGGTTGCTGCTGGGTGAGACGGTTCTCCAAGGCACACCCATGTTGTTGTCGCGTCCTCACTCCTATACGACGATATGGTTATATCCCTCTCTAGGTCGGCCTCCACCTCTCTTCCGTCCGCGTGACAAAACATCCGGCTTTCGACTTATCCGATTTCGCTACGCTAAGTTTGCACGCTTTTCTTCTCTTCTCGAATTCGATACAGTCGCGGAAAAGGTTTATCTTCTCCCATAAGCGGTTCCGAGTAACGAAGCGAGGTTCCAAGATGACGAAGAGAGATTGGAAGAAACAATCGCGCGGATACGCGATTTATTTATTTAAGACACGACGCTGATAATTGAATATGGCGCTCCATGTTCCTGGTATTGATTATCTCGAGTATGTTGGGAGATTCTTAACAGGCGAACAATCGGTAAATATATATATATTTTTGTTTAATAGACCGTGCAACACCGATCAAGGATCCTATGTCGCGCGAAGAAGAAGAAGATTTCGGAGAAGAAGGATTAAGAAGAAGTTCGATGAATCTCATACATATCTCTTGTCTCTTCTCGATCGATGGAATCGTCTGTGTCGATTTTTTTCAGCATGGACCTTGCACCTCGCTTTTCCGATCCCGAGCGGTATCTACCGAACATCCTTTTTCTCTTCCGAAATTTATCCTCGATTATTATACTTGTCCAGCAACAATTTCTTTCTTTCTCTTTTTTTTACAACACGCACAATTAACGGTTATTAATAGCGGATAACAACAGCAACAACAGCAGCAGCAGCAATGGCGGCGCAGATTCTCCGCCTCTTCATCCTTCTCCTTTTCTTCATCAACAACATGTCCAGCGAGATTACTCGTCATTACGTATTTCTTTTCACCATGAAACAACGTCGTAATACTGATTTTTTTACACAATTTGCCGAGAGATCGACTCGCGCACGCGTCAAACGTGAACGTCGAACGCGAAAAGGAAGAAACGAAGAAAACAACCACGATAACGCGTCGTCATTATCATCATCATCATTATTATCATTACCGTCACCATCGTCGCGCCATCAACGATCGCTCCTTCTCACTTGCCCAATCCAAACTTCATGAAGATCAGTTCTTTGCCCTTGGATAGTATGTCGCCGCCAGCGCTCGCGCCTGCCATCTCGGTGAACTTCTGCATTAGATTCGGCCCGGTGCTCTGCTGTTGCGGTTGTTGCTGCTGCTGATTCTGCTGCGGGTTAGGCTGCGTCTTGGATTGCGCCGTAGGCAGCACCGCCGGTATTCCTCTCATGGGTTTGCTGGTGCTCTGAGGAGGCTGCATTCCAGGCTGCATCTGCATTCCACCCGGCTGATTCTGCTGCGCAAATGGCTGGCCCGGTTGCTGCTGCTGCTGCGGCTGTTGGAACGGTTGCTGGCCAGGCTGCTGCTGGTATCCCATACCCGATTGTTGCTGCTGATACGGCTGATTCGGCTGCTGTTGATACGGCTGATTCGGCTGGCCCTGATAGTCCTGCTGTTGGCCTGGCATACCCGGCATGTTACTACCAGCGACCCGATTGACCACGCCGCCCCTCCCCTTCCCCTAAGAACAAAGAAACGCGGATAAAACATTTTTTCTCCCTTAGACATAAAAGATGAGTCTTTCTTTTTGTCTCTTTGTTGAATTCGTCCAAAATCGCTAAAATGACAACTCCGTAAAACCATGTCTATATCTTTTCTGTCTAATTCTATCGCACTTTCTACCAGTTTTACTTTCGCTATAAGTGTCACTTGTGCGCGAGACGAGGCTTATCTATTATCTTGAAGATTCTACAATTCGCTAAGAAAAATATAAATTATTTGGTAATTTAAAAGAGATGCAATGATTTTTGTTCCACGTCGTGGTTTAAAATTGTCGACGACAGAAATAAATAAACGAGAGTTGTTGATAGACGAGGCGTATGTATAGTCCAAAGAAGATAAAATAAGAACAGACAGGAATATAAAGATGTTTGTGTTGATATTTCCGATTCGTCATAAATTTTGTAGAATATGTATATCAGTGTGGAACATTCACGCCATAGCAGTCTATCAAAGCAAGAAATATATTTTCAATATTGCGACGAATTTTTTAAATGAATATCACAAAAGACCAAATAAGACGATAGTACAACATGCTATACGATAAAAAGCGCTTATACGATCACGTAATAAAGCGCGATTCACATTTGCAAAATTACACATACGATTAAGAAAAATGCAAAAATATCAGATCGCTCAGAGTTTCCTAATAAAAAATAAACTACGAATATTTTCCAGCCTACGTTTTACATTTGAAGAAACTGACATTTTTAAAATTATTGATAATTTTGTAAGGCAATTAACATAGCTTATATTGCATCTATATATATATATATATATATATATATATATATTTTGCAGTTGCAACATGTATATCCATTTTGCATTCATGCAAAAGAATCAATCATATCAATTAGCAAAAATAGAATCGCGAGTTAGAATTGACAATGAAGCACAAAAAGCGACAAGTACGATACGAACGCACAAAAATATATATAAAATCTCTATAAATTTCTTCTATTCTCTATAGAACTCAAATTCAACATCCATATTTTATATATCAAAATAACGACGTGAATAAAATAAAGAATTTGAAAGAAAATTTTGCTATCTCTAAAAGAGTAACAATTACAATAAGAAAATATACATGTTTAACAATATTTTTTCTCAGACTTAATAGTAAAATTCAAATTTCAATCTCTCCATTCATTTAAAAAGAGGATTGACAACTCTCTTGATGACATATAACAGTAATAACCACGCCGCTATCACGGACAGTCGTCGATCGTGAAAGCCTCGATGTACCTGAACAAAATAAGCGCACAAAAGCACACACGAATTTGACAAAAAAAGCACAGAAAATGAGAAAGATAGAGAGAAAGAAAAGCGCACGAAGAAGAGAAATTGTCGGAAGAGGAGCGGGCTCACCTGTTGCTGAAGGTGGGGCGGTACGGGACCTTGCTGATGGGCACCCATGACACCGCCGCCGGGTGGCAAGTGACTGGGCCCATGCTGATTGGACGTGGTTACGGTCGTGTAGCTGTGGTGATTCGCTTGTTGGTAGGCTAGATGCGGTGGATTGTTTTGATGTTGTAGTTGATGTTGTTGGTTGTTCATTAGTGATGGTGGTGGTTGTTGTTGTAGTTGTCTAGAGTCTAAGTGACAGACAGGGACAGACACAGGCACAATGCAGGCATCTAGCAACAGAGAAGAGAACAGAACCGTGTTGTCATTTATGGCGCATTTATCTCTTACTTTTTCTTTTTCTTTCGAGTCGATCGAGCATGCCGGAGTATATTATCATATTTTCGAGATTCTAAAGAGTCGCGCGCGATTTAATTTGGATCATCCAAATATCTCAAAAGTTCTTCTAGAATTATTAAAGATGTGATTTTTTAGGACAATGTCATCATTCGTTTCTCGGCATCTTTGAATCAATTTAGAGTGTAATTGTCGATCTTTATTACTTGTACGAATCGATCGATGAATAATAAAACGGAAGAGATCAACGTAATCGTAAATGGCCAGCATGACAACACGACACGAACGACAATCATGTGACACGACGACCATCGATCAGTTCAGGCACACAGAAACAGATCATGTCGGTATATTAAAGTAAACTGTTATATATCACAGCAACATGACCGTGTGTGTATATAATCAGTCGATAAATATATATATATATATTTATTTATATATATATATATAGTGTAAATATAATACGTATGTATAATATAGACAGAGAGAATAGGACAGATATACGTAGAGTAGTAGTAACAGAGGCAGATAGTGCCCGGAGAGAAAAAAATATATATAAAAATATACGTATATGTATATTAGATATATACTTAATAGAAGACACTGAAAGCAGCTTGGTGTTTCATTGCATATATATATATATATATACATATATATAATATATATATATATATATGTATTTTATATATATATATATGTATATATATGTATATCGTCGTGTGTATGACAGCACGTGTTTCCTCTGACGTTCGTCAATTCTATCTTATGTACATGTGACACAGAAAAAATTTCTATCGATGTATATTCATGTAAAACGATCTTAGCAACAATTTAATTATTATATATTAAATGCCTACACATAAAAGAAAGAGCGGGTTTTATCGACGATATTTTTTTATAAGTGCGTTCATCTGCGTGTACACATTTGAAGCGAAACAACGAGTCCCTCTGATTTAAAAGATGCGTGTGCGGGTTATAAGTTATAAATACTTTACTCGAAATGACAATTTCGTCTAATTATACACCGCATGCTCATTCGGCTCGAATTGACATATATCGATTATCCGGAGACTCGTCAGATTAAAACGCTAATAATTGATATCAGTGTGACCCTTTTGCCTGTCGTCTGGCACATCTGGTTTTCGTGTCTTATGTTGCTTGCCGTTTGCGTTTCCGTTCTTTTTTTCTTTCTTTTTTTCTGTTTTTTTTTACAACACCGACGCGACGCTATGATTCGCTTTGAGTGAATTAAAAACACGAGTTTTTTTCGATTCGCGACCATGATTTTTTTGACAAAAATCGGCGCGTCGCGTCGGTGTAGAAACGCACGTCAACAACTCCTCGAGCCAGTTCCAACATCCCGTTGCCTCGAATCGCGTCCAATTGTTAGCCAATCGCTTCTCAAAGTTTTGTAAAAATTTGGCGGCTTTCTCTTATATTTGCGCTGCAAATAATACGTTGCTACATCAAGGCACATATCGGTAAACGTCGAAACGATATCGATGTGACACACGGAGGAAAAGAATTGTGCTGTCGTCGCGAAAACGATTAAATTTCGCTACTATAATCATTTATTTCGTTTATTACGATCAAATTTATTTTTCTCTGTAAAGTAAAAAAAATCTTGCCAAATTAATTCTTGTTCCTTTCTGCAACAAAAACAATGCCACAATAGTGTATCAAAGAAGATAGAACAAGTGCATCTTTCATTTGCAGATTCGGAAGACAAAATTGATATTTTTGAAAGAATCCTTTCTTGTGTAATAAAAAAATCGTGACAAAATTTGCTACAACATGAAACACACTTGCTGTGAGAGCAATTTCTTTTTCTCCGTGCAAAACACACAATATCGTTGATCTCGATGTCGATTTTGGCTTGAGGAGCTGGATCCATGCCCCGGCATAATCAGCACTGTAAAAAAGAATCGATATATATAACGATTGATGCTGTTTACCTTTGCCGCGTCGATGACCGGCCGGAGGTGGTTCCCGAGGAGGCGGCGGCGGCCCTCTCGCGCCCGGTCCCTGACTTTGACCGCCGGGTCGTCTGCCACCAGGCGGCGGCTGTCCCTGATTCTGTCCCGGTGCTTCGGTGAGGAAGTTGCTCGGCACCAAACCGCGCACGCCGTTCAGCTCACCCATATAAAAGCCGTCGTCGTCCATATCGCCGTAAACGTAGATCTCGTTCCCAGTTTGGAACGTCAATTCAACTTGCTGTAAAATTAAAAAAGCGATTAGTACTGCATAATAAATTATATGCTAATTTTTATATGTATATGCGTAACTATATACATATTATAATTCATGAATAGAAAACAGTCGATAGATTCTTAAGAAATTATTAAATGATATTTTTACGAATGAGATTTTTAAATTTGAAGTATTACGAGATAAAAATCTTACAGCATCGACGTTGGGAGACAATTCATGAGGATCGTAATCATAGAGGGCTATCATCTTTTTCACAGGCATACTCGCGTAAATATCTCCCCATCTCTCGCTCTGTGCAGGTCCTCTTCTACCAGGTTGAGCTTGACCCGGTGGATCTTTAAGCTCCTCTACCATGTTGTAAGGAACGTATCCTCGTCTACCACGACACTCTCCCCAATAAAAACCATCGGCATCTTTCTCGCCGTACACCTAGGGAACATTACACGTTATATAAGATTTCTTTCACAAACATAAGAGAAAATTACTACATTTTCTTAAAAATACAACATTATTACAGATATACATAAATATGTGAATTGAACACTTAATTTCGAATTTATTAAACATTTTAAAAAGTTAATATAATTAATAATAATTTTTTATGTGAAATATTAATTTTAATTAAACAATTTTAATATTTCCGCAATTACTATAAATGAGAATGACATGAGAAAAGATAAAACCTTGATGGTATCGCCTTCGGAAAATGGTAATTCCTCCTCGCATGCGTCTGGATTTGGTGACATGGTTGTGGGATCGTAATCAAACAGCGCCACGAACCATCGCTGTCTCTTGTTCATCTGTTGAGCTGCACCTGATGGGTGACCCACTCCACCTTGAGCTTGCGTTGCGCGTCCACCACGACCGTAAACTGGACCTCTTCCTCTTTGAGCTCCTAATATACAAAAAAATATTAATATTTAATTCTTGTCAAATTATTTAGCAAAGATAATAACTGCATACCTGTTTGATCATAATAAGGATCTTGAGGTCTACCACTAGGACCACCCATGCTTGGAGACCTATGTGTTCCAGGTGGACCTTGTGAGTCCATCTGGGGACCATAACGATGATGTGGGCCATGATGCTGTGGCGGCATTCCTCGAGATCTTCGCGTGGGATCGTCCTCCTCGCTGTAATTTGCCTCGCTCGCAGAATCCTTCGTGATCTCTGGAATACCTGAAGAAGAGACCATCAATAGATGGCGATTAGATAGAACACAATCTATATAGTCAGGGGAGATCGAGTTCTGCCGAAATCACTCATCACTCAACCCAGAGATTCCCCTATTTTTTCGTATTTTTTCCTATATTTACCCATTTGAGGAATACTCTGTCCGGGATAGATCTCTTTGTCGGAAAGATTCTCGTCTGTCTCGATGATAACCTGACCATGGGCGTCCACCCTGTTGCCCACGTGTCGTCGCATGTGTGAGGGCATCGGAGCATTTGGATAACGCTGACCTACACCACCAGCCATGCGATGACGAGTGGGATCATCCTGTTGGGGAATCATACCGGTGGATTGTTGCTGCCGTTGATCCATCATATGCGGAGGTCCGTGAGGCGGCATGTGAGTTGTAGGTCCTCCGCGAAGCACGCTGCAGGGTATCGCAGTTGCGCAACTGTCGCCCGACTGACTCTCTCTGCTTTTAGTCCTGACGGTAATGTGCTTCGGATTGAGACCCATGAGCTTGTGTATATCGACGAGCGCGTGATCGCCGGTGGGGCTGTCGACATCGGTGACCTTCTTACCATCGGCGTACACCGCGTAACCGGTGACGGCCGAACCGTTTAGGGCAACAGGCTGCCAGGTCACTAGCAAAGTGCCGTCCTGCGGTCCAGCCTCCACCTGAAAATCGCATAACGTTACGTACTATATTATATTGTTTGTTAGAGATTTTAATTTAGACTCTAGAATTATTTTTTTCAATTCTAAACTTACAAGATTTAAAAGAACAAAATTGTATTAACCTGGATATCGACCGGAGGATCCGGCAATCCCTTGGGCAACGTTTTGAAGTGGACGTGGCAGGCCAGGTTATTTGCCGCCTGAGCATTTTGGTCCTCGAAGTGCGTCGCCCGCAGGTTCTTCGCCTTTACGGTCACCCTATATATCGTCGACGGAGCCAGGCCAGTGATGGTATGCCTGTAAACGCCCGGCTTCACGGTTCTCACTTCCACGTTATTTACACATACAACGTGTTGATGATTGCTGTTGCTGGGTAGCCAAGATATCACAGCGCTAGTCGCCGTGACGTTCGACGCCTTGACGGCGGTCGGACCTAGTGCGACATCCTTACCGATTACCATCGTGCAAGCAGCATCGCGCGATGTTCTTCTCGAATGCGTGACCGAACGCACGCTTATTCTGTGCGGCTGCATCAACAGAAGAATGCAGTTTTACGACAATTCAAATGGATTAAAATGTAAAACAGAAAAATATCTAATCTATTATTTTTATATAAGGCGACCCATCGTTCTAGCACATGCTCTGAAATTTTAGTTATTTAAGACAGTTTAATCTTTTTTATGAAGAAATCTTAATTGTACATAGTTAATAATTATAACTTTAAATTTGCAGTTATAGTTACCGTTATTTAGAATTTAATGAAAAATTTGAATAAAAGATTTTGTACATACCCGAGTGGAATCGACTCCCTCTACCAAGGCCCTGGTTCTCTCAGTGGCCTTCACCGTGACCTTCAGCACTCCGTCCACGTACACGTGATAGGACTCAAGTTGGTGCGTGTTGTCGGGCGCTGTCCATCCGATCAGCACGCTTTTGTTGAGCTGCCGTTCGAGCGTGAGGTGCTGCGGCGCCGGAACTAGGTCCGAAAACATGTAGACTTCTTCAGGAAGAAAAGACAAAGACAAAGCCTAGCTGTAGCTAAGGATCTCTGACTATTGTCTATCTCTCTAAGCCAGCATAAGTCCAGCCAACACTTAACACAGTGCAACGCGATTCGGTTCTCTGCGCTCCCCGTTTTATTTTGTGACTACTCACTTTTGTGAAAACCGGTTCAGGGGATTGAGGAGTGGACGTTTACTGTTTGACATGCATAGATTTTTTTGTCCCCAATTCGTGCAACAAAGAAAAGAGAGAAGCGCTATAGATACAAACACTGAGAATAATTTAGTATTGCATTTTTGGGGTATTAAGTATTACATCAAATACATATATCATTAATACACACATATATACATCCATCAAGCAGGACGGACAAATAAAAGCAAGTTATTTCTATAGAGAATAATTTCTATAATTGTATTATAATCGCGTTATTTTGGAACAATGGTTGGAAAATTTTTCAATAACATCGCTGAAACCGGATCCGATTGTCAGCTTTTTTTAGAGTTATCAATTGATCCAAGTACCAAATATATCTAGATGTTTACTGGATTGCGGACGCAGATTTGATATCTATTATACCATTTATTTTAGTGTTACTAACATGCGTCGTGCAATGCTTCGCACAACATAACATCAACGAACTAAAGCGTACTAACCTGGTGGTTCTTGTTCATCCTCCTCCGCGATATTGTCGAGTTCCGCATACGCAGACAGTTCTGCTTGACGATTCCGGTTACCTTCTTCCAACGCGGCTAATTCTAGATCAATATCCTGCAGATAGCACTAAAATAGACGAAATTAAAATCATTAATTACACTTTGATCTTTTTCACGAAACTAATAATATTCTTATTAATTATATATTGATATTGACATAATCGATGTGTTTGTCACAAGGATTAAAAATATAAACGCATCGCTCCATTAGATACCTTGTTAAGTTTTATATTGCTCACTTGAGGAATATTCGTCGAGGCGGAATCATCTACATCTCTGAGGCCGAGGACGGCTTGATGAAACTCCAATAGATCATCGCCGACTAATTTCTGCACAAAATTGGCCGGCACCAGACCACGTCTACCATCGAGCGTCTCCGCGTCCAGAAAACCGTCCTCGTCTGGTTGGCCCCAAACTAGGAGATAATCGCCACCCTGGACTGGCAGTTCCGCTTCCGGATTCGAGTTCGGCGAATGCTGGAATGGTTCATAACTAAAACGGGCTATGTAAACATAACATCTGCCCTTGCCAGGCACATCCAGCATATCCACTTGACCCTCGGCCATAATGTCTTCGGTGTTGGTCAATCGGTCCAAGGGATTCGTCAGTATGCTCGTAGGAATCTTCGGCATTTGTCTAGGACCCAGAAAATGATGGCCAGTCGCGGTACCGGGCGCGGTCGGCGAGCTGGCGCGCAAACTCTGCTGGATCTGATGGATGATTGCCTGCTGTTGAAGCTGATTGGCCTGCGATTGGGCGGAAAGTTGTTGCATCGCTTGCAGAGGATCGCCTATTGCTTGTAATAGGCCTCCCGAACTAGTACCTGCACAAAATGATAAACGATTAATTAATTTAAATAATTACATTGTCGTACTATGTGTTATATTTTTCACGCTGAAAAAATATAGAATATAAAAAATTGAAAATGAAAATAATTCAACTTGTTTTGTTGAGTTTTCAACATGAGTTGAAAAAACAAAATTTATATTGTTTTATTCATTCTAAAAAAATATATACTAAATCTTTCAATAATACATGTGTGTGCGATCTTTACCTGAGCTTACGCCCGACGTCCCATAAGCGTTGGTCCCGACGGTAGTGGAATAAGTCGATCCACTCGTGGCGAAGGTGCTTTGACCGGTGGAGTAAGGAAGAACAGACTGGGGTACGCTCGTGAGGCCTCCAAGAGTGGAATGATAAGACGTGGTAGAGTACAGCGAAGACAACGTAGTCTGTGGGAGATTCGTCTGCGGCACACTATAATTATGATGGGGTAATTGGGTGTTGAAGCTGGTTGCGCCCGTGCTGTAAGTCCCATTCGGATGCGATGCCAAGGACAAATTAGGATATGTCGTTGCCTGTACGCAATACAAATTAATTATTGTAAGATTTATCATCTTATTTTACAACTTTTAAGAAGTATATAAAATGTATGGTAAAATTAAACATATTTTAAATGAGATTGATGACTACCATTAAGCCGTAACTGTTCTACACTAAATCTATTTAGGCAGATACTTATTTAATATTGAAAATGACACAAGACGTATTGTAGGCCTCTATAGATATCCAAGAATACGTAACTTATTGTTAATTTATCTGCTTATAAGAAAGTAATCACGATTGAATAATTGATGCGACACACCTGTTGACTGCCATTCAATTGATAATTCTGAGCGGTTTGGGCAGGCTGTGTATAGTGAGGTATCACACTCTGGCTGGCCGATGTCAGGTACGTAGTCGAGGCCGGATGTTGCTGCGGTTGTTGCTGTTGTTGTTGAAGCGGCTGTTGATACGTTTGCGTGTGTGGATAGCTTTCCTGATACTGATTGCTTGTAAAGTGTGAAGTGTGCGTTTGTTGCTTCTGTTGCGACGGGAGGGCGCCTTGGGAATGAGAACTCGATAAATCATGCTGTTGCGACTGTTGATATTGTTGGATTTTCTGTTGGAAAGCGGGCTGCGACTGGCTGCTGGAGAGTGACGGCGCCGGTGGTATCGGCTCACTGTAGTGATACGGTGGTCCGTTCGGCGTCAGCGGAGGACAGCCAGGCATCATCGGCGTTAATGGCATTGGTGAGCCTGCGTACTGTTCGAATAACTCTTATCAACGAATAGCAAAAAAGTTTCAGAGCTTCTCAGGATTATTAATACAAATAGTGGCAAGAAAAACTTTGTCGTTGATCGTTCAATAAAAATAAATTAATATAGAAGATAAAAGCTAAATGAGGAAGTATAAAAATTCTAAAAATAAGTCCAAATATAAATAAACTATATTTACTATTATATAATAATTAGTATAAAGTATTAAATTATTGTTTGAACTATAAACAAAATAAGAGAGCGACAATGGTGATTAGAAACGTGTTACGTACCCCATGGCCCAGCTGAGTAGGCATTCCGAGGTTGAGGGCGTGCGGATGAGGTGGGTGTTGATGCTGGCCGAGGTTAGGGAGATTCTCCGAGCTGGAGCGGAGGATGCCTTGCGTAGCCGAGGGTTGCTGCGTGGTTATTGCGCTCCGCGTGTGATCCAATTCGTGTAACATTCTGCCGGCGCTGAATTTATTTGAATTAATCTTTCGCGCATTTGTCAATTTCCCCAAACAATTTACAATTCATAGACTGACATCCTTATGCACATCCTTATGCACATATGCATTTACATGAGCATAAGGATTAGCGTGCAAAGAATGCATCAGTTGCAAATGTTTGACGAATTTAATAATTAAAAAAAAGAAAAAATTTTCAGCTCACCAATACCTATTGTCTTGCTCGATCTTGGCAATGATTCTATCGATCTCAGAACCAGCTGGTGGCCAAGTGGACGTCGGGACACTGGACGTGACGTGCCCTACGACCGGTCCTCTGCTACGTGCACGTCTCTCCAGGGTGGTCAGCTCCAGCGACAGCTCCTCGTGCTTCACCATCTGCAGTTCCGTCTTCTTTTCAAGCTCCCGGATCTTCGATTGCAGTGCCTCGACTGACTCCGGACCCTGATAGCGTCCTGCTATCTTCTCCCGTAGCTGGTTCTGTGCCTCCGCGTGCTGCCTCTCCAGCTCCGCTCGCTGGGCTTTCGTCTCCCGCATTTGCTAAACAAATCAATCGTATAATTAACGTTGTCGCGTAAATGGAATCCGTCAACATTCGTGGTACAGATGCAACAATCCTCTTCAGCGCGTGATTATTGACGCTGACATGTAGCTACATATGTTTATTAACATAAACATGAATCTCAATTAATACAAATTAAATTTATTTTTTTCGAAATCATGCAAATAGCAAAATAAAATTTTAATTTGATCATGAGATATTAATATAATATAATTTAAACTTAAAAGAATAATTTTAATATATGTATATAATAAATGTTAATAAGAGACATATGATTGTAATATAAAATGTTAATCCTAATCTAATAATTTTATATCGTTTTTCGAGATTCCAGAACGGAAATACCGAATGAAAAAAGGAGCTAGTTCGATTTTTGCGGCTGCTTTTAATAACCTGGAGCGAGGTCTAGTTAGTAATTCGTGACCAGAATGTCGGATTTGTAATGAAAGAAGAGCTTTTGTACTCCAATTGCCCGAAGGTGCGCGAAGAACTGATTTTGCTGTATATAATCTAGCGGGAAAAATCTGTCGTGAGAAAATGTCATCGAGAAAATAAGTGGATATGAATGCCGACAGATCATTTCACCGCAGCTTCCCTTTGATATATCTCCTCTTTCTAATTAACCGGTAATTATGGCGCGACACCTCCGTATGCAATTTGTAAAATTGCTTACCACTTCCTGGGAATTAATTGCTTCAATTATCTAGATTGCGGTAGCGAACTTCTGTCGCGAGTCGGTATTAATTTTCCTTGCGTACAGATTTCCTTACTTATACACGTAACACGTATATAGGAGATAGACATAAATCGCTAATGGAGTTCAAGTGGTTTAATTTTACGCGCATGGCAAAATCGTGAATTAAAAGCCCCTCTTGGAGAACAAGCAATTGCGCGGCCGGCCCGGAACGTATTAATAAAAACTTTTGTTTTTCCATCGTATTATGCGAGCTTTATCGAACATCCGCGGTGAGAATGAAAGAGGGCTTTTCATGAACCGCGGTTCATTGTCGATTTACACATAACTTTTGCGCGCGCGCGTATGTGTATGTGTGTATATTGATTACATGCATATTACCTTTCCACGTAATCTGCTTTAATTTCAAGGGCTTTCGGTTCGCGACGAGGGCACGCACGCGTTCCGCAATCGCGAATTCGTTAATATCGCCGCTAAAGATCTCTAATTTTTGTTAACTACAAAATAACATCTCGTTGTTTCTATTCCTCCATGATTGGATTAAAAAGATTCAGGTTTTTTAGTTAAAAAAACCAGCATGTAGATGCCATTAGGATATAGAAACAATTTTTAATTAGAAATGATTGCAAATTAAATAATTGATAATACAGAGTGTCCCATATCCAGTGAATCGACTCGACATTTTCGCCGAGGAAAAATCATTTTCAATTGATGTCAGGAATCTAATTGTATATCGCTGGGGACACCCTGTATGTATAGGAATAATTCCTGAAATAAATAAGAAAATTAAAAACTGATAATACTCCACTGAAACAAAACTTTAACAGAAGTGTTATAAATGAAAAAACGTATATTTGCAAATTTTTTATATAATGATGCAACATCATACAACGTCGTGTGTCGAGATGAAGCTGAAGAAAGGAAGTGAAAAAAAAAGAACTCACCTCCAAGATGGATTCGAGAACTGCGTCCTGCATGATGGTGGTTCTCGTGGAGGTGGTAGCCCCGACAGCGGATCCGGTACCCTGCAGCTGCGGAGCGTGAGGTGCCGTGGAAGCGCCACCTCCAACACCACAGCACTGCAACATCCCTGAAGTCTGAGACCCTCGCCAGTCTTTATCGCGGCCGGTCCCTATCGATCTAGCGTGTGTGTCTAGGAGCTATCTTAATTAATTGGGCGGCCCGCCTTTGCGCGCCGCGCACACCGCACACAGGGAGATCCCACACACGTTTAACAGTGCGACTTTAGTAGTGTAGTGCGAAAGGGGGTTCCTATTTCTCTCTGCGAATTCCGCCTCGCGGGAACGAGCCGGAAGTTGTTCTCGTAGCTCTCGGAAACGGGGGAAACCTCGCGTTTAAGGGGTATCAGCGGTCTTTCGCATCGGGCTGGCTGATTCGTAGTTAGATATGGGATCATCCTAGGAGAAAACGCACGTATGCAAAATATTTCTACACTTTTTTGTTAAAGAGTATGATTATTTCACTACGTTTCATTTTTTTTCAATTCTGGAATCGAGAGACAAAGTTCACACATGAGATCACAAATGAGATTATTAATGTATTCATTAGACAACTCTCTACGTCGACGGAATGCGAGATGATGTATGTCGTAACTAGTCGAAAATAACGCGAATCAGATTCCGAATCGATTTAGCCCCTAATTAAAATTGTTCTCGAGCGACGCCTTTAAACCAAATTTCTTTTTAATATACTGCAAATTTTGACAGTCCTTTCAACGGGAAAATCAGTACAAGAAATTTAAAAAATACACGTTTATTAATTTTTAATTATTCTAGAGATCTCATATTTGTAACGACGAGAAAAATTTCAGTTTTGATTCCGTGTTCCTGCCAGAGAATAAAAAATACGTAGTTTCTAACGCCGTGCATTTCGAATGCTGTGAATCAAATTCCATCGCGAGAGTTCCATTAGCAAATGAAAAATTCAATCCACGGGATTATTGGCAACAGGTATTCGCGTCGAGTTTGTAATCCGCCTGTGGAAAATCCGAGTTCGCGACTTTATGTGGTCGACGATCCGCTGGCGCCGCAACGAACCGGACCGACCGCGCGAAATAGCACGTAATATACTTTATACACAGAGTCACATACACACGGGATCACGAACTTAACTATTGCGCTCGAGCTGTTATTATCAGCCGCGAATTGTTACTACACCACTACGCGGTTACGTATGTATGTACGTGATGTATTTCGTGTTAAAACGTGTCGCGTGCGGCCAAGTGCTCGTTCGCGGTTTTCACGCGAAAAAGTTGCCGCGATTGAGATCCTACACGCATACATACACAGATACATACGTACACACACACGCGAACGATACTGCACACTGCATTTACCACAGAATCTCGTTAAACGTCACGACAAGCGACACGTGCCTCGCTCACGAAGCTTCAGTTAACGATTTACGCGCATCGCGGAGTTTTGCACCCCGGGTCTGGTCATCCACGCATCGAGATGAAAGAGCTGCTAACTTTGTCGTGACGATCAATCGATCAGCTCTCTTGTGCTCTCTGCTTTCTTCCTAACTCTCTATATCAAAGATTGAAGAAAACTTTTGCTATGATATTTCATTGTCGTTAGCTACTTATTTTTAATATAAATAGAATCACGAAAGGAAAAAAGTGTGCTCGAAAGGGTAAATTTTTTGCTAAAAATAAGTTTAGCGATATAAAATATATTTTACATAAAAATCTCACGGTCAAAGAGGGAAAAATGTATTTCGAGAGAAAGATCGCGTTGGTATGAAATAATCAAATTTGCGAGAAATGTTGAAAAATTAAATATAGTAATGCTTTACTAAAAAAAATTGAATGAAGTAAATGTTTTACTAAAAATGACTTTAGCAATTAAAATATTTTACGTAGACATATTTGCATCAAAATCACTGTCAAAGAAGAAGAAACGTATTTTTATAAAGAGATCGAGTCGGTGTAAAATGATTAAGTTCGCGTGTAATATTAAAAAATTAAATCTATCAACTCGAAAATTTATTACTAGCAGAGAATTTAAATAATGTAAAAGCGTATAATTTATTACAGAAAACCTCACTCATGCTATATAATTAACAATGAATTGGAAAGCTAAACATCTCGCAATCTTTCTCATTCTCAAAATTTTTCCCTTTCATCAAGTCTTTTTAAATAATGCGATTTAATAACAATGCTCTCTCGGGCACACTCGGTCCCTTGATACATTTAATTGCCGTGCATACGCTCTTTGTTTCTCTTTCTGCTAGACACTAACAAACACAGTGAAAGTGACGATCACGCGACAATTATCCGCTTTTCTGCCATACAAGTTCACGAACGCGTCGGCGAACAAACAGCGTCGCTGATGTAACAATGTACACAAAACATTAAAATGCGATGAATCAAGCGGTGATCGAAGAATCAGTTAATGCACTACTCCGAGTGAATGGGGATAGTACAAAGAGCCATCGTCCACCGTATATACATATAAAACAAAGAGGAAAAAGAGCGCATCATTTTTTGTCATCGCGACTGCGTGAGAAGAGAAGTAACGTAAAGTCTTTCGATAAAGTACCTAGCTTCCATTCACGCGTACTAAGTTGATACCGGACTCCTATATTAGTACCCAATTATCGATTTTATTTTCCACCGCACGCGGTTTAACTCTTGCTTATAGATAAATACTTCTTATCGCGTTATTTCGCAGTTACCACTCTGTAACTTATAATTCTCTTCCTACGGTTCGTTGACCTTTGGATTGCCGATGCACCTCGAACTTTCGGGTGTGGACAATTGATTAAAATTTTTTTGGGCTCCAACAACCTCGAAAACGTCAAGTTCGAATAATGGAAATCGCGCGGGCAACAATAAATCGCAACAATGAGAGGAGTCTATTCCCGAAGAGATTTTATCGAAACTCGAGAGACATCCATCTCCTGGCTGTCATTTACACATAATCAGGATGTCAAATATCTTCCCGCCGAGCGAGCCCGTTCATTTTTCAAACTCATAAGACTTCCATTCATAAGACTTCATTTAAGAATCAGTCATATCACGACGATTCCGCATCATTGAGAGCCAGGACAACGATTTCTTTCGAGGAAGACGAGGTCTTCGAGACGCTCAGGTTAAACACAAAGAGAGCGAGTTCGTCGCTGGAGATCGATATCGCAAATTTCATGGGGCTTATGACGATACGAGTCGAATGAAGCGAAGTGAATAAAATCAATCGTCTGTCGCGGAAGCAATTGAGGAAGTAATCGGAGTTATGATATGTACGGACACAAATGTGCGAAGCGTGGAAGAGAACAAAGATAGGACAGACGAGAAAAACAGAGCTTGATCAATAAAGAGGGAGGAATAGAGAAAGCTAAGAAGGTGCCAAGAAAGAAAATCCTACCAAGTGCTGCAATAATTACGATGCAGACGAGTTAGCTACGTGAGCAGGCGAATCGAGGAACACCTCGATGGCGGACGAGATAGTGACTGATACGCGAAGATAAGCGAACGAAAAGGGGGCAGAAGTCTCGCCGACTCTAAAAGTATATAGAGAAATCTGAAGAACCGTTCCGTTCGCGATATCGTAGCTCGAGGGAGAGATGAGGATTCCGTTGAAACACTAAGCACTTCCGGTCATTGGGAGTCAGCGAGTTCGCTGATGATTCAGAAGATCTGGTAGTTTTCTATCTAGTCTAGTTTGCGAAATCAAGCCTCGTACAATCGAAGTGGAAAATCAAGACGACATTGAAGAAGAGTAAAGGGGAAGGGTGAAAGATCAGAATGGGGAGAGTACTAGACTAGAAACGAATCAGTTTCCTGGCGGGGGCACGGCTCGAGTGGCCACGGCACTGCTTATTGATCTCACTAAAAGGGCGAAAGGTACGTAGCGTACATGTGCACCCGGTGCGCACCCGGACACCGCTGCACGACGGGCACGTAGTGCAACCACTGTCACGAGCAGCAACGGTGGTGACGGTAGCGACGACGACGGCGGAGGTGGTGGTAGTAGTGGCGGCGATGGTGGCGGCGGTGGCGGCGATGTTGGCTGCTGTTGCGGCAGCGGTGGCACCACCGACACTCCACGATTATCATCCGCCATACTGGTCCGCCGTCTCGGTGCCGCTGTCGCCGTCGCCATCGTCGTCGTTATCGTCGTCCCCGCTGTTATTTGCACAACCGACACTTTTCCGTCACTGTAAGCCTCGACCACGTTCAGCTTGCGAGTCGACCGGACCCACGGGGGATGCACTTTGAGAAATATGTTTCGCGCGGAATAAATGTATGTCTCGAGATATCACCGCACGACGTTTCGCTCTCGCGGACAGCTTGTACTCGTTGCTTCCTCGATCGTGTCTTTCGATCATTAAATGTCAAGCTGATGTCGAACTGTTGATGTTTCATTTTTTCTCTCGTCCGCTCTCTTCATCAAACATTCTCTTTATCACTCGTTCTCTCATTTTGACTCTCTCTCTCTCTCTCTCTCTCTTTCTCGCTCTCTCACATACTCTCTCTTTCTTTCGTGTTCATCCTCACGCTCGATTCATACCAATTTCCATTCTATCCGCTCGATGACACGACACTTACGATGACCGAATCGAAGGGATTGTGGCAGGCCAGGGCTGCTGCTGCTGATGAGCGAACTCTCCTCGGGACTTGCCAAGCTTTTTCACTCGGCTATCATCCCGTACAACCCCAAGATCTGCTCGACCGTGGAAGGCAGGCAGGGCTGCTGGAGTCGGTGGTAGGGGCCGATAGTGATGGTCGCTCGTCGTCGGGGGATAACGGGTGGGGGTACAACGGCCCATGTGGGGTGGTGGTGCACCTCCGTACGGGGTACAGGGGTAGATAAGCGAGTGGGGGTGGTTGAAGAGAGAGCAGGCGCGCGCGCCAGGATGCGAGAAACGTCGAAAGGGACAGGAAAGGGGGGAAGGAGAAAGAAGGGTAGGGGCTCCCGTCACCGCCAGATATGGGTCACTCAGCGATCAATGCCGATATAGAGTCGCTGTATCGCCGGAGTCCCTCACACGATCTTCTTTACGTCACTTTTCGTTCGCTCGCTTGCTCCGAGAGATGATCCTCTCGTCGCAGGGATGGGTGCCGGCTCGATCGCTCGCGACATTATCTTTGGCGCAGGAGTATCGAGTCGATGATTCGCGCGCGGCGTTCAAGAGTTCGATCGATCGCGCCAAATATGGAGGTATATCGCAACCCTGGAAGTCCGATACCCTGGAAGTCTAGTGACTTGGCGAAATGGTTCGCGTCGCGGCTACATGGGGGTGTAGTTTTCACAAAAGACCAATCAATACGCAGGAGGTGATCCTACGATATCTCTACTCTCTACTCTCTCTCCACTTTACATCCTTATTGTCCCTCTTTCTTCCTCTTTCTTTCTCTCCCTCTTTGCTACCTTCTCCCGCTGCCTCTCAGTCCCGTTCACCCCTTTCTCCACAACTTTTCAGCCCTTTTCTACCGCCCACATTTATTTCATTTATCTAGTTTCGTTCCTCGATTCCTTTCTACCCGTTTCATTCTAACCCGACGTACTTTCTCCCCTCGTGCAATTTTTCTCGCGTAGACGAATGGCCATCATGTGAGAAGACAGGGGTGCGAGAAATGAGATTCGCGAAGATTCAAAGAACCAGTCTACTTTTAATGCGGCGTCGCACGCATACTCACGATTATCCGGAATTTCTTCCAAAGAGATGACAGCACTTCCCTCGCAGTTTAACACGATTCTGTCGTATTACCAGGAACGTGCCAACTTTGCTCATTAGAAATTTCAAATCTCCTTTATATTAGTTGGAAACTAAGATATTTATTATTCGAATCAGCGCCTAAAGGTCTGGAAATATGTTTCGTTGGACTTTGATAATCTGTAACAAAAAAAAAATCATTGAAATATTTAAATTAATTCAAAGAAAATACATTATTATTCATTGATGATATGCAGTTAAAGATAGAAGAGTAATTAAATATCATTGCCATAGATGTAGACTCTACAAAAAGACATAATTTTCTCAATTACTACACGTATAATTTTAATTCATGTAATTTTATGAAATAAATTGTATATATTATAACATCTGTGTGAATATTTTCTCAACTCTAAAGATATATTCTGCATAATTAGATAAATTTTTGCAAGAGATTTTTTTTCACGTATCCTGTACAAAATTTAAAAATCGAATGTGATTCGACGCCAATGGCCGTCATTGCAATTCAGGATTCAACTCGAGGCCACGCATGCGTCTGGTGACGTCACGCGGGTTTAAGGCGCGGGGTGTTATACGCTTATCAATGAACGTACGACGCCTACGACGAGTACCTGTTCTCCAGCCAGCGCAGCGCCGGCGAACGCACCCTCCCTTACTCGCCGCCCTTTTACTCGCGCCCGCGTGCCCTACGTGCTCATTCTTGTCAGGTAGCGCCTTGCGCTCATCGGCCGTTCATCGGCCAGGTGTACGAGTGTTCGATGAAAGTTGATGCTGCAATGGTCCTTGACCCATTTTTCCTCGAATATAATGTGAATAATCTGGTCATAATAATGCCGACGAAAATATCTCGGTTATTTTATCTTGATCTTTTTAATGCAACTTGGTCAGCTGGTCAGTTGCAATTTCGTCCTAAAATAAAAATCAAATTATTCAAAAAAAAGATTAACTTTTGATTCGAGATTTTTTCTCCGAACTATATAATAATGACATACTAATCTAAATTTGTATACAATAGAGGATTAAGAATTTCATTGTTACATTTATATGTAAAATATTTCTGTTCTCCAAAATTGGACAACTTTCGCGTTGAAACTACTATCATTTCGAATGGCTGACGTCAACGTGTTCTCATTGAGCAATTCGCAGCCTATAATCGATCGCCATCAAATGTGTGATATCCATGTTTATGATTTTAGATTTTCGAAAATTAACATTTGGCAAAATGCTGCATAATGCATTAATTTTTAAAATACAAAATATTTCAGAATTTATGACATCCTTTTAAATTATACGATTAAAGCTGATGCATTCTCGGAGATTTCTGAAATAAAATTAAGTAATTTTTAATAAAAGAAAAACAAATTCTCCGCGCACGTGGATTAATCACGTGGATTGACGGTGAGAGAAAACGTTCGACCATGTAAACTTTAACGGAAGAAAAGTGTTTGCACGTTCAATAATATCGGCCAGTCGACACACGCTTTCCCTTTCACATTTTTCGCTCCTAACAAAATGTTTCCCAATAAATAATCATTCGCGCTATCATTTTCTATCAGAATCGCTATATTTCAACACGCGAATTACATATCACAAATAATTTTTCCGAACAGAAAAATATATTAGTTATTTTAAAAAAATGCGTATAAAAAATATATAGTACGACAAAAGAAAAAAATGTGTAAACAAGAGATCAAAAGACAAATTTAAAAATGTAAGAGATTATCATTTTCAATTTAAAATGTGTGTTATAAATATTTAAAAGACATACAATATATATATATATATATATATATATATATATAAATTTTCTTGTAATATATTATACATATAGACATTTCGTATGTATATATTATTTCGAAAGGACTACTTCGGGGTTCTTTGCCGCTCGTATTGACACCGCTTTTTATGTGCTATTTACTTATCTGACATTACATAAGAGCGTAAGACAACCGGTTCTGATGCATATAAGCGCAAGTATTTTCTTTACCATACGGGCCGCTGTAATATTCGATGAGATTGTCGGCGGCGTGTGTCAAACGAGAGACCGCGCAGTTGCGCGGCGTATTCAATCGTTGAAAGTGTCGACTGTAGTGCGCGTGTTAATTTTGTCGAGATTTGGCAATAAATACATATATATGTACGTAATTCATATATTTTCTTCATCTATATCGTATCTTTCTTCATCTTATTATTCTCTTATATATATTTTAATATATAATTTAATATATATGCTGTACGTATATATTATTTTATATATTAATATTATACGTGAAAAAGTAAGATAATGATAAGATAATAGAAATATATGTGAAAAAGTAAAATAATGATAAGAATGATAAGATAATGATATGATGATGATGTGATGATAAATGTAAATATATTAAGATAATCTGTTTTTAAATGCCAATATAAAATAGCACATTAAGAAACACGAAAAACATTAACTGTTGTAATGTGCGTGAAATGAATGTGTCAACATCATTCTACTGTTTTTACGCGGCAACGCAGAATATTTTGATTGATTGCTTTTGAATGTCCAGCACGATCATCGACAACGTTTCTTGAAATTTTCAGGTATTTGAGAAAAAAATTGTGTTCAATAATAACTCGCGTATTAATATCATCTTACGTAAAAAATATTTTCTATTTCTGGCTATAAGTAATATTTATTAAAACTTTACTACGACGTTTCGGTCGTGGGTTTCGACCCTTATCAAGTGCTACATAATACCGCTTTATTATAACAACACTACTTTTTTGATCTTAGGTCATGACGTGATGTACCTATCTAGTTAGTTCGTAACACATTATCATGACATTACATCACGTTCTTTACCGTTAAAAATATAATTTGCAATTTGAATTTAGCATATTATTCGCAAAGTTATTTGCAACGCATATAACGATATCATTTTCAATATAAAATAAAATTTTTAATCGCAAAAATATAAAAGTTGCTAACTATCTAGTTAGTTCGTAACACATTATCATGACATTACATCACGTCATGACCTAAGATCAAAAAAGTAGTGTTGTTATAAGGCGGTATTATGTAGTACTTGATAAGGGCCGAAACGTCGTAGTAAAGTTTTAATAAATATTACTTATAGCCAGATATGGTTGATGAAATTATTACCATTTTTAATATCAACTGGTGACTTCTTAGTTTTATATATATATTTCTATTTGTATAACTTTTATATTTTTGCGATTAAAAATTTTATTTTATATTGAAAATGATATCGTTATATGCGTTGCAAATAACTTTGCGAATAATATGCTAAATTCAAATTGCAAATGATATTTTTAACGGTAAAGAAATAGAAAAAATAATTTTAGTTAAAATTAGAAAATGCACATAATATATATATATGATCACATAATATATATAATTACAAATAATTACTATGATGCAACTCGAGCAAATGTACATATCAACTATTCGTATATGCGACACAATTCTTACGTTTGTGGTGAAAGTGTCATACCTAGAGAACCTATAGACCGCAGTCGACACCAATTCAATTTTATATTCCGCGAATTTTTGTTCCTTTTGTTATATTTGTATTAATATGTTTGTTTTAGCTGAACTGGCTTAGTTTTTTGAGTTTATCTTTTTCCTTCCAATATCGAACAAAAAAGATGAACTCTGAACTGGCAAATTCAGCTATAAAACGGACAGATTTCTAGTTGAAAGAAAATAAAATGCTGTCAATCTCGATAGATTATTTTTCTGTAACATATTTAACAGAATTATTTTTAAGATTTCCTTTTTATAGGATGAAGTTCGGTTATACAATCGAGGAGTCGCAGAAAAAATATCCGGAGATCACGGATGAACTTTTGAAGAGTCTGCAAAAGTGGGCGGATGATCGAGAAATTCCGAAAATTCCAGAGGAGCAATTGGCATTATTCGCGCACAGTTGTTACTTTGATTTAGCGGCCACGAAACGATGCATGCATGCTTATTATAAAATGCGCGCCACAATCCCGGAATTTTTTCACGATAGAGATCCCAGGCGCGAGTATTTGCAACATTCTTTGAAAGCTTTGTATGTTAATTTTGTCTTATTGAACTCAATCAATTTTCCTTAATTAATTTTACATGCGTCAGCATAAAAATTGCTTTCAATGCGTATTAAATATGTAAATAAGATATTTTTACTTTTTTATTGTATTCAGCTCTCATTGTCAAAGAGTCATGATTCAGTATTTTTTTTACCGTGATAGTTAGTATTTATTTATGCAAGCCATTAATTCAGTGCAAACTGTTCAATAAAAATAAGAATTTTGACAAACCTTTATTCCGGTACAATAATGTCGCGCTTATTTATGTGGATTGTATATTATGTGATCCTTGTCTCTCTCGGTTGATGCCTTTTCCTTTCTTTTAATCTGCGTTTCGCTTCTTATTTCATATCCTGTATACATAATTGCACGCTTGATGGTAACACTTTGTCCTAATGGCAGCATTAGTTTTTTTTAATGTTGCAATTTTCTGCGTTGTGCAACTACAGCGTATCACACCTGATATCGTCGAGGAAAACCTACAAAATTAATTCCTGAAGAAAATATAAAAAATACATTTTTTTCTATTTTCAATAACTTTATATATCAAACAAAAAATATATATAATTACATTATTATATTAAAATATATTATTATATATTAGTGCAAGTATATTAATCTTAATTCCTTACCTTGTAGGGAGTTTGCAGCGCTTCCCAAGCCAGATCGAAATGGTTCTCGGATAATTTTTCATCGTCTGGCGGATACACGACCTTCTCAATACAAATTCAATGACGGCATCAAGCTGCTGTTTATGTCTATCGAAGCGAGTCTCTACACAGAAGGTTGTTCGCCGGGATATGTGTTCCTCTTCGATATGCAAGGTGTGGGACTCGGCCACTTGACCAAGTTGTCGATAAGTAGTATTCGCTGGTTCTTTGAGTACCTCCAGGAAGCCATGCCAGTCAGACTCAAGGCCATCCATGTGGTGAATGCGGTCTGGTTCATGGACAAAATTCTCGCTCTGATCAAGCCATTCATGAAGAAAGAACTTTATGAAATGGTACAGTGACTTTCGATTTTTTTTTCATCGACTTTAACTCGACCAATTGCGATGTTTAATTATAAATTTTATTAATTTTAAATGAAGAATTGCATAAAGAGTTATCACTAAGCCTCTTAACTACCGATTATAAAAACTCGGAAATTTTATAACTCGATCAGCGTCGATACGAATTATAAATGATAATGGATATACATACACGTGGTATATACTTATCAACAAAGATGGAAATTTGCATTCGCAATTAATTTGGAGCAGTTTTTTACAATAATTTTATACTAATGGTGACTTAAATCAAAATTTTTATGCGTTTGATGCAATCAGCTGTATAAAAAAGTTTACTTTAATTTTAATTTTATTTTTTAGCTTCATGTTCATACCGGTGACTTCTCTGAAATATATTCTGATATATCGCCTCCCGAATGTCTGCCGAAAGACTATGATGGAGAATTGGATTCTATCGCAAACCTTCATAGTAAATATATATATATATATATATGTAATATATTTACATAAGCTAAAGTTAATATATTTTTTATATAGTAAATATGAGATTATAGGAATTTATATATGTATACTACAAGAATTATTTTCTACAATTTTTTTAAACATTCTTTTTCTGTATAAAAGTAAGTAATATTATAATTCCAAAAATTAATATCAAATAAAAATCAATTATATCAATTTGCAGAAGAGCACTGCGTGAAGTTGGATCACTTGCGGGATTATTTCCGGGAAGAGGAAGCTCTATTTCGCAATTATTCATTTAACAAAGAGAAAATAGCAAGTAGTGAAAACATTATGCAAAGCACTATCAAGGACTAAAAGATATTAGAACGATAATGATGTAGTTGATAGACGTGCAATGGTATAGCTTGATTCATGTAGGTAAATAAAGGTCAGGACATCATTACTGCTTTCTAATTCTTACGGGTAATTTCTCATAGATAATCGCGTTCTTGAGTCCAAGGTTTCAAAGATTCCGTCCATCACATATCTCTTTACTTATCCATTCTACGGCCTTGTCTGAAATTATACATAACAAAGAACATTAGAAAAGAATAAATTTTTTCGCGATTTCTTAGGAATCTTATTAGAATTAGAATTGAGCTGAGAAAAAGATATGTTATAATATACGTATTAGTGAGAATCGACTGTATATATTTCAAAATTGTATCAGATTTCGATAATTTCTTATTTTAATTTGAATTGAAACAAGATAAATATACTTTTCGAAATAAGATAAAATTAAAACATAAGTTTTTGAACATAGCTCTGAGGCAATATGAATTATTTATTTTTCGACATGATTGATCTTGGTGTGACAGACAATACATTAATAAAAAAACATACTATTTAGATTATTTTTTGATTAAATTTTTTGATTTTTTTGAAAAAAAAAAAATATATATATAGATTATTTTTTTATTGTAATTTAAAACAGGATAAAAGTACATTTCGAAATGAAATAAATCTAGAAAATAAAAATTTTTAAAACAGCTCTGAGGCAACTATTTTTCGACATTGATTGATAGTGGTGACGCACGTAGACATAATGTACTTATGAAAAAAAACATACTACATATTCAAAAGTATTCATATAGAAATGATAATTATGACAACCCTCGCGATACATCGTTGAATTATTGAAATTATGGTAGAGAATCCTTGAAATTATTGTACAGAAATACATTTTAACAAGAAGTGATTAAAATCTCGATTCGAATTTTAATTCTCTTCAGAATCGGGGACGAGAAATATAATTCGGCGACCATATTCAAATTTTGATTCATCCAGCTTGATATATCAAGCAAGTGAATAATTCAATGCTTGTGGTGATTCTTTAAGATACAATATTGCAACAATCTATGCATAATAATCATATTTAAATATAAAATAAGGAGAAACTCACAGTGAAGAAAAGTCAAAGATGTCCTAGGATATTCGAGGACCTCCTTGATCTTGTTTACATACTTTTGAGTTCAGAGCTGCCAACGTCGAAAAAAATAAATTCTCCACATCTTGGTGCGACATATACGCTCCCTATAACAGGAAAAAAATATCTCTAGTATAGTTCTATTCGCGCCATCTGGCGACTATCTGGAGATTTATTTTCTGTCACGAGATTTGACAGATCGATGACAGTTCTAGAAGATCACATGATACGTGCTCAAATCATGTGTAGACAACATTCTTTCGTTTATAACCTTTCCCCGAATGTTTGCGACAAGCGCAAAGAAAAACACTATTGATATTCGCTGAATTTCGAAGACATGGAACGGATTTTATTATTTTCCTGCAATGTCAAATGCATGAGTCATCGTCGGTCACGTTATTTCAAGTCACGTCCTCGATGACTTCGTAAGATTTCAATGTAAATCATATCCGGATGTGCGCGCGTCAAAAGCAAATTTAAATAATTTTAAGAAATAAGGATTTGTTGTCACCATCGAATGATACAATTTAATCCATTGTTATATAATATCGGAGCTCGAACACTCAATTGATATCCCCTGGAGGTGATTTTTATATGATATGACTCTACTAACAATAATCGCGTGCAAAATGTTAATTATCTCGCGTTTATTAAATAATATTACTCAAAAATGGTTTCACGTACGGAAGACAACCAGGAAAAGCGTGCAATCGGCCAAAGATACAGTTTTTCGCGGCGGTGTCTTTATTATTAGTGCTATTCTCATAATTTGGTTATCCATATTTCTTTATACAGCCTTTTACTATGCTTATATGCCGAGTATGTCATATCTGAAACCTGTAAATATGAATTTCAAGTAAGTTCTATATTTTTATTTTTACTGCATGTTAATTAAACAGCCACAATAATATAACATAATAATGGATGACACATAGACATATATTTCTCAAATTTTAAAAAGTGAGCAAAGGTAGCCTTACTAAGATGTTTAGAATAATAATAAGAAAAATCATAATTGAATTATATCAAGTAAAATAATTTAATTTAATAGAATTAAATTACTTGAGCTTATTATTGGTTTTATTTTAGATCATGCAATGAAGAAAAAGGAATATGCAGCTTTCCACAAGCTCAAGTACAATTGACTAAGAAGCAGCAGCTTTTAATGGTTGGTCAACCATACAAAGTGAATCTGCAACTAGAAATGCCAGAGTCACCAGCCAACAAAGAGCTTGGTAAAGTTTCTTTATGAGTATATATTATTGCTGAAATGTTATGTTTTTTTTATAAAACTTTAATTTTTTTCAGGTATGTTTATGGTGTGCGCTCAGTTGCGGAGTCGTGATGGATACCTTGTGGATGAAACGTGTAAATCAGCTATGTTACATTATCGTAGTACACTATTACACACGCTTACTACCCTTACATTTTCTCCCATGATGATTTTTGGAAATACAGAAGAGAAACAAGATGTTAACCTCGAATTATTCAGTAACTTTGAAGAGGATCAGGTAATAGTTTCTCATTTAGCAGAATTTTTTCTTTACAATTTAATTACAACTTTACAGATATTTATATATGTTGACAAATTTATATATTCCAGAATCATCCAGTAACAATTATTTTTATTGAAATCCAATCAAGACATATTGAATTTTATTCCGCTAACCTTATGATAAATGCTCACTTATCAGGACTACGTTACTTGATGTTTTATTGGCCAATTCTATCAGCCATTGTTGGCACTAGTACAATCTTATTTTTCATAACACTTGTGTGCACATTGTCATATTTACATTTTGGAAATGAAGAAGAATATACGGAGGAAGATAGCGAATTTTATGATCAAAATGATATAGAAGATGATTCTGATCCCAAGACTAATAATGATTGTAAGTTATTTTACAATATGCCAAATTTATTTATACAATTTTTGTATAAAGATTATAAAAAATCATCTAAAATGTCAAATACATCATTTAAAACAGACGAGGAGAAAAAAGACGATGAGGAAGGTGAAAAAGAAAAATCTAAGGCAGAACCGAGCTACTATATTCAAGAACTTTCCACAACTACTACTGGTCTTCAAGCAGCGACTTAATCGAGTAATTAATGTTGAGTTAATTAATGTTGACTTAATCGTTTAGTGAGGAATATTATTGGAAAAGTTATTAAAATGAGAAATATATTTTTTATTTTGTATAATATATGATATTTATCTTCTTTAATATCAATATTAATTTATCCTATAGCTTAATAATTATATCTATCCATCTATATTAATCAATCCTACAGCTTAATAATATATATTTTCAAGCATCTATTATTTCGTGTTTTAAAAAAAAGATATATATGTATAGAAATGCATATGCTGAAGTCTTTTTTAAAAATATGCTTTCCGAAAACAATGCTTTGCTTTGACTTTAATCATTTTTTAATGTAAATTATTTGATTGCAAACTTGTTTAAGCTTTAAATGAAATGCATGAATCTTAATTAATTTTTTGCATCTATATTTTTGCTATTTTTACTATGTTACACGCATTTTTATTTGAGCAATCTATTGTAGTCTAGTATTTCGAATAGAATTCTATAATTAGAACAGATTTATTTTCACATGTTATAGATAGAAGGTTACAAACTTGTACCCCTGATTTATAGGCAACCTTTCATACAACTGAGCTACAACGACTGACTCTAATTTACTTTCCTGAAAAGATTTTATTATAGAGAACAAAAAGATACCGATGACAGAACTATAATAAATTATAATTTCATTAACAAATTATAATTTATGAAAGATGATTCAAAGTTGTTATATTTTGATAATAAACCGCATAAAGGTAATTACATTAATAAAACGCATTTATATGGCATTATAATATTCTAAAAGTTTTTAAAAAAATTACAGATAAATTAAACATACGTACGTATAAAATGAGCATATTATATAAGCATCTTTCTGTTTCTAAAATAAAGACTTAACATTTCCAGATGTACATATAAACACAATGTATCTTTCATAAAGTGTTTGTCCGACAACTGCAAGATATTTATATCGTCAATATATTATAAAATAAATTCGACATTATTTTATTGAAAATGCAAAGCATGATCTTGCGTATGCAGGTTTCATAGAAAATTGCATTGTGACCGAAAATTATAATATAAAAAAATACTAATATATATAACAATATATATAATCAATGAACTTTGAAAACTAACATAACATTTTCAGCAATATATATGTAATTCTCAAGATGAAACGCATAAAGCATGGGTCTGAAATTGTAATTTAGGAAACATTCGAGCGATATTATCGGGATAACATGGATGACGCGTTGAGAGACACTGGTTGCCTCGGATGACTGGTCGGTTAAGTCGAGATACCGGTCTCATCTAGTAGAACTAGCACCGGAGCTCAAGAGTTGAGCGTAGCAATAGTCGTTCCAGCTTCCGTGAGATCTCACACACACAGTCTACACGCGTGCAAGCGCGTACCTTCGCGAGGTGGAGAGCTAAGAAAAAGATGAAACGCGCGCGACGAGCGCAGAGAAGGGATAGGAAGCTGTATAAAGGAACGCTCTAAAGGAAAAGTTGGAAGAGAAGAGAAGAGAGAAGGAGGTGATCACCGGGAGGAGAGCGAGAGATAATTTAACAACTACATATACATACCGGACACAGACGCTGGATCCTCAGCTTCGGCCGTCCTCGGGGTGCCTCGTGAGGGTTCGGGCACGCGAGAACCACGCGCATCAAGGTCGCGGCCATCCACCTTTCCCTCGCGGCAAGTGCACGCACAGGCTACATCGTCGACGTCGGGGTCCGGTCGACCCGGCGGCCAACGCCGCAACCAGGATGACCGGCGGCTGTCTCGTTTTTCCAGGGACGCACACAGTCGATGGTAGGAGGAATTCCACCAAGAAACGCGTTCGATTATCTCCCGGATTCCTGGCAAATCCATTAAGAGATTAAAAATCCATTTGTTATCTTATTAACGATTTCAATCTCTTTAAGCTCTTTAATATTAAGCGAGGTCTTCCATAGGTTTCTGTTACTTTGGGATAATTTATGGAACTTTCAAAGAAACAATGCACGTTTATAAATGTTAGTTCTAATGACACGGCAAATCTCGTAACGAAAATTGTAATTACATATTTATGTTTTATAATTAAGTTAAGGAACGGGTTACAAAATTGTTGTAAAGAAAGTGGGAAAGATGTGATATTTATATGGAAGACTCGCGAAGACAACGGTGTTCTAAATTCTAAAGGCAATGGTGTTTCTATATTGTATTTTATATATATATATATATATATATATATAAAATAGTAGATATTATCTACTTTATTTTAGAACTTTTAAAATTTATTTGATATATCGAATATAACATTTATTGTACATGTATATGAACTCTCACGCACACACACACACACACATAGAGGGTATTTCAGGGTCATCGCGACACCTGCTTATGCCAGATTCTTCTGAGATCATTTGGAGATTGGAAACGATTTCTTCTCAGTGCACTGAAATAAAATTTACTGAATTCGAATAAATATTTATTTCAATACTGCCTAATAATCATTTATTTAAAACTAATAATATTGATTTGATGTGAAAAATATTTATTTCATATAAGAAAATCCTTTTTAAAACAGATAAATATTTATTCGTTTCAAATAAATGATTTATTAAGCAGTATTGAAATAAATATTTATTAATTTAATATTTTTTTTCGGTGTAAAAATATCAAGGCATCAATAACTTGCGAGTTATAAGCGATTCAAAAAAGAACTTTTCGTAAACTAAATTTTATGAATTTAAAAGATCTCTAAAACTATATTTTTTAATTAATTTCAGATAGAGTTTACTTTAATTTTCAATGTAATTAATGACAAAGATATGATGGTAAAAATTGAAAATTTGCAAAAAATGATGACTTCCCTTTAGGAAAAATCGTTTTCAAATGATTTCAAGAATCTGCCACCAGTAGGTGAAGTGATGATTCTAACAATAAGAGAATTACATATACATATAAAATATTTCCCATATACGATGATTTCTCAACGAATACAATTGGATTTGTGTCATCCGTTTCATAGAATTATGTCTATCTATTTTATAGAAATATGCGTAAATATCTATTTTGTAGTCACCCATTTCATAGAATTATACGGAGAATTTTCTGTTAGAATTCACCCTGAAAATTATGGTAATCGTAGGACAACATGGTATGCAACGGAGAAATTTTATAAGAGTTTTTCTGATTAATATCACAATAAAAAATATTAATATGTACATAGCAAATTTTTGTGGTAAATTTAATATCTTCCACAATAAGATAATATTTTTATTGTGGTAAATATTAATAAATAGTAATAAATATCAATTAAAAAAGAAAAATTCTTATAAAATTCTTCCAATACCATATTTTCCCACGATTACCATGATTTTCATGATAAATTCTAAGAGAAAATTCTTTCTGTGCATATATAATATTATTTAAATTTGTTTATTTAATGTGTGAAATATCACATCAATATATTAAGTCACATTATAGTATAATGCTGTAAGTAAAAATCCAATCGTCGAGGCATAAAAAATTTAACGTATTTTTCGAAATGAGAAAATCACTTGTACAGATTTCTATATTAGTTTGAAGATATTTTATGGATTGATTTATAAAATGCGAAATTTTATTTTTTTACTTCTCGTTATTCGGTCAAACTACAGAATTGTTTAATGGTATGATCCAATTATTTGCAGCATCTTTTATTATTGGAGAAACTGAAGAAATAAGAACACGATATTCGACAATTAATAATTATATCATTAGAATGGATATTGCAAGTTCAATTAACGAAATGAGAACGAGTCACTATTTATTCACGATTTATTTTGTAAAATTTTGAAAGATACCGAATGTATTTCTGGAATTAAATATTATTTATTTGTGAAGTATCGAACATCAAGCTGCGGCCCTGGCTAAGAGAAAGGTGTTGCGGCAGAGAGAAGTCCTTCGAGAAGAAGCTCGGTCCAGAACTAATCGTCAAAATATAAGGGAGCCTGTCGAGCCACCTGCTTGATTCGATAGGATACCAGTTACAATACATCAGGGAGAGAGGATATGGCACTATATATTGCAGAAAATTACGGTGCAGCGTTGCGGATAATTCCGGCGAGATACATTGGCGAGATGTGCTGCTGCGTTTCTCCCATAATACTTAAAGAAAATTTGAAGTATTAATACCCTTTAAATTTCACACACACATCCAGATAGATATACGCAAGTGTGAGAAACCATCGCATACATTATATAATACAATGCGTTTATTTTGCAAGCGAATAAGAGATATATTTGTGCGCATAATTCTATGAAAAGGGTGACACAGATCCAATTGTATGCATTGAGAAATCGTCGTATCTGGGAAATTTTTGAAAGATCGAAGTATTGTGTACACGTACTTGAATTGATAGAACATCTCGAATCTTTGCACGGGTTTACGAGAACAAATTCGATCCAAGACGATCGCTTTTATGGGAAACGACTCGAATAAATTTCAAAGATTCGTGAAATTCTAATTGCCCTCTCTCTTCTCTCTCTCTCTCTCTCTCTCTCTCTCTCTCTCTCGCGCGCGCTGCAGGTATCCTGCTCATCATCCGGCATCTCGATCTCTATCCGGCATTTTTTTCTAGACCCATTACACATAATGGCGCAATTTGTGTAATGTTCGAACTCGGCTGCTTCCGCCGAGGCTCGGCCGCGTCCGGCCACGCGAACAACACGCGATCGCCGACTCGCGATCTGGTCTGGACCGGTTTCGGGAACCTGTATCTCGGAGTTCGCTAGGGGAGAACCGGTTGCCGCCGCGCGTATCTTTTGCCTACCTGCCGACCTGTGCGCGTACAACAAACCCCACCTTCTCCGGAGCTCCTCAATCTACCTCGCCCTCTTATTCCACTGGGGTCTCTCTTTGTGTGCACACACATGTACGCAGATTTTTTGCCAGCAGGTAGAAGAGAAGCGGAGGAGATCAGCCGGCAACAGAAGCGGAGAAGGGCCCCGGAACAGGGCGAGGTATAAGCGGCATCAGAAGATGGCCGGGAGGTTTGACCCTGCCAAGAATCCTGCATCTGCCTGCTCTCTCTCTTCTCAACCCCGCTTCGACCAGCGGCTAATTTGCCGTCTCCGACTGACCGTGGAACCTGTTAGCGCAGCGAAATCAGCGCGAAGGTATATACAGCACCGAGGCGGTTCGAAGATAAACACAATCCAACAGAACCCCTTCTTCGTCCTCCCTGCAACGGATAATAAAGATATGACTGATTAATATATCGAAATTATTCAGCGTCCGTTCACGACACGCTTTACTCCAGATTTATTGATCCCTTGATATTTACTCGACGTTCAACGTATTTTTACGGCTCATTAGTGAGTCCCTGTCGACATTTTGATCAATGTGACGAGAGATCAAGATGTATCAATCCGCGTGTATTGTGACAGAAGAATTAAATGGGGCGTTTTTATTGCGAACACGATTGCTTCAGCAGAAACATAAATAGGGAAAGAGAAGAATATAAGGGACACACTCTCTATTGTTACTACCATGAAGGATTCCTCTCGGAAGAGAGAGAAGTGCTGAATAAGCATTTTTAATGCATCACGTAAGCGTCCGGCGACGATGGATTAGCTTGTCTTCCTAATTCATTAAAAGTTTGCGCGCCTTAAGATATCTATCTCGGTAATTTTTTTCCTCTTTTTTTCGACAGGGTGCACGATTACGCTGCTTTTGTTTTCTACAGGGTAGATAGGCAGGTATATATATAGGTACATACATCTCTCTTCTTTTTCTACACGTCCTCCCTTCCCTGGTTCTTTCTCTTCGTGTCGCCCTTACACTCCCTCCCTCTTTCTCGTTCTTTCTTTCGTGGTAAAACTGCTGCATCGGTGTTTGCGGTTTCCCGCAGCGGAGAATGCACCTGGACCGACTTGCGCCAGCTTCTCCATGGTACAATCGACGATCGCCGTTTGTCGGTTGTGCTCAGATTCCTTCACGGCGATAAACAGAGGTAGAAATGTAAAGGGGAGCGAGGGAAAGAGGGAGAGAAAGGGATTCATTTCTCTTTGCGTATCGAGAAAAATTATTCGCATCGAAATTTATTATCATATCCGGTTCTTGTAACACGCGAACGTGTATAAAATATTGAAAATTTGTCACTTGAATTTTAGTTTATTGCTGGCATTTTTTTCGAGCTGAAAGTGAAGAGAAATATATCGGAACTCGCGAAATATATCGGAGACAAATATATAAAATAATAAATAAAAAAGAAAATTTATAAATCGAATAAAAAATCGTATTTAATTGTTCTGATTTCAGATATGAAATGCGGTTGCGTCTCCCATCGGGGTTCGCAAGGAATGCTATAGTCTACGTTAGCCAGTATTGTCGCCAATTTATCCACGATACGAACTCACATTTTGTGGAAAAGATCGTGATCATATTACCATTGAAACCTTTCGACGAGCGAGTTTCTCGACAACGAGCCATCATTACGCTCCTGCTAAGCCGTCTTAGCCGGTTTTACAGGTTTCGAATGACCACAGTAAGTTCACACATTACGTTGTTTCATTTATGTGAATGCCTCTACAAAGCTATTGAAATTTCAGCTAAAATGCATATATAATAATATTCGCGTAAAGTAGCACTTTCAAAGGTTCTATATATCCCTCGCAATCCATGTTTCGCCTCTTACAATCTTTATACCGCATATTAGATCACTGGAAAGGCATTTCCGGTTATAATAGTATTGATATCGTATTCTCCAAATGTTCGCAATAAAAGAGTGCCTTACTTGGTATATTTTTTAATACATTTTACAGAAAAACATGTTTAAAAAAATATCTGCAAAGTATATAGTCTTTAAATGTATTCATCACTGAATAACAATATGAAAAAAAAAAAAAAAAAAAAAAAAAATGAAAAACCATTACATCGATTAATTCGATACATTTTCATCGCGTAAACAATAATAATTTCATCTTTTATTAAAGCTGCTAAAAGGCGAAAATATTTACTATATAAATAAGTTAAAACATTTAATTGCACGTAAATGCGAAAAAACAGAGAGATTACTTTGCGATGATTAATATGATTTGATATTTCGTGCGATTCGATTTCCCTAAACTTAAGTGTCTCTTCTCATAAAAGCCCGTCCTATAATATGATCTCGGTTGTGGTCAAGCATCTTCTTACGGAGACGGCATGCATACACGAAGCGGACAGATTCGCTAGTTGAGCAAGCGTCGTCGCTGAAGAGAAGCGATAGGATGCTGCGCACCTGCTTGCCTTCGGGCAACATAGCGCTCGCTTCTTGTCTATAGCCACCTCTTTCTGATCTATTCCTCTTGCTTTAGAGCAGCAGCGGTTTCCAACTTCTCTTAATGCGATATTTTTATTGGAATTTTTCGAAACCAGTTTTACATATATAGTTCAAGGAAGTGGAAAAAAAGAAATTGTATCGGAGAGATTGCTTTGAAATAGAGTGGGCTAGAATTTTATCGGAGTTTAGACGTTCGTTTTTCACCGAAGTATTTTATATTAAGCGTCGAAAAATTAGGAATAAAGATTATTTCACAGAAAGAATTTTCTCTTACAATTTACCCTGAAATAAAAAATCATGTTAATCATGGGACAATAGTATTGGGGTAATTTTATAAAAGTTTCTCTTTTAATATCTACCACAATAAAATATAAAATATGTTCGATTAATTTTATTATGTACATATTAATATATTCTTTTTATGCACTAAAAAAAATTAATTAAATTCGCGAATAAGTATTTATTTCAATACTGCCAAAGAAATTATTTATTTGAAACTAATAATATTAATTTGATGTGAAAAATATTTATTTGATATAAGAAAATCCTTTTCAAAACAAATAAATACTTGTTAATTCAATAACGTTTTTCAGTGTGATAAATATATAATATATTAATCAGAAACTCTTTTATTTAAATTCTTCCAATACCATTATTGTTCCTCATATATACTATGATTTTACAGGGCAAATTCTAAGAGAAAATTTTCTCCGCGTTGCAATTTGTTGATCAATTTTTTGCTTAAAAAGTAATTTGTCAAATATCATTTACAATTTAGTATAAAAGAATCAAAGAAGAATTTAAACAAGCTAAAAAGTAAAGTTCAAGTACTTAATCACTGTCGATATTTTTGTACGTATATTATAAATTTTTATTTTCATCTTCTATCAATTTAAAGAAATATTTACCTTTAGATTTTTCTCTACATTTTAATTCATATATATATTTATCACGATCGATTTAATTTATCTAAAATTACGACCAATTAAAAAGTAGAAGTTAGGAGCACTTTCGCGTGTCAAAATTATCTCAAATGATGTAAGTGTTAATTTCTTGAATCGTTCGGAATATATTTACAAACTCGTTAAAGGTTCGCGAAACATCAGTTGGGAATCTCTGTTTCAAGCGAACACGAACACAAGCAGAAGAACATTCTCCTCCTTCGTGATCCGGTTACGCTGGACATTATGTAGCCCAGTAGCAAGAGCGATACCTTACCAAGCTTGTCGCGGTATAAAGTCTCTATTAAATTTAATTACGGCGAGTAATTAATATTAGCTTGAACTTTTTAAAAAAGCGAGTGCATTATAGGTATTTATATACAATAAAGGTTTTTTCCCTCCGTATTCCACATTCATTTGCTTTGAATTTTTGTCCGCAAAATTTACCGAGAAAAAGAAGAGATCGCGTTACAAATAAATTAACTTATAATAAGTCCAGAAAGAAATATTTTTATCGGCTCTTAATATTAAGAATATAAATATGATGTTTTTTTAAATCGGCCAACAGAGCCAAAGCACGAAAAATTAATTATTCGGAACTGTATCTCTTGATTTGAGATCACTAAGTTCCATATATAAATTAATCTCAAAAGTTCCACAAAATATTTTTCGCGCCTATTTCTCCATATGTAAGTTTTGAGATTAATTTATATATGGAACTTAGTGATCTCAAACCAAGAGATACAATTCCGAATAATTAATTTTTCGTGCTTTGGCTCTGTTGGGGCCGATTTAAAAAACATCATATTTATATTCTTATAATAAGTCCCTTTAAGATTTTTATCCTTATGCAAAAATAATTGCAATTAATTAGCACGACTTTGTTGTCGCGTTAATCTCGATCAAAGCTATTAATTTTCTCTGAATATACGTATTATTACTAATAATTAATATGTGTATATAGCTGAAATGCAAATTGAAGATATGTAACATATATGTATGTATACGTATGTCATATAGTAGAGGGTATATGAATTATGCTCCGCGCGCTTATTTACGTTGAAACAGCATCTACTCTCGGATTACATTCATGTATTGTGCATATCCAGATATATCCGGACGAAGAGCGAGAGAGAGAGAGACAGATTCCCTCGCTATTACCATCTCCTCTGACATTATCCTTCCCACACACGTCTGTCACCTTGTACGTGGCCTAAAGTTCCGCCAGGGAAATTAGCGCGAAAATTAACGTGTCCTCGGCTTCGCAAAACGGGCCGGCGAAATCCGCCTGCTTAGAATTCTCGCTATCGCGAGATCACGACACAAAGAAGCTCATAACGTGTATCGCGACATTTAATGAACTTGCCCCGAAGGAGGAAGGCGGGTATAGGAGTAGTTTGGCGATCCACACTCGATAGTTAAGACCTACGAGGGAAACAACTATTACCGTTGAAGTTTGCACATTAATTTGACCGTTGGCCCGGGCCAACGGTTTCGGGGCCAGGCCCCGAAAACTTTGTCCGACTTGAGATATTCTTCAAAGTAACCGTACGAATTGCGCGTCGTACAAACTTGCTGCTGGCGTCGCACTATTGTGGGCAAAGGGCTTTCATTAGGAGCGCGCTAACTCATAGCTGTCGGTGAATTCGACGTCACGTGCACGCTTATGTGTACAGGGTGTTCCACAAATTAGCGGATCGCCTGTTAATGGCAGATTCCTGGGATCATTTGAAAACGATCTCTCCTCGCCGAAAAGGTCGAGGAAAGCCGTCGTTTCTCGCATGTTTTCAATTTTTCTCATCATGTATCTTTTTTTGTAACTAAGCCTTTAAATTTAAATTCTATTAAAGTAAACTCTATTTGAACACAGAGCATTTTCTTTCAGTTTATCCTAAAAGTCATGGTAATCGTGGGACAATATGGTATTGGAAGAACTTTGTAAGAGTTAATAAGTAGCATTAACCGGAAACATTTCTCTTGATTTTATTTTATTTTATCATATTTTTAATTAGCTTGTAATATTATAATGTAAATTAATTACAAAAATGTGACTACATAAGGAGAATTTTCTTTTGGAATTTACCCTGATAGTTATGATAATCGTGGGACAATATGGTATTGGAAGAATTTTATAAGAGTTTCTCTGATTAATATTTATCACACATAAAAATATTAATATGCACATAGTAAAATTAATCGAACCTATTTTATATCTCATTGTAGTAGATATTAATATTTTTTATTCTCACGATTATCATAATTTTCAGGATAAATTCTAAGAGAAAATTCCCTCGGTGAAATTCATTAAAGAATGTAGTTCTGTTAATGTTTTATTTCCACAAGACTTGGAGTTTGCAAAAAACCTTTAATTTTAACTGAAAAAACATTGGTGCCTCGACATTTTTCCTGAAGAAAAATCCACTATTTTTGAGATATTTTTGGGACATTCTGTTTCTAACAAAATCACTTGAGTGCGCGACTGGGTGATTTCGCAAAACACCATCCCTAAATATTATAATAAAGCGCTTCGTGTATCGCCAAATTTATTAAAGAACGTGGTTTTGTTAATGTTTTATTTCCACAAGACTTAAAGTTTACGAAAAACCTTTTATTTTAATCGATTTTAACTGAAAAATCATTGGTGCCTCGACATTTTTCCTGAAGAAAAATCGTCTTCAAATGATCCCAGGGAATCTGCCAGGTGATCCACTACTTTTGGGACATTCTGTTTCTAACAAAATCACTTGAGTGCGCGACTGGGCGATTTCGCAAAATACCATCCCTAAATATTATAATAAAGTGCTTCGTGTATCGCTAAATTTATTAAAGAACGTGGTTTTGTTAATGTTTTATTTCCACAAGACTTAAAGTTTGCGAAAAACCTTTTATTTTAATAGATTTTAACTGAAAAATCATTGGTGCCTCGACATTGTTCCTGAAGAAAAATCGTTTCCAAATGGATCCCAGAGAATCTGCCAGGTGATCCACTATTTTTGGGCCATTCTGTTTCTAACAAAATCACTTGAGTGCCCGACTGGGCGATTTCGCAAAATACCATCCCTAAATATTATAATAAAGCGCTTCGCCAAATTTATTAAAGAACGTGGTTTTATTTCCACAAGACTTAAAGTTTGCGAAAAACCTTTTATTTTAATCGATTTTAACTGAAAAATCATTGGTGCCTGCACATTTTTCCTGAAGAAAAATCGTCTCCAAATGGATCCCAGAGAATCTGCCAGGTGATCCACTATTTTTGAGCCATTCTGTTTCTAACAAAATCACTTGAGTGCGCGACTGGGCGATTTCGCAAAATACCATCCCTGAATATTATAATAAAGCGCTTCGTGTATCGCCAAGTATCTGCGTTTACATTCGCGATTCGCTCGAATAGACAAGTCGATCGGGCTTGCCGAAGCTGAACCCGACGTAACGGTAATCGGAGAGTACATCTAAGATAGCGCAATATATGTCAGGATGTACTCCGCCTCTCGTGTTATACCGTTTCCTCTCTCGCGCGCGAAAAAGAAAAGTAATTTG